CTAACCCCCGAAGCCTAAGCCTAAGCCTAGGCCTAAGCCTAGGCCTATCCCCGAAGCCTAAGCCTAACTAAGCCTAAGCTTAGGCCTATCCCCGAAGCCTAAGCCTAAGCCTAAGCCTAAGCTTAGGCCTATCCCCGAAGCCTAAGCCTAAGCCTAAGCCTAAGCTTAGGCCTATCCCCGAAGCCTAAGCCCAAGCCTAAGCGTAGGCCTAACCCCGAAGCCTAAGCCTAAGCCTAGGCCTAAGCCTAGGCCTATCCCCGAAGCCTAAGCCTAAGCCTAAGCCTAAGCCTAAGCTTAGGCCTATCCCCGAAGCCGAAGCCTAAGCCTAAGCCTAAGCTTAGGCCTATCCCCGAAGCCTAAGCCTAAGCCTAAGCTTAGGCCTATCCCCGAAGCCTAAGCCTAAGCCTAAGCCTAAGCTTAGGCCTATCCCCGAAGCCTAAGCCTAAGCCTAAGCTTAGGCCTAACCCCGAAGCCTAAGCCTAAGCCTAAGCCTAAGCTTAGGCCTATCCCCGAAGCCTAAGCCCAAGCCTAAGCGTAGGCCTAACCCCCGAAGCCTAAGCCTAAGCCTAGGCCTAAGCCTAGGCCTATCCCCGAAGCCTAAGCCTAACTAAGCCTAAGCTTAGGCCTATCCCCGAAGCCTAAGCCTAAGCCTAAGCCTAAGCTTAGGCCTATCCCCGAAGCCTAAGCCTAAGCCTAAGCCTAAGCTTAGGCCTATCCCCGAAGCCTAAGCCCAAGCCTAAGCGTAGGCCTAACCCCGAAGCCTAAGCCTAAGCCTAGGCCTAAGCCTAGGCCTATCCCCGAAGCCTAAGCCTAACTAAGCCTAAGCTTAGGCCTATCCCCGAAGCCTAAGCCTAAGCCTAAGCCTAAGCTTAGGCCTATCCCCGAAGCCTAAGCCTAAGCCTAAGCTTAGGCCTATCCCCGAAGCCTAAGCCTAAGCCTAAGCCTAAGCTTAGGCCTATCCCCGAAGCCTAAGCCTAAGCCTAAGCGTAGGCCTAACCCCCGAAGCCTAAGCCTAAGCCTAGGCCTAAGCCTAGGCCTATCCCCGAAGCCTAAGCCTAAGCCTAAGCCTAAGCTTAGGCCTATCCCCGAAGCCTAAGCCTAAGCCTAAGCCTAAGCTTAGGCCTATCCCCGAAGCCTAAGCCTAAGCCTAAGCTTAGGCCTATCCCCGAAGCCTAAGCCTAAGCCTAAGCCTAAGCTTAGGCCTATCCCCGAAGCCTAAGCCTAAGCCTAAGCCTAAGCTTAGGCCTAACCCCGAAGCCTAAGCCTAAGCCTAAGCCTAAGCTTAGGCCTATCCCCGAAGCCTAAGCCTAAGCCTAAGCTTAGCCCTATCCCCGAAGCCTAAGCCTAAGCCTAAGCTTAGCCCTATCCCCGAAGCCTAAGCCTAAGCCTAAGCTTAGGCCTATCCCCGAAGCCTAAGCCTAAGCCTAAGCTTAGGCCTATCCCCGAAGCCTAAGCCTAAGCCTAAGCCCAAGCCTAAGTAGGTAATAGCCTAGCCTCTCGTAAGGTTTTGTTTTGCCGATGACTCAAAAACGCACTCCTGGTAAGCACTGGGCTAAGGCTACGCTTAAACCCAGAGCTAACCCTACGCCCGATCCTAGTGCTCATAAGGTAAGCCTCATCATAAGCCCAACCTCAAAGGTACACTAAAATCTCGTTCAAAAAACCGCGTCGCCGTCGTGAATTTTCTCCCGTCGCCGCTGCTTGGCCGGACCCTTCATAGTCCTTCGCCCCCTTCCCTCTCCTGTCTCTCCCATGACCAAGTGGTCCAAAGTGCCTGCCGTAGGCGAGTAGTGGCCCGGGTTCGGTTTTGCTCCGCGGCGAGCGCCTACCGTAACCCTGTTTGCTATCCCGCGGACGGTTACCGGCCGGTAACCAAACCAACGAGACTTTAGTGTACCTTTAAGCCTAAGCCGAATCATAGGGCTTAGCTTAAGCCTAGGCCTAAGCCTACCTTTCTGGAAGAGGCCAAAATTGGTGATCTCGACAACAAAACGCAGCTGGCTATCGCATCTGTTTGTGCTTGAACTCGAAATGCACTTTGCTGAAAATATGCAAAAAACGCGTTTTTTATTTACTAGCTTCGTTCCGCAACCGTACAAGCAACGAGAAGCGTACATAGTAGCAAGCGTAGGGCAGTACACTCCACAACAGATTCCAAAAATCCTTCGGTGTTGTCACACGGAGCTCGACCAAACGGATTTCTAATCTTTCTCAAGTTATTTTTTTCCATCGTTTCTAACGCTTTTTAGCTCTTTTTCGTCTCAGACTCCCTGTTGTCTTCCCCCTTCCACGCTCTCTCCCATCCACAACCCGTTAGGCGAGTCAATCCTTTTCCTACGCGACGCCCGCCCGTTGCAGGACCCTCGCCCCTTCCCCCTTTCTGTTTCGTGTTTGCCGGCCGCCTTTGCATCAACCGCGTGCAATTCTCGGGACTGATCACGGGAGCCGCGCCTTCCATTGTAGCCAGCCAGCCCGGCTGCCACCTCATAATCGTTACATCAGCAAATTGGCCGATGTTGCCGCCTTGCACAACGTTTTATGGCCCAGTTTAGCGGAAATCTAGCCCATTTCCGAACGCTTTCTTACTGTATTGAACCGCTAATTGATGGTAGACGCTGCTTATTGAGCTTCTAAGCATCTCCTGAATTTTTCGCGCTTTTCGATCCGCTAATAGATTAATTTTCTGCTGTTTGTGATGCCAGATTAGTGCTGGAAAACTCAAAACAATTTTGAAAAGTTACTCGATGATTCATTCCATTTCTATGTCCTAATTTTTCTAATGCGGTAAAGTTCCACTTTCAGGACAGCGGTTTAAGCCTGCCAATAGGGCTGAATGCGCTGATCTATGTTGGGAATGACAAAGCAACCTGCAGCCAATTTCGGAACTACCGGCGTCGGCGGTCTCTCCATCAATGACCCTGACAAAGCCAAGCAACAACAGGTCGGTAGCTTTTTTTTGGGAAAAAAAACGATTTTTTAGGTCTATAAGTTTGTGGAGAACATGAAACAAGACCCGGATGGGTGGAAGAAGTCGGTCGAGTATATCGTCACCGGCGCCGTCAGGTAGAATTTGGAGTAAGGAAACTAAAATTCTGTTTTTAGTACCGTGGATGAGCATTACCTGCTCTTCCTGGTCATCGAAGAGTTTTTGAAGAAACGGTACGCCGCCGCAAACAACGAGGATGTCCGGATCGTCCGGGATTTTCTCGCATTTTGGATGCAGAAAATCGTAAGTTTTTTAAAGTGATACGCAGATCAAAAACTTCTGAAAACTAGGTTTAGTACTGAAAAAGGTACTTATCAAGTTGGTGAGGGGGGGGCCACTTTGGGTACCTATTAGGAGACACTTTTTTATCGCTTTTTCGACTCTTTCTGGGGTAGTTTTTTACGCTGAGTGCGAATAGAGTCGCAACAGCATGCGAAACGGTTGGGTTTATCGAGAAAAACAGTGTAAACATTTATTAATAAAAGGTGTACTTATGCACAATTTGAGGCTTGCCGCATTCTCAGGCAAGGTGGGCCGTCGCTTCGGATGGGCTGCCGCTCCACTCTTCCGAAATCGGGGCGCCTGGGCGCTTCGCGCTGCTCGGGCGCCCCGATTTCGAAACCATGTACGAGCTCGCACCCATCCGAAGCGACTAGGCCCCGGGTGGCACGAAGCCTTAATTTTAGGCTCAAATTGGGTGTAAGCATTTCTAAATCTTAAAAACGTTTAGATAATTGTGTTTTAATACTCTGGTTTTGTTATAGCCGAAACCAGGACAAAAAGGTAGCCGAGAAAGACTCAAAAAGTCGAAAACCGAAGTGCCCCCCCCCCCCAACTTGATAAGTGCCCTGAAAAATTTCGAAAAAGAAGAAGAAGAAGGAAAATTTTTATTGATCTGGTTTCAGAACGGTGACGGCTCCTACCCAGCCTACGTCGTCAACAAGCTCGCCCAGCTCTTCTCCCTGGTGTTCGCCTCGGATTTCCCATCGCGTTGGCCCCGCTTCATGCAAGAAGTCTTCCTCGACAGGTGTGGAAAATTTACATTTTCCCATTTTCCCAGTTGTAGAGGCTTCACCCATCACCCGACCGTCCAGTTCTACCTGAAGACGCTGCTCGCCATCGACGAGGAAGTCGTCAACCGATATATGAGCCGGACCCCAGAGGTTTGGTCGTGCTCGAGTGCCAGAAATTGGATTCAGGAGTTCGACCGGAACACGACGATCAAGGACGCGATGCGTGAGCTGTGCATCAAGGACTGCTCGGAGAGCTGGGTGTTGATTTTGGTCGGTTTTAGAGAAATTGTTCATTGGAAGATGTCGATGTTGCTTTTTTCTCATAAGCACTGAAATGTATAGCCACGCTCACAAGCCGCTTATTAGTCTTTTCAGCCAAGTTTAGCTATATTTAAGTTTAAAACTTGTAAAAACTAAAAATATGAGATTTTATCGAAAATCTTTATTTTTTACGTTCGGGGATACATAAAAAGATGACCCACTCATTATTATTTTTATTCCAGGAGCAATGCTCGGAGCTCAGTGACCACGCCCTCGTCTTCGAGGTGGTCGCCGCCTACGTGGACTGGATCGACCTCGAACTCGTCGCCAACGAGCGCTTCGTGCCGCTTCTGATGAAGGGGTTGGCCAAGTCGGAAACATCTGAGGTTTTTACCCCTTGTCTTATTTACGCTCGAATTTCCAGGAAGCCATTCAAGCTGTGGAGGGCCTCGTCCAAAAAGGCATGCCGGCCAGCAGGAAGCTTTTCCTCACCTCCGGCCTCCTCAACTTCATCAAGACCAACAATTTGCTGGCAATTTCCGAGGTTGGTTTCAAAGCTATAAAGTGACGTTTGTGTTTAGGATAGTTTCAACGAGGAAACGGAACGGGTCGCCTGTCTCGTCTCGTCGCTTGGTCACCAGCTGGTCAACGTCAACTCGACGTGAGTTTTTGGGTCCTCGAATGCTTCGAATTCTATTTTTTGCCGTGTAGCATTTGTGTCGTAGAGATCGCTTTATTCACACCAAACGTAGACATCGCGCTTCACAGGCCCTTTTGCTCTCAAAGCGATTCGAGTTTCCGCAGCCGGAGAACGAGAAGCGCTCACAGGCTCGGGTTTCGTTGTCGAAGTACCTGAAGCAGTTAAGTTAGCTAACGGGGATTTTGATATTTTATCGTTTTTTGCCGTTTTCCGCCATTTTGACCGTCTAGAATATCTCGGAATCAAATGTCTGTATTAGAGCTGATTTTAAAAATCAGCGAAATCCCGCGTTTCGGACCAGATTTGTGCCAATTTTTGGGCCAGGTTTGGCTTTCTAGATATCTAATAAGACTAAAAATCGGACTTACCACATTATCCGAGCCCGCTGACAATTCCCAGTAAGTGGTGGCAGAACACAGATATCAGGTTCTGGCGTTGACGTAGTGGTAGTAGGGGGTGGCTGCGTAACGGGAGGTGGAGGTGTCCAAGGCGCTGCTGTCGCTAACGTTGCCGCTGGCGTCCCGGCTTCTGGAGCGGGGGCAGGGGGCGCAAGGCTAGAATTTATCCAATTCAAATAAGCGCTTCCGGCTTACCTGAACAGCTTCAACAACGAGCTGAACGGGTCGTTGGCGCCTGCCTGATTTCCACCCTGTTGCCCGAGTAGGCCAAAGAGGCCAGCGGATGCGGTGGTAGTTGCGCTGAAGTTTGGTGGGGCGGGGGTCGCGATTTCTGATGTCGGCGCTTCTGTCGCTCCTAAGGCCGAACCAAAAAGATTGGAGAGCATGTTGCTGCCGGAGAAGCCGTTGCTGGCCGGTTGGAGCACGCATTGGGCTATCTAATATTTTTCGGACTGTAGTTTGTTAGGTTCTTTTACCATGAATTGCACAACTTAAAGGGATAGGGGCCGCATAAGTCAATCGATTACGCGCGGGAAAGAAAATGTCTCTGCGCCTCTTCCCTGGGCGCCCTCTCTCACCGCCGCATCTGTTGAACCCCCCCTCCCCAAGGGGGGTTCAACAGATGCCGTCCTCATCTCTTTAACGTTGCCGGTGTAACCCCAGGTTTTTTAGCGAAGAGCTAATGTGTCGGAATATTCTTTGCCTGCTTTTGAGCATACTTTAAAAACTAAACAAAAGTTTATAGTCTAGGTCGAAAATTCGCTTTTTTTCGTTCGAAAACGGACAAAATTCCGGGCGTTTTTAAATTATTAGAGGCTTTTTTGCAGCAAACATAGAAAGATTAACTAAGATTTACCGATCTTAGAAAAATACGGTAGTAACCAAAAAGAAAAAAAACTCACGTCATTCTGCACAACGCACTGCTTCGGCGCGTCGCAAATCAGCGATGCACAGGGCGAGAATTGGGCTCTAGTTAGCTGTAGTAATACGAATAATATAACAATTCTCGAGACCATCGCGTGAGGTATGCCAGACACGCGCCCAGAAGAGTCACTCACACTGCCCAGCGGCGAAAGTCGGAAATCCACTCTCACCGGCCGTTTTTGGGGTGGAGCCGTGGAGGCACACCACCACCATAGAGGGGGCTATTTGTTAGGGGATTGCCATTGAGAGGAGCCCCCTCTTCTTCCCATAGAGCCCCTTACAGGAGCTGGTTCTCCGCCACCCCAGGAGCCCGTGACTCATTCAATGGGGCATCCCTGGGGGCCTGGAGTTGAATTTGAAAAAGTTTCGGAGGAAGAACGGATTTTTTTTACTCTGTGGCTTTCGACGTCGACGAGTCGGAGGCAAATCTCCCTAAATTTCGAGGTTTTTCAATAGGTATTTGAAGCTTAAAACTGGAAAGAAATGGCTCTTTTGTAAAAACAATCCTTCTTTAAAATGCTGTATACGAGTTAGATGTGTATAATTTAAATTCGTAGATGAAAACTCGGAGAACTGTATAATAACCTGGAAAAACCTCTTTTTTTGTGTTCAAAAAACCATTTCCAATTTACAGGATCGAGAAAGAAGGAGGAACCGTTGCCGATGCGCTCACCGCCCTCTCCCTGGTCCGCGAGCTCGTCCCCATCGCCCTCCAGGTCCTCGGCCACGAAGAAGCTGAAATTAGCGAGGTTTGTTTACACTCAAAATGGAAAACTTCTTTTTTTTAGCTGGTCATCGATTTCATCCGCAGCTACGTGCTCATCGTCAACGCCAGCAATGAAGCGGTTCGAAAATACTTAAAAACTAATATTTTTTTTTTATTCAGGAGACGCTAGAATTCCTGAAGCGTGTCGTCCAAGTATCCCTGCGCCGCTACACGATGCCCTTCGAGCTGGAGCCGGACGGCGAGGGGGAGGACGAGATCAAGTTCCACGAATACCGCACCCAGCTGCGCAGTCTGATCAACCCCATTGGAACTCGGGTTCGTTTTTCAAAACTTTCGGGGCTCTATTTTTATTTACTTGTCAACCGTGTGTTTTTAGCGCCCCCAACTCGTCGTGGAGCCAGTAGAACAGATGGTGGCCCAGGTGTTGAGCTCGGGCAAGACGATGAACATCCGGCAGGTCGAGGCCACGATACAGCTCGTCTACTCGCTGGCCGACATGATTCCGGTTAGACTGGTTTTTAAAGTCCTGGAAAAAAACTTTTAGGCAAATTTCCCCAACACTGCAAAAGACAAGGACGTCTGGCTGGTGCGCGCCGCTCAACTACCCCTGGCTCTTTGTGGGTTTTAGCATTTTAGACATTTTTTTTGATAAATTTAATTAATTTGCCCTGCTCATAAAGCGCCGTTAAATTGTAAAGAATTGAACAAAGTTGGATTTTATTGGTGTATTGAACCGGTGATAAAATTTCTTATAAAAATATTTTTTAGTGGACGCCGTCCCACTCGATGGTCGCTCCAAGCAGGTGCATATCCAGTACTTTGAGAATGTGTGCCGGTAAGAATAAACTTGTCTTTTAAAACAAACTTTTTAGGTATGAAAAGCTGGTCGGAACATCCCCGAACAAGGTTGTCCCGCACGTCGCGGCCGCTTTCCTCGACGAACGAGGCCTCGGCTTCCCGAGCGATAAGGCAAGGACAAAAAGCAGGGGCTGTGAATTTGTCAATTCCAGGTCCGCAGCCGCATCGCCTATCTCTTTGTGCGATTCGTGAAGGCCCAGAAGCAAGCACTCAGCCCGCACGTCTCTGAGGTGTGTTTTGAGGGAGGGAAAATGACAGTGAAAGAGCAAAAAGAAAACAATTATTGCTATCGAATCTCCTGGAAATCCCCCCAAATGCTATGCCAAGCATTTCGGCATATTGACATCTCGGCATTATGAGCCGCAAGTTCAGAATTGCGATATTTTTTGAAAACAAACGAAAAACCGGCATTTTTTTCTTTCGATGCGTTTTAAAATTAAAATTTGAAGGCGTTTTTAATGTATTTTTCAGATGGTGCCCCGCATCGCGCCGATACTGGCCCCCGGAGCCGTGACGCCGCTGTCACCAGAAGATCAGGGCTTCCTGTTCGAGGTCACCGCCACGCTCATCGTTTTCGGCAACTTGGAACCGCAGCAAAAGGTAAAAAATTGGCCGATGGCGCAGCGTCCAAAATGTGTTCAGCTACGGAACCCTCGAAACCACGGTTTTGCAAGCTCTTCTTTTATGTATAAAATAACCTAAAACTGAACCGCTTAAGAAACCTAGTTTTTAAAGTTATTGATAGTCATTTTTCAGCGCCAATTCTTCGAGGAGCTGATCGGCACCGTGGCCACCCGTTTCCAGCAGGGAATGCTCGAGCTCCAGGCGGCACGTCAGCAGGGGATCCCTGAAGAGATCACCAGATGCGAGACGTCACTCACCACCGTTGTCTCTCATGCCAGGTGAATTTAAATAATTTAACTTTATGGTTTCCGCATGTAGTCGCCTTTCCAAGGCCTTCTCGAAGGACGTGACGATGAATTCGCAGTCGAGCGCCGATCTGTTTATGAACATCCTCACCGTAAGTTATTACCCGAATTTTTAAAATATCTTTTTTTCAGCTATTCCTCGACCAGCTAACCCCGGTCAACGCCTTCTTGCTGGAGAACATCCGGCAGCTCACCAACCGCCTCGTCGTCTGCATAGAGCTGGAGATGCTGCGGCTCTTGCCCCGCGTCTTGGGCAAGTTCAGCGAGTGCAGCTCCGAGCTGGACCAGATGCATCATCTGCTCATCCTGTGCCATCAGGTCGTCACCAAGTACAAGGTGAATTTAGTCTGATTTCCCTGGAATCTCTATTTCAGAAATCCATCCTTCACACCGGCTCCAACCTGGGCACGATTCTCTCGCAGGCGGCGCGTTTCGCTTCCGACCCGGAGGTGCAGGCAAAGTTCCGGCAGGATTCTGTGAACAAGTCGGCATTGGTATAATTATCTTTTTTAGCGTTATTTCAGAATTTTAGCTAATGTGCCAACGATCCTTTGCTCAATTCCTCTATGCCGTTGTGGTCAGCGAGACGTTGCAGGATCTGGCTCCGGGTACGGTTTTAATCTTTTTTTTCCTCCATACTGTTGATCTGTGTACTTTTCATCGACTCTTGTTATTGCACGTTACCCTTAAATGCACGCGGTGAAATAACAAAAATAGGCAAGGTTAGAGTTTACCCAATAAAAATCTGCGAAATAAGCATTTTTTTCGGTTCAGCTGATGGGTTTTTCGTCTATAAAATGCACCCAGCTCGATGAATCTATTTTTTTAGGAGAAGCCGGAGACATGGTCCTCGAATCCGCTCGTCGACTCGCCTTCCTCTCCGACACCACCGTCGAAAAGCAGGCAATCATGAGTCTGGCCAAGTGCGCGATCCAGAGCATCACCGTAAGCTTTACGAGCCAATTTCTAACCGCTTCTTTCTGGCGGAAATTCTTGTATAATATTTTTCTTTTAGCACAACGGCGGTCGCTGGTATCAACCAATGGTGCGCACCATTCTGGAGATCCCCACACTCCCGCATTTGGCCCCCACCGATGCCGGCAGTCAAATCGTAAGCGAAATCCTTTCAGCTGATTTTGTTTATTTAGGTGCTCCACGAGTGCGCCAGCGGGCTGCAGTCTATGCGAGAAGCCGCACAGCCGCAATTCGATCAAGTCGTCGCCGGACTGCTGCCAGGAGAAATCGGAACGGTGGGTTTATGTGCTTATCTGGTGCCAATAAGGTTTCCGGAATTTTTAGCTGCTTGCCTTTTCTAGGCAACTTCTTGTTAGGTGTATTTTAATGGGGGGTTTTCCCAGCTTCCGATACAAATTCAGAGCAAATTTTGGTTGATTTTGAGGCGTTTCCCATTTTCCATACATTTTCGATTAAAAAGTTTAATTTTCAACCTTTTGGTGTTTTTTTATTGAAAAACAGCTTTGAAATACATGAAAGCTGACTAGGTTTCATGATTGCGCCAGGAGGTCATATGAAAAGTCTGTCCGCCCCCCGCTAAAATAGGCTGAAGCGGGTCACACATTTTCCACAGATTGCCTTCAGGATTTCCGCTTTTTGATGCTCTCAAAATTCTGCCAACGTCATTAGGAGCCCTGCGTTGGCTCGCTTCTTATCAGCACGTGCAGACTTCCGGCCAATTTATAGGCATCAACTTCGTTTTTCAGAATCTCATCGGAATGCTGTCGACGCTGAAGGGCCGCGAGCTCGACAAGGCACTCACCGAATTCTACTCGCGGATTCGCAGCCAGCAGCAGAAGACGGCATGATGCGCGGCACCCACCCGATCCCCCTAACTTGTTACCTAGTATTTATTCCAGGCTCACGGCCGCTTCAAAAATACTTTTATTCTCGGGCGCAAAATATAAAAATTTTGAACCCGGGAAGCCGGTCGTGGCCTTTTAAGTTACGCCCTCTCCCCCCTTCCACCCCTCTCTAGTTATAGGCGATTTTGCGTTTTTCTTTTGTCCCTCCCCAGAAAATTTATTTGAAAATTCTTGTTTTTTTTGCCTGTTATACGGGTGTCGTCCGGGGCTCTGTTTCGGCTCTGTCTCTGAAATTGACCATGTTGCGTGTAACTCTGCCTTCCTCTCTCATTTCGGGCCATCCACCACACAGCACAGACCACTCGTCCGTTCTGCTTCTTCTGCTTCACGTCCCACACGTACGGGTATATCGACGTTCGGAAATTCGACAAAAGTTACGAAATTTTATTTGTTGGCACGACCCGGAAAATCACTTCTGGCTTGGCGAGGTGCGCAAATCGGGTATTTTTTGGGCCATTAGAAAGCTCTCCAAAAGGCGAGAAAACAAGCGTTTTCTCATTAGCGAAACTGATCTATCAGTAGTTTGATGATGCGCATTTTATTGCAAAAACTGGGATTTTTTTGCACGAGAAAATGGCAAAAAGACTGTTTTCACTTCCACAAAAATGGAGAAATGGTTTCAAACAAGGAAATTTTTCACCGTTTCGTGCCGTAAATCTCGTAGAAATTCCAGAAAAAAAAAGAAATCGCTTTTGTTTCTCGCCTTGTCGAGAGCTTTCGATGGCTACCGAAATCACCAAAATCAGAAGCTCCTCCGAACCGCCAGAGTGCTTTTTCGAGTCTTGCATCCACCCACCCCTGCCGTGTTGTGTTGTCCAACGTGTTTTGTGTGTTAAATTTCGATGCTGTTGCCTTCAAAAAACAAAAAAAAGTCATTTCACCCGCCCTTCCAGGTGTCTGCCGCCCCCGCCACTTTCGTTCAAAATCGTTGTCGCTTCCCGTTGCGGGACGTATCTTTTCAAGTGCTTCTTCTCCCCCCCCCCGCTATTTCCCTTGCAACTTCCCTGTAGTGCCTTGTCCTTTTCCCCAATGCGCGTCTGCTCAGCACTTCTTTCAGCCTTCGCTTCAGCTCGGTGTCCCTCACCCCCAAAAAAATGTGATACATAGGCTCTTCCAATTGACCTGACAATTTATCCCCCATTTCCCCTGCCGGGTTTGGCCGAGATCGGAAAATTCCCGGCGGCTTTTCCCCAGCTTCGGCCAAACCTCGCCTGTCTGCCCACCCTTCATCGCCCAATCCCATCCAATTCATACGTGACCCTAAAACTCGTCGTTTACCCTTACCCCCTTCGTCGCCTCCGCTCCAACATGTAACCCAGCCATTGCCGTTCATTATTGACGTTTTCATAGATATATCAGTCTCGATTTTAATAAATTTTATACGCCCTACTTTCTCGTGAATTCGAGGGCACGGTAACTTCTCACACACAGTATTGAAGACGAACATTTTTCCAGGTCGTCTAATTTGTCGGCTCAAAGTTCCGAGGCAACGCCAAAGATGAGGGGAGGCTGAAGTATGCTTCCCCTCGTGGTGGTCATCTACTGGGAAAGCTGTTTTCTTTTCTGTAAACATTGGGAACCACTTCACGACAGCTCTTTTTAGGCTAATTTGCAGCGGTCAGGCTTGTTTTTTCAAAGGAATTTCCTCGCGCCAACCCCCCCCCCTCGATAGCGAACAAGGCCCGCCTCACACGCGGCGAGAATGACATTATCAAGAAAGACATTCTCGATATTTTCCTCTTTTTTCACGGTTCCAGCCAAAACTGAGCAAAAGAACTCCCACCAACCGATCGAATCCCGGCCCCAATTTAGGGGAAAACCGTCAACCAGGCGGGCCGATCGTCGAGCTGGATGTATGTGGGGGCACGGGTGTCTGTCTATGAATGGGGTATTGTGAACCGGGGGCCGGCTTCTCGCCCCCCTTGTGCTACTCTCTGGCCCGTCCCCCTTTACACCGCTATCTCGGCACCCCGGCGGCCAGGCCCAAAACGTGGCAATCCCAGGCCCGCAAGCCTGTTGCCTGTGTATATTTGCCCCGGGATTCACAGCTATAAAGTTTTGACGGTTCGGCGTTTGGCGATGCCACGGCGGACGACGATTGATTTGGGGGGATTGGCGAATTTTATAGCGTTCTATGGTTTATAGAGTAGATTTAGTTGAAGTTTTGCTTTAAATTAAGCCAAATTTTTTTAGATGAACAGCGATGGCTAATTGTTTTAGCGCATTCTGCTGCGCCGTAGGACGGCGATAGATTTGGAGCGATTGGCGAATTCTATGATTTTTAGGGCTTAGAAAGTAACTTTAGTTGAATTTTTGCGCTAAATTAAGGCACTTTATGGCTGAAAAACGTGGGCTTGGTTTTGTTTTGGGGTATTTTTCTGCCCTATCCGACGATTGAGCTGCAGGGCGTTCTTTAGTTTTCTGGGTTTATTGAGCAGCTTTAATTTTATTTTGGCGTTAAATTAAGCCAATTTTTAGATGAAAACGCGGGCTGATTGTTTTAGCAGTTTCTCCAAATAATCACGTCAATTTTTTGAGAATTTTAAGCCGTTTTAGCCGTCGCTAGCCCCCCCCCCCCCCCCCCATTCCGCTGATTCGGGAGCGCTCTTCTCTTTCCTTTGCCATTCGCTTAGGCCCTGTATTTCCACCTGGCTTTGTTGACCCAAAAGAATAGCTTTATTTCGGGCAGTTCGTTTTCTTTCTGTTATGTTTTGGATCGAAAATTCTATTCCGCTCCTTCATGACTCCTATCCCCAGCTAAATTCCCCTTTTTTCAGGCAAAAACGGGTCGACCCCGGCGCGTTGAGCCGAATAGCTGCATGCTGGCGGGGTCAGGATGGGTCGCGCCGACACAGACGACGTCCAGCCGCTGCTCCACGGCGTTGATGGGGAGAAGAATGGCGTCGTGCGGTTACCGGTGGGTGTTTAAATTAAAAATGAACTTTTTACAATCAGTTTCTCGGTGATTTCGTTTTTCGAAGTGACAGATGTAATTAGGTAGAGCTGAGAATTCTGAACGACCCCCAGGTTTTTAAAAATGCAGAACGATCGAGAAAAAGTATCGCAAAGTTTAACTTTTGTTAACGGGGCTAAAAATCTGCAAAATCTGCCCGAGATTTTCTCCAGAACCTTGATCGTTCAGCTCTTTTTGAAGGATGGGATTAGTTCGGAACACGAGGCTCTAGCGAATGAGTTATTTCACATCTAATAACTCCAGCGTCACCTATAAAACGACGCTTTGTTAGCAGCGGAATATTTTCTCTTCAACCCCCTAATTCTTGCATCCAAAATCTCCATAAGTTCTGCAAGTATCCCCGTCCCCTTCCGCATCGCCGCTTAGCGCCACCCAGACGGCAAAAACAGTTTTTTTCTTTCGGCTTTCTGCCCCACCCGATCTCTGGGTCTCCATTTCGCGGTCGAAAAAGTGAATGCACTGAGTGTATGGGGGGAGGTCCCCCATGGAGCTTCGGCCATATCTACAGGCAGATCGTCGTCGGAGGAGCGAGTGCCGGTCCGAAGGAGACTCCGATGCCCCTAGCTCGCGCTCATTCCCCTCAAGATTCACTTTCCTTCCCCACCCGGGTTGGGGCATTTTCGATTTCGGCCTCCGGGGGCACCACTTCAGACACCGACCTCCGGTGGAATTTATTGGCTTAGCAAAAAGCTTTTGGGCTCATTTGTGACGATTTGGGGGTAAAGGCTTCTAAAATCGGGGTTTTTGGGGCGAAAAGGGACTTTTTTAATTTAATTGGCTAAAATTTGATGCCATTTTATTGTCGGGTTCGAGGACAAGGAAAAAATACGCGTGCTGTTTTTATTGGTAAAACTTTAAGCCCATTTTTGCCACGCTTTTGCGCTGGTTGGTGCCGATCTGTGGGGGGGTAAGGTCGATTTTAAAATAAGGATTCTTAGGCTCCGGACTCGTTTTTGCGGGACCTTTACATGAAATGTCAGCGTATTTTCTGGCCAGAATTTTTGGGTCGAAAATACGCGCACGGAATTTTTATAGAAAAACTTTTAAGTTCCAACTTTACCCATTTAGGATCGGGTTTTTTGAAATAGCGCTTTGCTGCTTAACAATTTTTTTTGCAACAATTTTATGTGGGAATTAGTCCTGTTTTATTAGTTAGGATCTGACGACCGGTAAAAACGCTAAACAAACTTTTATAGATCGAGCGAACCGTCGTCCGCGAGCCGGGAAATACCAAGATGCGCACGGCAATCCTCGTATGGCTGACGCTGCAGAACTCGATTCACACCCTACTCATCAGGTTTCATCAAAAACAGCTTTGTTATCTCGTTTTTTTAAGGTATTCTCGGGCCCGGGACATCGACGAAATGTTCACGTCGACGGTGGCCGTCTTTATGACAGAGGTGAAAAGCATAACACAATTTTTAAGCATTTTCAGATAGTAAAGCTGGTCATGTGCCTAGTATTGGTGATGTGGGAAGAGACGCCTAGGAAGTTTGTTGTATTCTTCTGACTCTAAAATTATTTGTTAAGATTTTTGGCAACGATCCATGCGCAGGTCATCAACCAGCCCGGCGACACGCTGAAGGTGGGTTTGAATTTTGACAAAAGTGGAACCTAAAAAAACCAAGAAATGGAGAAATATATTAGTTCTTTAGGTCTGCATCCCGGCGATGATCTACACGATTCAAAACAATTTGTTTTACGTAGCGGCCAGCCATTTGGATGCGGCGACGTTTATGGTTGAAATTACACATTTTCTTTAAATCGGAATTTTAGATCACCTCCCAAATGAAAATCTTCACGACGGCCATCTTCTCCGTGATCATCTTGGGGAGAACGTTATCGAGAGGGCAATGGGTGCGTTCTAATCGTAGCAAAGCGCTGTTGTCTTCAGCATTTATTTTTATTTTAGGCTGCCTTGCTCGTGCTTTTCGTCGGCGTCTCTCTAGTGCAGTCCCAGACTTCAAACACTTCAGGCGGGCAACGGGACCAGAGCCCGTTCATTGGTACGTTCTGCTACAAAATACAAAAACCGGCATTAAAAATTTGCTAACCTTCCATTTTTTGCAGGTTTCTCGGCCGTGATCGTAGCATGCTGTCTCTCTGGATTCGCTGGCATCTACTTTGAGAAGATTCTAAAGGTAGGCCAGATTGTATAATTATTTATTTTATTGTTTTCTTTAGGGCTCGGCGCCAGTTTCCCTATGGATGCGAAACGTCCAAATGAGCGTGTTCGCCATACCGGCATCAATGATTGCCGTTTTGGTGCAGGTATATGAGCCCAGTTTTTTGAGTTTTTTCTAGGACGGAGAATTCGTGCAATCGCACGGTCTGCTCTACGGTTTCGACAACATCGTCTGGCTGACGTGTTTCTGGTATGGCATCGGAGGGCTGTCAGTGGCTGCTTGTATCAAGTGAGTTTTTCCTCTTACTTTGTGATTTCTGACTCACTACAGCAATATTTTAATTACATTTTTCACGCCTTTTTATATAGAAAACCTTCAGGCATTTTTGTTTGCTTTATTTTACTAAAGTTCCTCAAAACTACGAGAAATTGAGACTGTTTGGTGTAAAATGTGATCGTAAACATTTATAATAAAAAAGTAGTAACTTTTTAGTAATTTGGAAACTACTAAAAAACGGGAAAAAAGCTCCTGAAAAATGAATATTTAAATTCGTATAAAATTTATTATGTGAAATATCTTTGGTATCTTTTTCTCTTGAATTTAACTCCTTTAGGTACGCCGACAACATTGCCAAAAACTTTGCCACCTCGGTTGCCATCCTGCTCTCCACCATCGGCTCGGTGTGGCTGTTCGGCTTTGTGCCCTCGATGGTGTTCATGCTGGGCGCCGCTTTGGTAATCCTCTCCATATTCCTCTATTCGAACCCCCTAATCTTTGCCCAAATGCTTTCCCCGCAAAAAATATGATGATGTAATTCCACGCTCCGGCGTTTGTTTTTTTTGCTTCACATATCCATTCACCTCTTCCACGCTCTTTCCGTTAAGCCTGAAATTAATTTATTTTACATCCTTCCATAATAGGTATCCAAATATTTATTAATTAAAATGATGACTCGTGCTTGTGATATGTTTGATTGGTCACACCATTCGTTGCCTTACACCCTCCCCGCCTGTACCCCCCGATGTGCTTTATCCGTTTTTTTTCTTTGTAACGGGTTCTCCTCGATCCGCGTGGTTTCTGTGATTTAATTTTTTTTGCGATTTCATTTTGTCCCGACTTTTCGGTCATATCATGTAGCCTATGAACGGAAATCTCATCTCACAATTGCCTTTCCGAGAAATGAATGATTCTACGGTGATTCTGGGAATTTGCAGGCAACCACGGAAATTACATTCCAATCGGATACCAAAGACGAACATTTTTAGTTTATTGTTGATGGACCAAGGACGACGAAATTCATGGCGCGCTGGCTTTAAGGGGTCCGGGAAGCGCAAGAATCGACGCCTGCTATTAATAGATCTATTAATATATTGGCTAGGCCAGAAAATTACGCGGCATTCCAAATGACGTGTTTCACGTTTACTTTTTTATCCAAGCTCCAAATGACTAAAGCTTATAAAAATGACCAACGCGCGTAACTAGGGTGCTGCGTAGCTTTCTAGACCTAGCAGCGGAAACGGGGCAGATCCTTGTTCTTCCAAACCCCTTTAATCCCCCGGCACAACGATTTCTTGCAGGCGACACTGCTGCGCTTTCGGCGATGCAAGATACAATCTCGGCCGCCAGCCCCCGAATGGCAAATCGAAGAAATCGGCCGTGTTTTCCCTGTGAATGGCATTTCGGCTTCTTCTTCTTCGGAGGCGAGGGAACGCCGTTTGGTGTAATGAGGAGCAGGCATAAGAAGTATGGCGATCGATGTGTGAGACTGGTCACTTTTCACGCCCACAAGAACTGTGCTACAGTATTTTTACAGTATTTATCTTTATTCAGTAGATTTAGTGCTATTTAGGTGAACGCGTACGGTTATGTACTAATAACGGGAGCGGTAGATTTTAGCCATATACCTAGCGGAAATTGTGCGCTATATATAGCTTATTTTAACGCGTTTTTGGTAAATTACGTGACTGAAAAAGTTATAAAGACGCTAAAAATTAAAAACTGACAATTTTCGACAATTTCATAGATTTTTAATCAGAAACCAATTTTGTAGAGGGCTTTAATATATTTTTTTAGAAACTTTCTTTACTTAGAACGGCGAAAAACGCTATATAAAGGCGCGTACTTCGTCACTGAAACATTTCACAAAGAAATTAAAAACTTCAAACATTTTACATTTTTGACCAAAAACCAATTTTTTTTCGGGGATTTTTGCAATTTTTGATGCTTTTTTATCCTTGAACAAAAATAAAATTATATTTATTTCTTTATAGACTATGACCCCCCGCTAAGAGTGCAGAATCTATTTTTTTGCACACTTTAGTACCATTTAGGTCCTCGTGCACTAGCGCGCCGGCAACCATTTCCGTAACCCAAAACATGGCCCGGCTCGCGTTGCCCTTCGCGGTGGGAACATTGGCACGCGGACCGGCTGGCGGTTAGTGGGCCCCTAGTCTGGCCCATGGCGATGGCCTCATCTGGCCGTCTGCCGTCTCTGCATCTCCCACGCGCCTCCGCGGCATTGGGCCACGTCCAAAAGCGCCTGGATCAACATCCCTCGGCCGGGCATTTTACGGGCCGCGTTTCGATGGGATTCGGGCTCGTTTTGGGCTCGTGCTTCCGTATAGTTACAGGAATAGGTTTTGTTTTGTTTGTAGGGTAAATGAGCGCGTAATCGTCGCGCTTTCTTGATTAGAAAATGGAACAGAAAATGTTGAGATTTTAGCTTATAAAAGTTCTATAAAGCTAAAATAAAATTACTGCTTATAATCCATTGAGCCATTTTCTAGCTTTAGAATTGGCCGTAGGCGCGCTTTAATCTTCAGCAAAATCTAATTGGCCTAGTTTTTTTGTCTATTTTTGCGATTTAAAAAGTAGGTTTTAACTTTGGATTGCCATGGTTTTGACTGAACAGATGTTTTGGCAGTTTTAAATCTCGAAAAAGCACTGGGATTTAAGAAACAAACTTCTGATTCTAACTATTTTGAGGGCCTATTGTGCGTCTGCTAGCTTTCATTATCAGAAAAATAGAATAGTCTTCTTATACAAATTTTTTCCGGTTTAAAAGTGGTTTTATTTTTCCATTTACTATACTTTTAGCCTCCCCTACGCCGAATCAAACAGTTTATCAATCTCATCCCCCAATAGGCGACTGGCCCAACGCGAACTCGCCGGCCTCACGAGCCGAAACAGCTGACCTTTGCTAGACAGGAATCACTACGCCGCCGACCTTCCCCAATCCCCGTTATCAAAATAGCTCCACCCGAAAAAGCGTGCTAAAGCCGTGAGAAAATGCATAAGCCCCGCGTTTGCCGATACGGCCGGAATCGTTTTGGCCTTTCTTGTAAATTTTACGAGGTGTTAATGGTTAATTTTAGTTTTTAGGCTTTCCCCCTTCTGGTCGAATGATTCCTACTTGGTTTCCCCTTTCTGTAAAGCAGAAATTCTTGTTTTTAGCGGAGGAAAAGCTAATGCTTAGCTTTTCGTTTGAAATTTTGTTTTTAGGCTGAAACAGTTCTTGATTTTTCTCTGCAAAAGACTGTGAAAAATCCAAATGGATAGAGTGGGTATATTCCCGGTTTTCCGGGCTTGTCGCTTTATGGGATCTTTTTTGTTGCTTTAGTAAGTCATTTATTTAGTGAAAAAATTTCTAGTCCCATTCCCCAAAGTACAAAGGTACTAAAACGGACCAAAAATCACCATCGTTTTTGAACGTCCAGCTATCGGCCGGCTTCATCGATCCCCCTATCTAGCCCAAGTCCAGCTTTTTTTTTATTTGTCCGTGCCCTCCCACTTTTATATTAGCTTTTGCTCCAAACGCACGGCAAACAGAGTTTCGAAGGCCAAACTTTTTCCTATTTCCGGTCTGGCCGCCCCATTCCATTAGCCACAGTCCACAGTGCGCTTTTTGCCATTTTTCATCCGGCACCTCGGCGCAATTTATTATTTTTTCGGGGGAAACTGCCACATCGCCCCGGTTCCAGCGGTCCTCGAGAGGTGCTCACGCTCACTGGGGCTGGTTCGTTAGCGGGGGGGATTTTTAGCGCCGGGAACTACTGAATTTCTTCTATGTTCCAGTAGAAGCCAAATGAACGCAATAACCTATTCTCCTTTTGAGGTAAAAAAGTTATAAAAACTATTAAAGTTTTCGAAATTTTTGTTTTTTTTTGCCAAAAAAAAGTGAAAAACTTTCATTTAAAATTTTTTTATTTTGTTTAGTTATTAGCGCTGCCAACCATATAGAAATAATCCAGGTTTTATTAGAGTAATGGTTATTCTGGATAATAGAAATTGACCCCCCCGCTAATGAACAAGGACCTCTCACCAACTGATTTTGAGCTGAACTAGCAGTGAATTGATGTCATGCGCTGGATTGTATATGGTCGATTGCCAGCGGGACAGACATAGATGGGATAGAGATGCTTTGTTGGTTCAGCACGAGCCCGCTGATTTACGTGGCATCCAGTCAAGGGGCATCGCCAAACCCCCGAAAAGTCGATTCGTTTACCGGCCGTCGTACTTTTCGCCTATCAATCACCGGCTACTAGGGGGGCTGTCCGGATCCGGCTATAATATTTGATGTCTGGCGCTTTTCCGAGAATTTACGAATTCCGCTTTCTATTTCGGATTTTATAATTTTTCCGCGTATATTCCATTTTTTTTCAGCGAAGCGACGAAGTAGAAACAACGCATTGAAGACGTTCACTTTTTCCCGGCGACGAACCAACCATGGCGAACGCCCAGCCGGCCTCGGAAAAAAGTAAGTTTCCGGTTGTGCGGATTTCCGGACGTGAATTCCGCATGAATCAACTCTTATTACTTTTTTCGAAATGTTAAAAAATATCAACTATAATAATTTTCTTGACGCGTCTGTCCGTCTGTCTGAAGCCGAATTCAACTCGAAGGGGAAAAGAGCTAGAGCTTAGCTCTCTTCGGATTCGGATAGAGCGCCGTCAGAAACCCCCAAACTGATAAAAAAATTATGAAAAAGTTTTAGTTTAAATTATTAAAATTAACTTTGAAAGTTTTTTCCTTAGTAAAAGGGGTGGGGGACGGAGGTTGGGGTGTTTTTGGACATAGTGAGCCAGGTGACGCGCGTTTCGTGGATGAAAATTTTCATGGGGAATTTCATTTCTTTTTTTCTCTCATTCCATCCGGTCGGTCGTTATTTTTGTTTTTTAAGGGGATTTCGGCTAGGGGAGGTATGGAAAGCCATCAGGGAGGTATCTAAGTAGTTTTTGAAGGGGATTTCAGCCATGGGGGGTATCTGAAGCCATCAGGAAGGTATTTAGGTAGTTTTTGAAGGGGATTTCAGCCATGGGGGGTATCTGAAGCCACCAGGGAGGTATCTAGGTAGTTTTTGAAGGGGATTTCAGCCATGGGGGGTATCTGAAGCCACCAGGGAGGTATCTAGGTAGTTTTTGAAGGGGATTTCAGCCATGGGGGGTATCTAAAGCCACCAGGGAGGTATCTAGGTAGTTTTTGAAGGGGATTTCAGCCATGGGGGGTATCTAAAGCCATCAGGGAGGTACCGAAGTAGTTTTTTAAGGGGATTTCAGCCATGGGGGGTATCTGAAGCCATCAGGAAGGTATCGAAGTAGTTTTTGAAGGGGATTTCAGCCATGGGGGGTATCTGAAGCCATCAGGAAGGTATCTAGGTAGTTTTTGAAGGGGATTTCAGCCATGGGGGGGTATCTAAAGCCATCAGGGAGGTACCGAAGTAGTTTTTTAAGGGGATTTCAGCCATGGGGGGTATCTGAAGCCATCAGGGAGGTACCGAAGTAGTTTTTTAAGGGGATTTCAGCCATGGGGGGTATCTAAAGCCACCAGGGAGGTATCTAGGTAGTTTTTGAAGGGGATTTCAGCCATGGGGGTATCTAAAGCCACCAGGGAGGTATCTAGGTAGTTTTTGAAGGGGATTTCAGCCATGGGGGGTATCTAAAGCCACCAGGGAGGTATCTAGGTAGTTTTTGAAGGGGATTTCAGCCATGGGGGGTATCTAAAGCCATCAGGGAGGTACCGAAGTAGTTTTTTAAGGGGATTTCAGCCATGGGGGGTATCTGAAGCCATCAGGAAGGTATCGAAGTAGTTTTTGAAGGGGATTTCAGCCATGGGGGGTATCTGAAGCCATCAGGAAGGTATCTAGGTAGTTTTTGAAGGGGATTTCAGCCATGGGGGGTATCTAAAGCCATCAGGGAGGTACCGAAGTAGTTTTTTAAGGGGATTTCAGCCATGGGGGGTATCTGAAGCCATCAGGGAGGTACCGAAGTAGTTTTTTAAGGGGATTTCAGCCATGGGGGGTATCTAAAGCCACCAGGGAGGTATCTAGGTAGTTTTTGAAGGGGATTTCAGCCATGGGGGGTATCTAAAGCCACCAGGGAGGTATCTAGGTAGTTTTTGAAGGGGATTTCAGCCATGGGGGGTATCTAAAGCCACCAGGGAGGTATCTAGGTAGTTTTTGAAGGGGATTTCAGCCATGGGGGGTATCTAAAGCCATCAGGGAGGTACCGAAGTAGTTTTTTAAGGGGATTTCAGCCATGGGGGGTATCTGAAGCCATCAGGAAGGTATCGAAGTAGTTTTTGAAGGGGATTTCAGCCATGGGGGTATCTGAAGCCATCAGGAAGGTATCTAGGTAGTTTTTGAAGGGGATTTCAGCCATGGGGGTATCTAAAGCCATCAGGGAGGTACCGAAGTAGTTTTTTAAGGGGATTTCAGCCATGGGGGGGTATCTGAAGCCATCAGGGAGGTACCGAAGTAGTTTTTTAAGGGGATTTCAGCCATGGGGGGTATCTGAAGCCATCAGGAAGGTATCGAAGTAGTTTTTGAAGGGGATTTCAGCCATGGGGGGTATCTGAAGCCATCAGGAAGGTATCTAGGTAGTTTTTGAAGGGGATTTCAGCCATGGGGGTATCTAAAGCCATCAGGGAGGTACCGAAGTAGTTTTTTAAGGGGATTTCAGCCATGGGGGTATCTGAAGCCATCAGGGAGGTACCGAAGTAGTTTTTTAAGGGGATTTCAGCCATGGGGGGTATCTAAAGCCACCAGGGAGGTATCTAGGTAGTTTTTGAAGGGGATTTCAGCCATGGGGGGTATCTGAAGCCATCAGGAAGGTATCTAGGTAGTTTTTTAAGGGGATTTCAGCCATGGGGGGTATCTGAAGCCATCAGGAAGGTATCGAAGTAGTTTTTTAAGGGGATTTCAGCCATGGGGGGTATCTGAAGCCATCAGGAAGGTATCTAGGTAGTTTTTTAAGGGGATTTCAGCCATGGGGGGTATCTAAAGCCACCAGGGAGGTATCTAGGTAGTTTTTGAAGGGGATTTCAGCCATGGGGGTATCTAAAGCCACCAGGGAGGTATCTAGGTAGTTTTTGAAGGGGATTTCAGCCATGGGGGGTATCTAAAGCCACCAGGGAGGTATCTAGGTAGTTTTTGAAGGGGATTTCAGCCATGGGGGGTAGCCCGAAGGCCAGATGGTTACAGTCGCGAAGCGACTGGAACCATCTGGTAAATTAAGGAAAATGCTGCGAGCTTTTTTTTTAGTATCCGTCTATAATACAAAAATGTCGATTTTAAACCAAAATTGCGAACTTTTCTAAAAGTTGTAATTTTTCGACTAGTTTGTATTTTTTAGATAGCTACCTTGTCCTAAAAAGAGTATTGAGGGTCTGGCTATTACTCGACTCGTTATCTGAGCACTAGGCCTTAGCCTAAGCCTACCCTAAACTTCAAGCAAAATTCGGTCTCCCCTAAAAAAATAGTAAGAAAGCAAGCTTTTTCTTACCTCTAAATTTCAACGAACTTTTTAGCGATAAAGTCTGTACCTCAAAACCTAGTCGACCCCAGGTTCACCTGACCGCAAAACTGGTCTGATAATGAGCGAACCGGTGGCCATCCCCGTCGCTCTCCTCCTCGTCTGTGTTTGGGTATAGGGAAACAAGCCGTGACTAATCCGCCCAGGCGGCGTACGACCTCCTGCTGTGCCTGTATATATTTATGCGAGCCTCTTCCTTCTTCTCTTTCATCGATTCCGCACTCAGTAACCAACCAACCGGTCCAACTTTTGCACTTGATAGCCCGTATGGGTTGGCGGGGTGCGTGAAAATGGCTGCGAATGGCGCTAGGGCGCGCTGGCGGTTTCCGGAACTGTTTATTACTGGTAGGAAAACTGGGGAGCTCTTAAAATTAGCTGGGCTTCCGGTTTATCAAGAAGGTTTTCGCGGCAGCAAGCTAATTTTTTCCTTTTTCACATGTGTAATAATAATATAAATATTTTTTGATGGTTTTTAGCAGTTTTTAAATGCGAGGAAATTCTTGAAAAATGGCGGTGTTGAAAATGTAGACCTTTTTTGTGCATTTTTCATACATTTTTGACAAAAGATGCGAAATTTTTGAAGCTATTTGAATTTTTACGGAATTTGTTATCGAAAAACTTTCTAAAAACTATTATAAAAATGCTTTATACTGCATTATAGCGCAAAAATTGGTCCCCCGCTAAGCATTACCTTAAAATAATCATCTTTTTTTCAGAGGCCCAGGTGATCAAGTACTCATCGCTGGTGGTGCTCGTCATCCAGAACTGCTCTCTGGTCCTTTTTATGAAATTTGCCCTCGCCGGGGATAGACCGAAATTTTTGAAGGTATCTGTTACAGCAAAATTTGAAATTTTCGGTTTCCAGACGATATCCGTCTTCTGGGGCGAGGTGTTCAAGTTCACCGCGTCGATATGCCTCGTCTGCCTGGAGATGCGCAGCTTGCCAAAGTCGGATTTTTAACTGTTCTGAAACAGATTTAACTGTTAAAGGGTTTCATTTTCAAACTACGCTTTTTTTCAGGGGCCTCAACGAGATCTGGCTGGAATTCACCGTCAAATGGCGCGACTTTTTGAAGGTGCTGGTCCCCGCCTGCGTGTACACCATCCAGAATTTCTTGCTGTAAGTTTCAAAAAATCCGATTTATTTTTTCTAATTAGATACGTTGCCGTCGAGAATCTCCCGGCTGCTACGTACATGGTATTTTTAGATCAACAATAAAATAAATACCCTTCTAGGTGACCTACCAATTGAAAATCCTAACGACGGCCATCTTCACGGTCCTTGTGCTGAAGCGCAAGTTGTCGTGGGCACAGTGGGCCGCGTTGCTCGCACTTTTCGCCGGTATCGCTGTCGTGCAATATGTGGGTTTCTTAGTCAAAAATGAAAAATAAAAATTTTGGAGCAACTCGTACTTTCAGGATCAAAAAATGTCGGAAGACGCCGAGAAAGCTGCCCGAAAAGCCCTGCAATCGCTCAATGAGACGTTACCGGCTGTGAATCCCACGCTGGCCGAGGTGCCGCAAAATCTGCAGGAAGCTGTCAGCGGAAGACTGGTAAGTAGCTCAATTTTGTTGATGTTCGATGGTTAAACAAGATAAACGCTGATTTTTGTTGTATAAATTGACGAATTCAACAAATCGAATGCGAATCCGAATTTTTCATAAGGATCGCGTTCCGCGGCAGTTTTCTGATATTGATTCTAGTTTGTTTTTTAGTTTAGTAGGCGGGCTTGTTTCTCAATGGTTTTTATACTATTCCTAGACGTAATTTCTAAATCAAGCTGAAACAGAAATGTCGTTTTTTCGACTAAAAATTCTTAATTTTGATCCAAGACTTTTTGAATTTTTACAATTTATTAAAGTTTTCTAATAGGTTTTCCACTTTATATATAAATAAGTGTTGCTGAAAGTCAATTCAAATACTGCGACACACCTAGACGTATCGGAAAAACTTGGACCCCCCCCCTCCGAAAATGCCAAAGAACCAGCCGCGGTCGAAACTACAAATAAATTTTTAATTGATTAAAATAGGTTTAAAAGAAATTCAAAATACAGAAAATATTTTGGTTTCCTTGGGATATTTGGCGGCGAAATGCTTCTCCTTGCCCCTAGCATGCCTGCCAGTCTCTGCTCTCTCACAATGCCACGCTCCCCCGCTCTACCCCCGCACCCTCCGCCCGACCAGCCGTTCTTTCCCGGGGGCTCCCCCCGCCCAAAACCCCTCAATACCGCCACGATCGGCATGGCCGCGTGGCGCAATGGATAACGCGTCTGCCTACGGAGCAGAAGATTGAAGGTTCGAATCCTTCCGTGGTCGAAACTTTTTGCTTTTTGCCCCAAAGTCTGATATCAGGATCCTGATGCGAATACTGGTCCAACACTACTTTTCGTTCTTTTTCAGGAGCTCCTCAGCACCACAATGGGCCCTTTGGCACGGCTCAAACGGCAAGCCGCTACCCCTTCACCGGCGCCTCGTGGTGGAAGCGAGCAGAATTCGCTGATCGGGTAATATAAGTTTTTCAATTGTTTTTATTAGTTTTTTTTTCAGTTTCGCCGCCGTCCTCGTCGCCTGCGTGCTCTCCGGCTTTGCGGGCATCTACTTTGAAAAGATTCTGAAGGGTACGCGACTTTCCGTTGGCGCTACAACTAAAAGTTTAGGCTCGCAAGTCTCCATCTGGATCCGCAACATTCAACTGGCATTCCCGTCCATCTTCTTCGCCATGTTGTTCGCTGCGGTAATCGGCTTTTTCTAAAAAAATTCAATTCCATTAAAAATATTTTCAAAAAAATCTAAAACCGTTTTTAGGTGAAAGACCGTGGCGTCGTTTTTGCCGACGGCTTTGCCCCCAGCGACATTGCCAGCAGGTATTCTGGAACTTTTGGGTGGTATATTTATTTTCCTAGGGCAATGTACGGGTTCGACTGGGCGGTCTGGGTGACGGTGGGCATCAGCGCGTTCGGCGGACTGGTTGTGGCCGTGGTCATCAAGTTTGCCGATAATATTTTGAAGGTAGGGTCTGATTTTTCGCGGCGGGGAGCTCTTGCGTTGTATGAGGCGACGCCGACTTTGTATCGTTAGCCGAGAAATGCCTATTTTTAACGTAATAATTGGTACTTTCATAATGTTTTTAGTTTTAGCTTTTTTTAATTGTTAAATCGAGAATTTTTGGCCAAAAGGTGAGATTTTCTTTTAGTTTGAAGACCACATTTTTGAAGTTTTGACACCTAGAATAGTAAAAACAATTGAGAAATTCGATACGGAAGATCGAATTTTGGATCCCCGGAAATGCTAAAGAACCGAAAATCCTCTTTTTTTTTCTAGGCATTTGCCACCTCGTTCGCCATCGTGCTCAACTGCGTGCTTGCCTACTGGCTGTTCAACTTCCACCCGACGTTTCTGTTCCTCCTCGGCGCAACCATGGTCATTGCCGCCGTCTTCGTCTACAGGTATCGTAGCAGTTTTTCAAAAATAACCTTGTTTTCAAAATGCTATTCCGCAAAATGTTATTTTATGAAAATACATCTACTTTTTCAGCCTGTTCCCCTTCAAAGCGTCCCATCAGCCCGTGCCCACCACCGAGGAAAAAGCCGAGGAGCTGCGCGACGTTAAAGCGCAAAAATGAACGAGTTGACCGCGGCTGAAACTCTTGGAAAACCTAGGCAATTAGCAAAACAGTAGCCCCCGATCGTATCTATCATACAATTTTTACAATTGTCAAATCTTTCCCAATGTATCCTCCCTCCGTTTTGTTGCTCTGAGAAACTGTGATTATTGCTGCGATTTGCGTTTCGTTTTGTATGTCATTTTTGATGCTCGTTTTTCCTTGTGCCATTTTTGGGTACACAAAATAAACGGTTATCTGATTTGGGATAAGGCAAGAAGGGCCTGAACTACACATAAAAAGTCTCAAAAGGTCCTTTTTACAAACAGAAAGTTTTATTGTTACAAAAAGAACAAAAATTGTGGAAAACAAGGCTGTAAGTCGTCGCGGCGACCGTAACCCGGAGTACGAAACATGCCAACTTACGCTCGGGTCCCGAGAGGAGATCTTCTACAGTAGCGCATCCCCTCCCACGGCTGAACCGATTTTCTCCTTTTCCTCTCTCCTAATCGATTTTTTTTCTGTAAATTCATTGTTTTTTTTTTGTTTATAAACTTTCTTAGACGAAATTTTTGTCAGAATTCTATTTCTATTGCTTTTTGTAGAGCGTTGTTGGTCAACGATCCTCATTATTCATTTTCCAGGCCTTCGGTCCACGATGGGAGCGAGACCAACGGCGACCGAAGAGTTTATGTAAGGAAATTTTCGCTCCGTTTTATTTATCCTTTCTAGGGAATCCGTCCTTTCGATCGGGTTCGTCGCTATCATCATCATCGTTTTCCTCATCAGTTGCAAGATCTACTGCGGATGTCGGCGTATCAAGAACAGATGGAGCGGCGGCAACCCACAAATGAAATGCAAAGTCAACATTGTGGTATTTTTTGTTCGATTTGCTTCAATTTTTTTTTGAAGAATGGAAATGGGAACGGCATGCCCATGCAGCAGCCGTCGCTTGGCCCGATGGATCGTCTGAAGGCGCGCTTGTTGTTCGGGCCGCAACAACCACTACCGGTATCGTGGTGTTTATTTTAAAATTTGTGTTTCAGATGCATTCCCAGATGCCGCCCTACATGCCTCCTCCACCACCCGGCTATCCCGTCCCCTACCAACAGAGCCCTCCTTACCCCACCGCACACATCATCCCAATGAACCATCAGGTTTGTTTATGTTATCATTCAAACCTCTTATTTTTTAGATGGCCGTCCAGTACCAGCAGCCCGCTCCACCAACTGCTCAAGCGCCGTTACCAACGTAATTATTCCTATTTCGGCCATCATTTTCTTTTAGTGTTCATGGGTACCAAATTGACCCACGTGATCCTCCTGCGTCTGCATTCATGCCGGAGAAGCCAAGCGCCTCAGTGTACATCTAACGAATTTGGTTCGAATCCATCTTGTGTTATGTTCTTACTTTTCTAACTACCCAATTCTGTGAATCCCTTATCCCATCTAGCTTTGAACTCGACGGTTGACAGTCTGTTTTCTTTGCTGAGATTTACGATAAATAGTAACGAAAGTGTTTTGTGTGCCGATTGCTCGGGAGTTTACGCTCGTTTTACCTCGTTACTTTCCGCGGGCTCGTTGTATTGAGTTCGTTCTATTCTAGCTCGTATCATGGCCAACCGCGTGCTGTCCGGCAAGCCCAAGCCGCCGCCTGACACGATGACGCTCCTTGAGCTGGACCTCTGGATTGCCGAGCAAAAGGTTTCGTCTACCTGCAAATCTAAGTTTGGTTTCAGGTGATCATCTCGCATCTGGGAACTGTGGATGAGGAGAGGAAGGCGGCGCTGTTTCGCTCGTTCGACGAAGGCCGTGCCAGAAAGGCCGCTGCCGAAGAAGCCAAGCTGAAGACCGAGCACCTGAAGTTCAAGGCGGAGCGTACGGATCTTTCTTTGAATCTGCAATTGTTTTAGTGCTCAACAAATATATCAACGAGACGAATCAGGAGCTGGTCGATGTCTTTATGGAGGTCGACACCGTTACGAAGGAACTGTTGGTCGAAAAGGAGAAGGCCAGCCAACTGGAGAAGGATGCCGCCAGGTTGCGCTCTCTATGCTCCTGCAACTTATGATTTAGACTTCCGGCCGAGATTGAACTCAAGAAGGTTCAATTGACGCACTTGGAGCACAAGTTCGCTGAATTGAAAGAAGATAACGCCGCTTTCGAAGCCCAACTTCAGCAAGACCTGACGGTCGCCAAGGAACAGTTGGCACGAATCAAAGCCATCATCGATGCTGACGAGGGCGAGCAAAGGCGCCGGGAGGTACGATTTTTCTTTGCGATCGTATTGTCCCTTACAGGTAAGGGCTAAGCTAGCCAAGAAGAAGAAGAAGGTTGAAGAGCTCCAGAAGCGCCAGCAAGACCTGGAGGCTCAAGTCAAGCTGCTGGAAACTGATGGTAATCCGATTTAAACCACTGACGCCGTTAGTAGCTCAGTGTCGTCGCCAGATGCCGTTCAAGGACTTTTGCAAGAAGTTTGCACGCCACTTGTCCCAAGTACAAGAGTTCCAGCGGAAGATTGCAGCTTTGAAGCCCGCTTTTGACGAGGCGGAAGCCAAGGTATAACTTAACCCTCCATTGGTCTAAAGGAATAATTCTTTTTTTTTAGAAAAAGAAGGAGCATATGAATATGTCGATGGTGGACAGCCAAGAAAACCAGGATCAAACACAACTGAATATTTCCAAATACGTCTTGAAGACCCAGCAGACTCAGCCAAAGTCTCCGCAAAGCAAGGAGCAAGCCGTCACCGAGCCTGTGCGGATCCGAGTCGAATCGCAGCTTCCGGAAAACGAAGAAACTATGCTGGAAAACCCAGAAGATCGGTATCGCTTTGGTTTTTTTTGTCGTGCACTACTCATTTTAGCGAGACGCTGCTTGCCACATCTATGCTGAGCAACGACATCGAAGTGGCGTCGAATGCAAGCGAATGCCGACGCCGATCTTTGGAGGAGGAAGATGCGACCATGGATGAGAACGAAGGCAGCAAGCGCCTCGCCTCTCAACCACCCCCAGCGAGCCAACATCGTGATGGCGATCAACAAAGAACCTCGCAACAACACAAGCCGAAGATCGTCGTCAGGGTCGTGCAGGATGATGGGCACGAGGGATCTTTTGAAGAAGATCAGGCCAAAACGGTTTGTTTTATCCGCTTTTTTATTCACTCTGTTTTAGTTGCAACTCCATTCGAAAAGCCAAGGCGTATCGCAAGTCGGAAACAGTCAGCTCTCAATGCCGGACAGTCAGCGCCAAATGGCTAGCAACACGCAGGCCACAACTGGAAGTAAGTTAGGATTTCCTGGGGAGATTTTCATGTTTGCAGCCGAACAACAAGAATGTGAGGTGATGGACGCGTCTCCATTTGATTTCGATCCATCCCCGGCGATGGATTTCAACGAGCAAGGTGGCGGGACGCAACAGGACGAAGACGCATTCATGGTTTTGCTAAACAATTCTTCCTAATTTTGGTTTTAGTTTGACGGGATCGGAGATACAACCGCCGGGTTTCACATGGAAGCCGTGGACAGCGTCGTCAATATGTCTGGAACAGATGGTATCGATTTATCTTTTAACTTCACCTTCATTTTAGGGGCGGGCGAGCAATTCCTGTCCTTCATGCAAGACCACACCGGCCGTTCGGGCCAGAGCAAGAATGATGCCAATGGCGAGGGCGGAAGTTTCTTATTCGGAAGCGGTGCGGGAGCTGGCGACGGGGCTGATTTTGACTTCGATTTCGGAGGTCGGTTTTTTTTTTGATGCCTTATTCACTCCAAGGATTGGATGTGTCTTCAATAATTCCTTTTTGCTTTCAGGTGATGGGACCAATGCGGCCAACGGCAACGATCTCAATGGAACCTTCGACTTCAATTTCGACGGGCAGGATGGCGACCACGCGGACGGCGACAATGGCAACAGCAGCTTCGGCCTCGGATTTTAGTCGCGTACCCATGTTTGATGTTTTCTACACTAACTTCTGTTAATCTTCCGTCGTGATTGTTATTATTTCTCTTGATCTATTTTCGCTCTGTGCCTTTTGTGTGTTTGATAATTTACTAATAAATTTTGTGTTTAAATTTCTGCTGAATGGTCAAAAACGGTTCTCTGGCCGATATATTAGATTTGCTTTCCGTCTTTTGCTTATTTCACCTAACTATTTTAGCGGCGATGAGCAATTATGGAACATCCTGCCCGCTGCATTCTGCAATGGAGCTCCAGTACTTCTGCCTCCCGTGCGACCAGGCCATCTGCAATGAATGTGTTGCCGGAGATCATCTTGGGCACCCCTATGAAGATGTTATAAAGGTATCGGCTTACCACTTTTATTTAAATTCGGCTTTAGATGGCCAATATGAAGCTCGACGACATCAAGCTGCTGTACGGGGCGGTGATGGCCAAGCGGAATACGTTTAATGATCTGTCGCAGGTATCTTTTTTTGTTGGTTTTTATATCACTACTTTTAGCACGTCGACAAGGCGATGCAAGCCCTGTCGTCCGACCTCGAAGTTGCCAAGGAGACTGTCGAAAACAACGCCAAGAAAATCCATGCAATCGTCGACGAGCAACTGATGCTGGCCTTGCGCGAACTCGAAACGTCCTATACCGATCGAAAGGTTCGTCTTTTGTCTATTAAATTAAATTCCCGTCAGAAAGAGATCTCGCGCGTCGCTAAAGGGACGTTCAACCTTATCGATCGCATAGACCAAACGCTCGAATTTTGTCGGCGCTATTTCGCCCAAAATCACCCCATCGACGTAAGCAGCGCTTAGCTGTATGCGAAAAATTTTTGTTGTTCAGGTGCTGGTTTTCAAACAGTTAATTGACACCCGCTTGCGCCTTTTCTTGATCTTCAACCCTGACCTGCTCAATGTGTTGGACGAGCCCATTCATGTGGGTTTTGTCGGCCCGCTGCTCATCCCTATCTTTTAAGGCCGAGATCCCGCAGTTGGACTCGCAGTCGATCCGCCACTTCATCCGCGAGAACTTTGCACTGGTGAACCTTATTTTTCGGCGCATAATTCTCTTTTTTTTAGAGGCGCAAGCCGAACGCGCAACTGCACCAGGACATCTACATGGATGCCTCTATGGGTGGATCCATCGGTTCGCGAGGGAACGGCAGCGTGCCCCCTACGCCAATCGGCCATTTCCCGTCGAACTACCGTGGTCCAATGGTCATGCAATATCATGGTTATCCCAACGGTATCGCGAGCTGCAGTTTTTTATAATTTTTTTGTAGGCGCTGCACAGCAGGGTTTCCCATTCCCTCCGCTCCACAGCCGCAGCAAGCACTTCAAGGCTGTTAATCAGGATTCGCTGGAAGCTGCTGCCTCGCCTCCGATTTACGAGTCCGATTCGCAGGAGCAGCTGATCTCGTCGTCTTTCCTCGGGCCCTACACTGACGTAAGCGTTGTGTCAAATTTTCCTAAAAACCTTTTTTTAGACAGGCCTGTCTACGCAATGGCCGACGCCACTCGAGTCCAGCTTGGCTACTATCGAGGGCAGCGATACGGTGGACGTGGATAAGGATTGCTCGGCGCCGTACATCCGGTATTTTTGGCTTCAACTCATTGTATATCTCCTGTAGACAACGTTCCGGAATGAAGCGCGGCAAGATGATCTACCACTGCAAGTTCGGAGAATTTGGTGTGATGGAAGGGCAGTTCACGGAGCCTTCGGGAGTTGCGGTCAACGCCCAGAACGACATCATCGTCGCCGACACCAACAACCATCGCATCCAGGTTTCTATTTGATCGATTTGTTTCAATATTCCTTTAGGTCTTCGACAAGGAGGGCCGATTCAAGTTCCAGTTCGGAGAGTGTGGCAAGCGAGATGGGCAGCTGCTCTATCCCAACCGGTATTTGTTGTCCATCAACCTTCATGGTTTATTTTAGTGTCGCGGTAAACAAACGTACCGGCGATTTCGTGGTTACCGAGCGCTCGCCCACTCATCAGATCCAGGTTTCCTCATGCTCGATTCCGTTACAAATTTCCAATTTTTAGGTCTACAACCAATATGGCCAATTCCTGCGCAAATTCGGCGCGAACATTCTGCAGCACCCGCGTGGCGTTTGCGTCGACTCAGGGGACCGGATCATCGTCGTCGAGTGCAAGGTTAAACCTTTTTCACGGAATTTTATTTTGCATTTAGGTGATGCGCGTGCTGATCTTCGACATGAGCGGGCAGGTGCTGGGCAAGTTCAGCTGCTCCAACCACCTCGAGTTCCCGAACGGCGTCTGCACCAATGATAAGGAGATCCTCATCTCGGACAACCGCGCTCATTGCATCAAGGTATTGTGACTCTTTCCATTGTTGAAACATGCTTTGCTAGGTCTTCGGATACGACGGCGCTTTCCTGCGAACCATCGGCGGTGAAGGCGTGACCAACTACCCGATCGGCGTCGGCATCACCCCTAATGGAGAAGTTGTCGTCGCGGACAACCACAACAATTTCAACCTGACCGTCTTCAGCCCGGTATTTTCACTTCTCTGCATTCAACACCTTTTAGGAGGGTATTCTGATCGGCGCCCTGGAGAGCAAGGTGAAGCATGCCCAGTGCTTCGACGTCGCGTTACTCGACGACAACTCGGTGGCGCTGGCCTCGAAGGACTACCGCCTCTACTTGTATCGCTTCTCCATCGGCCAGGGAACAGGACTGTCAAGCATCGACACCACGCAGTAGCACAGCACCGCCAAATTGCACGTAACTTCTTCGCTTGCTCGTTGCACACCATTGTTTCTGGGTTGACCAATTAGTTAGTTGTTGCTACTTACCATTAATTTAAAAAATGTTTTCCTTTCTTAGCTCTTTGTTGTTGTTGTCACCCGTCCCCATCCCCTTTCATTCTCAGACCGTAATATACCCTTAAACATAGCATTGTCCCCCACTGTTGTACCACAGCCCACCTCCGGGTGATCTTTATCATCCCCCCTGCTGTTGGTTCGCTTTACCATGTGAATTGTTGGCCAGACGAGCCCCGACTCAGTTGTTGTTTCCCCGCGCCGGTGCGCTTTTACTGTGCTTTGATTGTTAATAAAAAACGTTTTACGCAAGCGTCTTCGCGCAACAATTTCTGCTTGGTGGTGTGAATTGTGATGTTGAAGTGTGTTTGATACGTCATTGGGTGCGTACACATTTATCGTACACAACAGTCATTAGCGGGCGATGAAGAATCGGCGGGTGGATTTGTGCGGCTGATGGGAGGCGAGGAGTTGTAGAGTTGTAGTGTAGTCGACCTGCTAAACGAGCGGAAGCCCGTAGTGCTGGCTCCAACAGATCGAACAGGCACTCTAAATGGGCTTGTTGCGTAGGAGAAGTCAAATTGTGTCTACCTGCCGCTGTGTAGAGACAATTCGGGGAGACTCCCCGGAGGAGCTTCAGCTCTTTGAACGAGATGCAGTACTGCGTGTGTGGGCGGCCGATCAGAACGCTCTCACGAGCACGGCTGGAATTTCAGGCAATCAAAATTTGGCGAAGTAGACCCCCACCGGTGCCGCGAATAGCACCGCGTGCAAACGGATTTTTCAATCCCGACAGCCTTGCGCGAATCACGATCGACATCAACACACGAGTAACACTGAAAAAAACGGCTCTCCATCACTCAAACGGCCTCTTACTTGGTCCTTTTGCTGAGGCACGCGTAGACGCCGGATCGTCCATTCGGCGACATCGACAGCATCATCCTGGAATCGTCAAATTGATGTAGAATGGCGTGGCTTTTATATATTTAAGTCTGGACTATTAGCAGGGGGAGGGGTTTTCGCGGGGACGATTCTCCAAGAATTTTAGGTATAAAAATCTCGGATTCTGGACTGTTAGCGGCGGAGGGGGAACCCAATTTTTTTCCTGGTGGTCCCGGTTGACCTAGTTATCAAAAATAAGGTGTTTTCGAACTGTTTTTAGTAAGTTTTAACTATATTTAAAGCAGAAGAACTTTCCGAAAAATTTAGAAACATGTTTGAAAAAGGCGAAAATTTGGTCATTTGGGTCATTCCCCCGCGAATCCTAAAGGTTCTATGGGATTGTTCGACCTAATGTATATTTTTTAATTTTTTTTGGGTCGAAAGGTGTGTAGTTTTAATGCTCAGGAACAATTAAAACCAATTAAGAAACGCATCCGCTATTTATAAAAAAAATCTAGGCTTGTGCCGAAAAAAATTTGCGAGTGACCGAAAACACGAAACACACCTCTTTACGGCCATACGGAATTATCAAGGCTACCTACGCTTCCCCCGGAACTATACTCGGGATTTTAGGGTAAATGTATAAAAGAACGAAGAGTTTCAATTTTCTTACAAATAGCAATTTTCAACTGGCAATCACCGCGACAAACCGATAGAAAAACGGTAGACCAACCCGGGCATCGAGCCATAGCTCGAGGCGCTGGTAGTCGATAGGGGCGGCTGGCTTGGTGGGAGGCGGGCTCGCAGGCTTCGGAGCCTTGCGCTTGGTGGTGACTTCTCGCTTGGGGGCGCGCTCGTGGGCGATGGTGCGGGCCGTCGGCGTCTTCTTAATGCTCGGGGCCTTCTTTTGTGACTTCGTGTGTGGCGCCATGCTTTCTGAAAGTTAGAGGTTAAGGCTCGAAGTAAATTAAAAGCAAGACCAGGGTTGAAAAGTCGAGAAGCGCGCGGTATTATGGTGTGGTGTTTAGCAGCACCCACCGTTCTGCGAACGTTCTTGCCGTGGCGGACGGAGGGAAGAATTTAGAAATGAAGAAGTATGAAATCGACACTGTTGAGCCAATGCTGTATGTATACATGGAGTTGCACGCTAATTATGCGTGGCTTGCGGTAGCTGTGAATTGATTCGAAAGTGATGCCTTTATGGCCGTAAAGATTCAATGAACGAAGGCAAATTTGTTAGAAATGATATGCAATGCAAATGTCTGAAGCTGCGCGCGTAACTCCTGTCCAGGGACGTAGCGTAAGGTGCCCCCCCCGAAATCGGCCGGGGCCCGAAAATTTCGTAAGCGGGACCCTTATGATTTTTTATTTTCTCAAAAATTTTGCTGCCTGTGGCGCTATTTTTTCACGTTTTTACTACTATTTGTAGAGCTAAGTAGCCTTTTTTCCAAAATTTTTCGCCTGCGGCGCTGTTTTTTCGTACATTTGTTGATTTTTTTCGGAAGTAATTTTTCGGGCCCCCCGAAATTTTTTTTTCTGGCTACGCCCCTGCTCCTGTCCATCTCCCTTCAAAATAAAGAGCAAAGCCTGCTTGGTTTTGTGAATAGGAACACCACGACGGATAGCAGGGAAATCCCCCCGGCTCCCTATCCGGGATGCCTTTATGCTGTGGAGCGGAGAGAATCTCCTTATCCATGCGTTGAAGGTGTGGATTCGAGGGTGAATGCGGCTAGTATGGAGAGCCGTGCAGATTAGCTACGCTACGGGTTTGCTATCGTTTCTAGAGGATATTTTGAACTAGGATCCTGGTTTCGTTCGGGTATGTAAGTTATTTTTTATTTATTTTCGAAATCCTAGAAAGATATCTCATTTGAGCAACTGCTTTTTTCCGTTGTAATTTTTATTTTTCGACTTCTTTTTAATGATATAATTTCTGTTGATTAGTAATAGCTTTTGGCGTATCCGTATCTCCTCTTTAGATTGCATTACCTCAAGCGTAGAGAGTCGTTTGGATTAGATTTGGCAAAGCATAGCTTAACTTGCTTATGAGCATAGTTTTTATATCCGTTTTCTTACTTTTCTTAGATTTCAGGCATAGCATAACTCTTCAAAAAACCCACTTTTTGTGTTCAGGCATAGGCTTCTTTAACTTGGGCCGTTGCTTAGTTTTTTCGTTCCGTTTCTTGGTGCAGGCATGATTCGGGCCCTAATTTAGGGTAGTTGAGCTTAGGCAAGCTTAACATAACGTAGCTTACATTAGGCCTTATCTCCTTCGGGCAGGATTTCGCGCAGATTCGGCCCGTTCAGCCTTTAGAAACCCAATCAAACATAGGTATTCTGTTTTTCTACATTTAGTGACTAAAAATGATACCATTTTTTAGATTCTGAAATGATGTAGAAACAAATTTAAATCTCTTTATAGATTCTATCTAGCGATCCGGCACGATTTCGCGCAGATTCGGTCCATTCAGCCGTGAGAAATCAAGCCATCCCGGGAGCACGCGCCCACTTGGCCCCTCACATTATTATTCATCGCTCTCGAGAATGTCCCCGAAAAAATGGCCATATGCCGCACCTTGGGCCCTGTCTCTACCGTCAAGAGGCCCCAGATTCGCAACTCTCGGCTCCCGGGGCTCCCCTAAATCTGGGGCCCTAATTAGGGCTCGGTGGGTGGTATAAGAGGGGGCACGCACCTGGCCCTCCTCCTCCTCACAACGTCGAGCCACCACCGGACATGGCCATTGTATCGGGTCGGGCCGAAAAGGGGGCGGGGCTTGATGTTGGGGTGGTGGCTAGTGCATGCTAGCTCAAGCACCCGCCCCCGGCACCAACACCCAGGCGGCATCACCGCCTCTGCCTGCTTCTTCCTGGGGTATCTACTGGAAATTGTCATTAATGCTGGCGACGATTAGTTTTATTCGTTCATTCACGCTTTCCGCCCCGGCTATCGTTTTCAAGGGGTATGCGTATTCCATTTTTTTTGTGGGCTTATCCTGCTTTTCCTTTTAGGCTTTTAGGCCTGTACGCTTTTCCTTTATACGCTTTCATTCTCCCGAGTTTTTCTTGATATTGCCTTATTTTAGAGAGGCGAGCGTATTTTATAAATTCCGTTGATGGTTTTGATAATTTTTACAGCTCAACTCGGGAATTTTTTAGCCCAAAAAGCCGCTTATTTTTGGCAGCGTTTTTCGGCTTCTGCCGCTTCTCCTAGACTTTCCGTGTTCACAGTACTGTCTATAGGAATCTAGCGTTCCATTACAGGCCCTAGAATATCCTGAAAATGGATTCAATACCGGCCTCCTCATTTTTTGGCTACCCTGAATATGAATACCAATATGAAAATAATCCCCGATTTTTAGCCGTTTCGTTAATGTGAGTATACCGTAGAAAATCCATTTTGCGCAGTTTAACTCTAAAAGTATCCATTAAAAGCTCCATCAGCTGTTTGTTTATCGTGTTGAGCTTTTCATGCTTCTCCGCGACTTTCCGGATCGTTTTTAGGAATTTAACGCAGCCAGTTAACCATCTCTCGTCCTTTCTAACTTTTCAAGCTTAAAGATGCTCCATTAAAACAGCTCAACTTTCAGGAGCCCACCCAAAAATTCGGCCGACAGCGAGGATGAAGCCCCGGGGGCTGTTCCTCCTCGTCTGGCCATTACTGCTCCTCCTCCTCCTCTCCACAGTATTAGGGGAGACATTGGATGATTTCTTCGTTCGTCCCTCCTCTCCAGTCTGTCATGCCTGTTTGGTCCCACATCCGACGGCCATCCACTGGATTCCATACGCGCGGCCGCCGTGCTTTCACCCCGGCCAGCCGATATTCATGTGGGTTTTTAGAAAAATTTTGTAGTCTAAAGTTTACAGCTATTTTGTAGTATATTGTGTAATGGAGGATTTCAATGATGTATCCTCTAGTTTTTGGGGTCTTTTTGGAGTTCATAGGCTCACGGAGGAGTTAAAAATTTGTAATGCATTTTTTTATTTTTTAGTTTGTGGTCTATCAGCGGATTGCAACGTTTCTTTGCAAAAATTAAAAGATAATTAAATTAAATCTATTTTCGGACAAACTCGATAGTTTTCCGCGCATTCCGTTTTGTCTACTTCAAAAATAAGTTTTCCAGGAAATGCAATTTTTGACGGTTTTAGCCTAGAGGTTGTAGTCGATACTTTAACCGATAGTTTGTAGTTTACCCCGCGCAATCACATTTTCAGTTGGCCAACAGCCAACGCGAGTCTACCGGTAGAAGAGCGATGCCGCAGCCCGTCAGCCTACCACTCTGCCCAGGTTTCGGTAGATGAGGACGGGCTCGTTTTCGCGCGAGAACGACTTTGCTTTTATGGTAAGTCGTGTGAAATATAATCGATTTTGTACCCGGATTTTTCCATAGTTTTGGGTAACCAGGGGTGCCACTTTCCCATTCAAATCACGGTTTAGCTGGGTTTAAAAGGATTTGCATGCGCAGCAGCCTGAAAAGTCAGTAAAAATACCCAAGTTAAAACTTAGATCCCTATCCCGTTGAGATTTATCTTAAAGGGGGCGTGCCAGCAGCCCTTTACTGGGATGCTCCAAATTACACCAATATCCATTTATCAATTTTTAGATACGATCCAAGTGGTCGAATACTCGTACGTCTGTGCCGGAACGACGCTGCACGGCCAATTCCGACTAGGCCATATCCTGTTTTCGAAGCGGAGGAGGGAGAAGCGGGACATTAGCCCCGTAGCTTCAAGGAGAACGAAAAGAAGCGTGGAAAAACGCGAAAAGAGATGGTCCAGGCGTAGGAACCCTCACCAGGGCGCTATTCATTTCCAGCAGCAAAGGTGGGAATTTAGAAAATATAAGTTAATTTTTATTTAAATATACTGCAAATGGGTCTTTAAGGGTTTGTAAAATTTTGAGCAATATATTAGCTAGGATAATTTCCTTAACCTGTCTCCGTCTTCACTGTCCTTTTAAACGCTAATATTCAAATGTATAATCCGAAATTCTACAAAAAAAAACTACATTTTCTAGATATTGTTCGTTCACAAAAGGTGTTGGAAAATGTAAAGATCCATCGGGTTTTTTTTGAAGAATTTTATGCGTCAGAGTCCCTTTAAAGCTCGTAAAAGCACATGTGCCGTATTATGCAGGAGCTTTATGCCGCTTCCGGCGTGTTAGCACCCAACTAGCATAGAGGAGATAGATGATACCCGTTAGGGATCGGTTTTCTCCTCTCTGTCTCTCTCTCTCTGTCTCTCTAGCTCTCTCTCGCTCTCTCTCTCTCTCCCTCGGGCCCCGTTACTCATTTCCCGCAAACTGGTATGCAAATTTCGCCCGAGGTGGGGAGTGGAGAATGCCATTTGCGAGAATGGAGACTCTGCGGGTCCCGGAGGGCATTCCTGAGGGAAATTAGACGCCTCACAACAGAAGCATCAGCACAACGCGATGAGGGGGACAGCTCACCCACACACACAACCCACAATTAACCTTGGCGACAGCCCGGGAATGGGACTGGGGAAATGACCAATATCTGAAAGGGGGTAGTTGCGAAACGGAGTGAACTACGCTAATTTGTATAAAGGGAAGACTAGTCTACTTATGAAGCTGAAAAATACGGCATATTTTCCTGTGAATAATAGAAACGCCGAAAAATTCCTGTACAAATATTTTTTGAATTTTTTTGTTTAGTTTTGAGTACTGTATCATGTTTTTTACTCCTATTAATAGCGTTGAAAAATGCAGTTTATTAGGAAAATTCGATCAGGCGATAGAAATGGTAGAACCGAAGAAAATGAGCTGATTTTTTTGCGCTTTGATACCGTAATAAATACTTTTTTCAGCTACGTGAAAGAACTTGCCGAGGACGCTCCCGTCGATACGGTAGTGGTTACGGTATCTGCTACACATGCTGCCGGCCACCCTCTCTATTATTCCATGGCTGCACCGCAGGACGGACGATCGCAGAATATTTTCACGCTCGATACGGTCAGTTTTAGCTGCAATCTCTCTCTCTCTCTCTCTCTCTCTCTCTCTCTTTTTAGCTCTCTCGCCTTCTGCCGTTTCTCTCCCTCTCTCTCTCTGGCGCCACTGCCGTTTTCGGCCAATTTTTAGGACGATTTCCAGCTAAATCCGGAACAATATTTTACGCTGTAAATGGACTCCACTCACAGGGGCGAGCTGAACCCCAAATTTCGGGAGGGGCAGCGACATTTCGGAGGGGGCAGCGAGAAAAATTTTTACGAAAAAGTTGTCGAAATAGAAAAAACATAAGGGGGGACCCTTACGTTTTTTTCGGGACCGCCGGATTTCGGGAGGGGCAGCCTGCCCCCTCTGCCCTACCCCTCCTACGCGCCTGTCCACTCAGAATCTCTTCCGCCGCTTTTCAAAAGCGAGGTCAATGGGCAGCAATTAGGTGGCTGAGCGGGACTCGGAATAGCCTAGGGGCTCATATTTTACCCCCACCAAAATGAGACCCCGGAGGGACGATGGGGTAGGGCAATATGGGAAGAGAGAGAGGGAGAGAGAGAGAGAGACGGGCCATAGAAAGCGGCGGGGTGCAGTGATTAGGGCCGGTGGGCCATACGGCCCACCATGAGATACGGTTCAGTGGCCAGGCTGCTTGGGCTGTCAAAACAAATGGGGTCGAGTGTTCAAAAAAATGAATAGAGGTTAAATTTGGCTGGGGCAGGTTTTGGACCTCGCTCTCTCTCTCTCTCTCTCTCTCTCTCTCACTCACTTTCTTTATTTCTATGTCTCTCACTATCTCTGACACTCTTTCTATTCATCTCTCTCGTTTATCTCTCGTCTATCTCTCGGTACTCTCTCTTTCACTCACTCTCTTTCTCTTTCTTCAATTTTTCTCTTTCTCAATTTTCACAATTTTTGGGTGAATTTTTCTCCGTCTCCATCATTTGGCGCGGTGAGAAACTAGTGGTGGGACCCGAGGGGTTGAAAAGCCGGGGCGGTGGAAATGAAAAGCCTGGCCCCTGGGTTGGTTGGGGTGCCGTGTGTGTGGCCGAATGGCCTTTGTCGTAGCGTCGCGTCCTTTTCCCCCTCCCTACCCCGGCCACAATTCCACTCAGAAATTCGCGAAAATTGGCCCTCCTCTTCTGGCTTTGGAAAGGGCCCACAACCCGGTGGCTTGATGACCCCGGGGGGTTGGAAACATTGGATGGAAAGGAGGGTGGAAGGAGGACACTAACGGAATCAGCCGAGAATTGTACGGAGGAGTGGGGTGGAATTGGTGGAATTCTTGAAATTTGGTGGAAAGAGAGCGAGGGAGAGAGAGACAGAGAGAGACAGAGAAATAGAGAGACGGAGAGTGAGAAAGAGGCAGAAAGGGCGAGAGTGTGAGAGAGTTAGAGAGACCACAGAGACAGATAAAAATCAGAGAAATATGATTCCTACAAAAATCTAACATATTTGCTTCATTCCAGCACACCGGGGAAATTCGGTTGGCCAAGGCGCTGGACCGAGAAACCCTGGATCGTCACGTCCTCAAGGTAAGGAGAACCAATTCATTTTTCTAGCGTTAAGGTGGATTTGGATTGGATTCCCGCCTTCCTAGCCCTTTAAAACGGCAATTTAGGTAACCGCCTTCGAGCGCCTCGACCCGTCGATCTCCTCCTCAGCCTCAGTTGTTGTCGAAGTGTTGGATGTCCAGGATAACAGCCCACAGTTTGAGCGCGACTCCTATTTTGCGGAGATTTCGGAGGATGCACCGGTGAGTGTTTTGAAATTGGTTTATTTATTTTCCTCAAACTCCGTTCGTTCCCTCTACCTGCTGATTTTATCGAAAAATTTTCTCCGGACTTTGATACCTATATCATCCTTGCTAGCTAGCCGATAGCTGGAAGAGTTTCGGAAGCATTTCTAAAATTCTACTCTCTTTGAACTATCATTATTTTCACTCCGAAATGATCTCTGCCAGCTTGCCCACGTTTTCTCTCTCTGCAGTCTCTCTCCTAAAAATTCTGGTTGCGCCTGGATTCTCAGATTTTCTAGGTTTTTCTCAAAGAACCTTCGCCAGCTTGCCGAGGCACCTCTAAGGTTTTGGACAATTCTAAGGATGCTCAGCTAGCCTATCTCGGATTTTTGATGCTCTTGGCAGGCTTTCCCAAAGTATCTCTGCTGGCTTGCTCCGGAAATTCGGATGATTTTGGTCAAATGATAGTTGCTAGTTTGCCCTCTACTCGTTAATTTTTTTGGACCATTTCCTAAAGATCCTCTGCTCGCCTGCCCTCCCTAAAAGGATAAAGATACACCCCATATCTTCACCCCACCCCACCCATTCTCGTATCGGATTCCCATTCTCGGGCCTTTTCTTGGGCCACCCCAAATGTGGCACCATTTCCCCGCATTGGCAGCAGCCAATGTTCTTTGTTGAGAGAGAGAGAGAGAGAGAGAGAAAGAGAGAGAGGGAGAGAGAGAGAGAGACAGAGAGAGAAATGTGGTGATTGGCAGTGGGTATTCCTCTTCTTTTAGCTCCTCCTTTCGGCTTCTCCTCTGCCTTTTCGGCTTCTTCCACCCGCTGGAAGCATAATCGAGTTACCCGCGTGTGTGTGCGGGGGCCCTAGCGTAGATCCACCCCGAAATTTGGAGCATCCGGAATGGCGGATAGGGCGTTTTGGACTTGGGGTACTAGCAGAAATTCTTAGGAGAACACATGGGACTATTTTTGGCCTAGAAAACAAGCTTCCGGGTGCCTTTAAGCGCTTTGAAAAATGGGAAACCACATGGCAAACCGAAAATATTTTGACATTTCTTAAGGAAATCACGCTTCCAGGACTCTTTAAAATGCTAGAACATCAGAAATGCTTCCATAAATTGCCGGCGTCCTAAATATACGCTGAAAATCCCTAAAAATCCCCAGGAAATGTCGGAGAAAACGGAAACAAATTTTCGGAATCCGAAAATACGCTTCTAAACACCTTTAAGATTTATAAAAATCCGAGAAAAATCTAGAAAAACACACAAATTAATTGTCGGCTTAGAATCTCGCCTTCAGGACGGCCATTCAAGGTCCTTAAATATGACCCAAAAACCGCTAATTTTCTTATGGATACTCCTTTCCCATTCCCTTTAAACCCCCAAAAATAATTTTTTTTGTACCAAAAATTCCCCACTTCCCCCCATTGTCCCCAATCTATACTGCACCACTTTTGCAAAAAGGGCAAGGCATTTGGGGTCCCAGGCAAATTGCTGTGGCCATTTCAGTGCCAAGGGGGGCCCAATCCAAAGGTGGGCCCCAGCCAGTCCACTTTTTAGTCCCCCGAAAAATCTTGGCGGGCACCAAGATGGCTGGGGGGGGGGTTGGCACGAAATCGAGAAGATGTGGTCATTATTCTGGCTTATCCCTGAGAGGGAGAGAGAGAGAGAGAAAGAGAGAGAGAGAGAGAGAGAGAGAGAGAGAGAGAGAGAGAGAGAGACTGAGAGAGTGAGTGAGCCAGAGCTGGGGCTAATTTGAAATTTGATTATGGCCCGGCTATCCTCGGGCGGCTTTTCGCCTTTTTGAGGGTGTGCGTGTGTGGTGTGAGGGTGTGCCGGATGCAAATTAGGGTGCAGTATCTTGGGGTGTTTTTGGTTGGTCACTACGAGGAGAAGCGCTGATTAATATGGAGCAGGGCATCGGGGTGTAATGTGGAAAGGGGCGGAAAAAAGTAGAAAATGCCACCGCCTTTTCACCTTTTTCAATTTTGAGCTTTGGTTATTACTAGTACGAACTGCTCCTCCTTGCGCAACCCAAAAAAGTTAGTTGCTCGCCAAGAAATTTCACCGATTAGCCCACTTTACTATTTCCCAAACCCGCTTCCCAAGCCATTTTTGTAGCCCCTATCCCGGGACGGCAATTTTTGCTCCCTCCGAAAAAGTGCAATTATCTCGATAACCACCCCGGGCTCTGGATTTGATTAGTGGATAGTAGTGTGGCGTAACTGGGCGCTGGCCATTCCGTATTCCCCCGGCCGTCCGAAGGGAACGTGTCGGAATCGGCGGCAGCGGGCCCTAAATGGGCTGCCAGGGACCCAAAAAATGGGCCCCTCGAGTGTCGATTAGGTTGGGTGGGGGAGTAGTTCCGGGGGGATACAAATGGCGATGTGAAGGGAGAAAAACAAGAATATTAGTTTTACGGGGGCTAGAAGATGCGGGAACATTGTTGACTACTTTACACACCAAAATCCGCGTATACACCAATACTTCGGAGCTGACTGAAAAAACCAACCCCAGCACGTAATTTGCAGTACAGCGTGCCTGTCGAGGCTTTGCCGACTGCAGTGGTCGATTTCGGAATTTTTAGCCGTGTTAAAGGCACCGGAAAGGCAGATTTTTGTCGAGACCTAATCACCGGGAAGGTCGTTTTGGGACTTCACAATCCATTTAAATTTCTAGAAAACCAGTTTTAAGGCCTAAATCGCTTCGACAAGCCTTTGAACCCGTTGACCCCGATGTCGAGGCAGATTTTGAGGCGAAAATGACGGGGGTGCGGGGTGGGCAAAGCCGAATTGAAGGGTGCTGCCGACAGATTGTGACAGCTTGTAAACCTTCTCTCTCTCTCTCTCTCTCTCTCTCTCTCTCTCTCTCTCTCTCCCTTCTCTCCCTTTCATCCCTCAAAATCTTGTCGAAATTGTGGGGCTCGGGGTAATGGATGGGACAGCCGAAATGGATGTAACCCACCCCTTTAAAGGGGATTGACCGCCCGGCGATTTGCTCAAATTTCCCTGCGTCTCTCGTGTTGAGCAATCTCTCTGCACTCTTTGGCCGGTTGGCACCAATTTTGACCCCGGTGGCTAGGGGAGCAGGTGGGCCTTCTGCCAGCGGGATCGCGTGAGAAATGGCCTTGTCCGCCAAAATGAGCTGCGCGCCGTCTCTTGGAGCATTGCGGAATATGAGGGAGGGCAAGATGTTGAAATGAGGGACAATGAATTGAGTGAATCGAGTGAAATATTGCGCTACATCGGCTAGATACTTTTTAAAGGGACAGCGAAGACAGAATTCTGGAAATTTCGTGGATTTTCTCTTCACTGTACTTCACTTCTCTCGTGTTCACTGACAAGCACTGTAAAATTCCACTTTTGCCCCTTTCAAAGATCTGGAGAAGGCCAGCTCGCGTTGATTCTTGAAGATGCTTTTTTCGCGCTAGATTTTTCATTTTATATTTTTTAAAAGCCTGGAACACCTGAAAATTCTGTATATACTCGATTTTTCTCTAGCTTCTTCTCGAATAATTCAAATTCCGACCCTTTTGTATCGCTTTCAAGATCACTGACCCCTACCCCCTCCCCCCCCCCAAACAATACCAAAATACACCCCCAAAAGCTCTTGAAAAGGCGTTGCCGACTCTTCTAGGGTGGGATACGGGGTGCCAGGTGTCCGGGGGTTCGGTTGGCTTTCAGACTCGACTCTTAATTACCAGCTTCCTCTGGCTGGGGGGACTGTGGTCAAATGGGAGAGAGAGAGAGAGCGAGAGAGAGAGAGAGAGAGAGCGAGAGAGAGAGAGAGAGAGAGAGAGAGAGAGCGAGAGAGAGGGAGAGAGAGACAGCTAGTGGACACTCATCCGAAATTAATGTCCGGCTCGCTGTGTGGCCGCTCCTGGTCAGCCTTCCCGAACATAGGGAGGGCGAAAAAGTCGAGTTAGATACTTTGAGGGTCCCTTAAAAAAGTAGAGATCTATAAAAATAAGAGAGGAATGATGAGAACCGATTACGCTATGAAAATAGCTAGCTACTTCGTCTAACCGGTTACGCTACAAAATTCGAAGATTATGTTAATTTTCTTAGGGTCTTTAAGAGTCTACCCGTATTTTCCTATTATGATTCCATTAGTGCATCCCATTCTCAGTCTCCCACCGCCAGCTTGTGACCCCGAGTGGGCCCCATCCCGAAAAATAGCGCAATTAGTTGTTGGGCGTAGTGATGGGGTCTCTCTCACTCGCTCTCTCTATCTGCCCGTCTGTAATATGGCAATATGGTGTTTCTGGGAAGCTGGGAGGGCAGTAGAGAATACCCATCCACCACCACCCATCTGTCTCCTCACCATATAACAGCTACTGGGATGGGGGGTGGCCATAATAATGAAAAGAATAAAGGGGGTTATGGCAGGGCGAGAGAGAGCCAGAGAGATAGGGAAAGAGAGCGAGAGATGGAGAGAGAGAGAGGGGGAGAGAGAGAAATCTACGGGTAGACTGGAGTAAAAAGGACAAAGGCATCGTGAAAACCGATAAACGTACAAAGAAGTAGAAAAATATTGAGGCCAGAGCGAGAACAAGCGAGAGAAGAAGAGAAATTTACAAAAAACGCGTCACTTTTATGATAACGTAGCCGGGTATTCGCAAAATTTTCTCCCTCTCGCTCTCGCTCTCTCTCTCACACACTCTCTCTCTTTTTCTCTCTTTCTCTCTCTCCATCACTCTCGTCTATTAAAGTCGTTACTATGAAAAAACCTTCCATAATCCCTCCATTTCTAGATCGGCACGACCATCGTCTCAGTTTTTGCCCGTGATCGGGATGCCGGCTCGAACGGAGAAGTGGAATACTCCTTGGAAACCGAAGCCGAGGGCTCGAACCTCCTGTCAATTAACCCGAATTCCGGCGTTATCCAGACGGCGGCGGCGTTGGACCGGGAGACGTTGTCTTTGATTCGGTAGACATGGTTTCAAATTGCCGCTAAACCCAAATTGTAGGCTTTCCGTGATCGCTTCGGATAAAGGAAAGGAGCCGCTGTCTTCTCGAGCGCTGGTCGAACTTTCCATTAATGATGTCAATGATAATGCTCCGGTTTTTAGTCAGGTATGGCTTTTTGAGCACGAGCTTTCTCTCTGTTTCTCTCTATCTCTCGCTCTCACTCTGGATTTCCACCTTTATAAATTCGTTTTTAGGACTCCTACAATATTACCGTATTGGAGAATGTGACGGTCCCGGTGGTCATCGCCAGGTTAGAAGCCACGGATGCAGACGCTGGAGCTAACGGTATGACATCGAGTGGAATACGGTGGATTTTACAATTTCCAGGCCGTGTCCACTACGGCATGGTGACGTCTTCAGATTTGCTTCATGTCGATTACAAGACTGGCGAGGTATGGAAAACTTCATTAGATATTTAATACTTTTTTTAAGGTAACACTACGGCGAAAAATCGACGCACGGGGTGGGATTCGAACTTTCGTAGTTCGAGCTAAAGATGGGGCTCAACCAGCGTTGTCTTCTACGGCAACACTGACACTGCAAGTTGTGGATATTAATGATCATGTAAGTAATTGGTTTCTCACTCATTCGTTCACTATCTCTCTCTTTTTCACTCTCTTGTGCTTTCACATTCACTTTTTCACTCTGACCGTTTCTCTCCTTATCTCTATGTCTCTTTGTCTCTCTCGTTTCTCACACGCGCTCACTCTCTCTCTCGCTCTCTCTCTCTCTCTCTCTCTCTCTCTCTCTCTCTCTCTCTCGCTCTCTCTCTGTCTCTCTCTAACCCTATTTTTCAGCCTCCCCGCTTCATCGCCGCCCAAAAGTCCGTCCTTGTTGATGAGGGCGTAGCTGAAGGAGAAGAAGTAGCCCGGGTCTATGCCATTGATGAAGACGCTGGTGTTAACGGGAAAGTGTCGTACTCCCTCGAGGGATCATCAGACTTCAGAATCGATCCGGATTCCGGGATAATCCGCGCCAACAAGACTCTAGATCGGGAGGAGACGCAACGTTACGAGTTGACGGTCCGAGCTGTGGATGGTGGCGAGCCGCAACTGACCGCTGTGACGCAGGTGAGAGAGAAACAGAGAAGGGGCGAGAGAGCGAGAAAGAGAAAGATAGCAAGACTACATTTCATTCCAGATGACGATCCTGGTCCGCGACATTAATGACAACACCCCCGTCTTCAAGCCGAACGAGATGAACGTCACGCTGTCGGAGGAGACGCAGCTTGGAGCTCAGGTTTGTCCGGTTTTTAGGGGTTTAAAGGGATAGGGGGCTGTATCGGGCTGCCTATCGTACGCAAGGAAAAATTAATTTCTTTCTAGATCGCAATAGTACGCGCCGAAGACCGGGACGAGAACTCGAAGCTCTTCTACCGTATCGAGCACCAGGATCGTGAGGGCCTCGTCGCGCTCATCGATTTGGGCGAACAGGTATCAACTGATTAGATTTAATGAATTTTACCCTTAAAAATTTAATGTCGTAATGCTTCAGGGATAGTGTATCTAAATTACCGTATATTTCAGGGAGCCCTTTTGTCCCTCTCCTCTCCTCTCCAACCGTCCGTCCATTCGTTTCGCCTCGTAGTCTCCGCAACGGATGATGGAGGGCTGAAGGGGAATTGCTCGATTAATATTTATGTGAGTTATTTAGCAAAATATGAGACGATGCGATGCTACCGTAAACCGTCTTTTGTAGTCTACCGTATTCGGTACATGTTTGACTTTTTCGTTACTTTACACCGTACATGATAATCCACAGTATCCTTTATTTGTATTTTTAGAAATTACAGACGGCATAACTTGAACTACCGTACCAATTTTTATAATTGTGATTTTTAGGTAACCGACGTCAACTCTCCACCCCGATTCCCACCTCAACCATTTTCCGTGAGAATCCCCGAGGACGCTACCATAGGCCAGCAAGTGATGGTCATTCGGGTGTGTTTTAATTTTTTACAGTAACTAATTACGGTATTTGCCTATCGTAATCGATTGAGTTACCGTAGTCCGTTTACGAAAATTTTCAGTAATTTCTGCATTGCGGTAGTTTACAGCCTTTTCGGCCGTTTTTGTATTATTTTTATCTCATATTTTCTAGGCCGAAGACACAGACCGAGGCGACAACGCCCAGATCACATATTCCATCGATTCGCCCCTTTTCCGGATCGACAATGCCACTGGGGAGATTACGGTAGCCGCGGAGCTTGATAGGGAAGAGCAGAGCAGTCACAGGTCTGGAGATTTTGATTTTTGACAAAAAACTTTTTGTTAGTCTTACCGTAACGGCAACTGATGCGGCATCTCCACCTTTGAGCTCATCGACAAGCATTGAAGTGATTCTGGATGATGGTGAGTCTTAGAAGCTAAAAAAAATTGAACATTAATTTTTTGCAATTCTGAAAATTTATCTAAATTGCTGACACGTTAATTAAATTAAATTAAATTTTTTTCCAGATTTCTTACTGAAAATAGGATTTTAGTGCTTTAAATTATTGTTACGACAGGAAACTAGCGGGATAACGCATTCCGTAATTTTCCGGAATTTTGGCCACAATTTTCCGGCGCAGACAACAATTATGTAATTTGGAAACTGCCGTGCCAGTCCACTACCGTAGCCCAGTTCCAGACACTTCTCAGCTCCGAAAAACTTGCAATTATGCAATTAGTGCATTCTCGTATTGCAAGTTACCGTAACCCAAGGTTTCCAGACTTCTATAAAATAAAAATAAAATACAAATACAAATAAAATACGATTTCGTGAGGACGTAATTGGTACGCTACCGTAGCCTAATTTCCAGACAGTTATTGCCTTAAAAACGTAATTACGTAATTAAATACAGTAGGCTACCATAACCCAATTTCCTCCAAAATTACCTCTCTAAAACCCGCTGACTCACCGGCTTTCACCATCCTTTCCAAAATGGCCACAAAATTGGAGGCCCAGCACGGAAAGGTCCAATAAAATGGTCCCCCTTTCCCTTCGGGTCCACCCCTTACCCTACCACTAAAGGGATGGGGCCAATTTCCGTAAATAGGAGCCGAGCGTAGGGCTGGCAGCTGGTGTGACACCTTACGGGGGGCTCCTATTTGCTTACTCGGCCTCTTGTGGAGGCATAGGGTAAATGGGTGGGGGCATATTATAGAATCCGAGCTCTATAGCTGGAGATGTCAACAATCATGCCCTCTTGGCCGTGGAGGGCTATATGTTGTCAGGATTAGGGGGTGTCATTTAGGGGGTAGGCCGGATTGAGGGGGCCCATATTGTGGCTTGGTGCCATAGGGACATTTAAGGACTTAGGCTGGAAAATATCATTAAAGGACCTAGGAAGGCATCATTGTGGATCTGGGCTAAGCTAAGGCTAAGCCAGACTTAAGCTAAAGTGAACCTAGACCCAAGCCGATTTCTTTTTTGTCAAAAACCGTAGGAAATTCACCCAAAAAAAGTCCTTAGGTGCCACTTTAAAGCGCCTGGAAAATGCAAAAAATCGACCCTTTCTGACGGCTAGGTCTAGACCGCTACGTGGTCTGCCTAAACTCACTGAACACGTACTTGAGTTTTTTTATAAATCTAGCTTGTTTTAGGTCATAATCCGACTTTAGGTGTCATTTGGAGTATTGCGTAGCTGTCTAGACCCAGTGGATTGGAGGGTCGATTTTCGCGCAGCTTGGCCTTTTTAAAGGCACCGGAAATGCGGGAAAATTTGGATTTTTTGAAAAATGTTAAAAAATACTCAACTTGCTTTTTTTTCGATTTTTCAAAAGGGAAGCAAAGGTAGCATTCTATTTTTTATAGCAAAGGTTATTTAAAGCCATATTTTTTATATTTCTATATTTTCGGGATTTGAAGCCTTGATATCGGCATTTTTCATAGAACGATTTTCTGAAATTCGAGCCGGGCACGAACTCCTAGCTTTGACCTGTCATCAACCCATCCCCCACCCAATCCCCGCCATTAATTATTCCAAATTTCCGGATGTTGATCTAGCTAGCATGGAGTGGGTTGGTGGGGGTGAAATTAGGGCGGTGCTTTGACCCCTCCGGCGTTTCGCGGCAGCACCCGCCGGAAATTTGCATAATTTCGGTTAGCCGCTTCCGCGGGGAGACATGGGGGTAGAAATTATCGCTGGGCGGCATCTGGGGGACTCGAATAAAAGAGGGTGAAGCGGGGGCATAAACTGTCGAATTAGCGCATTGTCGGAGGGTAGATGGAAGGAAATAGGGAAATTTTAGGTAGCGGAAAAATTGTTTTAAGGGGTTGGTAACAATTAAAAAAATCTGAAAATGCAGTCAGCAAAGAAAAATGGATTTTAAAGTGATAATAACACTCTAACCAAGAGAAAGCGTGAAATCCGAAAACGCAAAGACAAACTGTTTTTCAGTAAACGACAATGTGCCCGAATTCTCTTCTTTAAACTACACGGCTACCGTATCCGAAGATATCGCTGTTGGGACGTCGTTTATTCAGGTCAGTTTTTGAGAGAGAGAGAGAGAGAGAGAGAGAGAGAGGGAGAGAGAGAGAGAAAGATAGAAAGAGAGAAAGATAAAATGTATATGTCGGTTTAGAAAACCTCAAATTCCGTTTAGATCCTCGCCACGGACGTAGATGCCGGCCCGAACGGAATTGTCGACTATTTCCTGAACACTTCCGGTCGGGGAGCCGATCTTTTCCGGTTGGACCGGACCTCCGGGACCCTTCGAGTCAACCAGAAGCTCGATCGTGAAAAGATGGCAATGTCAGTTTTAAAACATTTTGCGGGTCTTAAAGGGGCCAGGAAGTTAAGCTAAAAATCTATACTATTGCGGCTTTAAAGAGACTTGGAAGCGCTAAAATCGAGACCTAAAATTGACTAGATCTCGACAGCAACGAGATCTTTCGAACAACGGTTACAAAATACGAAATTTTGCGCTAAAAATCATACGTTTTTCCGAGTGTCGAGACCTAGTCGAGGTCAAGGGTGATTTTTGCGATGTAGCTTTCGAATTTTGTAACTTCCACTACCCAACTAATGCCGTTCTAAAACTAATACAACTTTTCCCATTCATGGTTGGTTCGCTTCCCAATTTCCCCGTATGCCATTCCCCCCTCCGCTAGCCCCATTTTTAGACGTGCAGTCCGCGGCGCGTATAATTGCGACTGGCTGGCTGGCTAGCCTCGGGGGCCAGAATTCGCTGACTTGACTGGGGGAGAGGGGTGGACGATATATTCCTATCGACGGAACGGAGAGAGGGGAATGCCCCTCAGGGCACCATGGACACCACCACCAGGGCCTCGCACCAACCGGAGAATCCCATTTACGATTTCGAGGGCAGGGGAAAAACGATTCTGTTGCAAGGGGTTACGTGGAAATTGAGAAAATTGTGAAAATTCAAGCAACTTGGGAGTCATAGGAATTCCATGAACAAAAATCCCATTTTTAACGCATCTGGGACAATCAAAATTTGGGGCTGCGGCTTTTGACAAGCTAATTAATTCCAGGATGACGCTCCCCGTATACGCAGAAGATCGTGGTCAGCCTCCGCTTCGTGCTCACTCGATGATCACAGTGATGCTGATGGATGTGAACGATAATGCTCCTCAATTCTCTCAACCGTCCTATGATCTGTGGATTGCAGAGAATCAACCTGCTGGGACACTTGTGGGGACGCTGGTGGCGACGGATCCGGATGAGGTGAGCAGGAGAGTGAGAGTGAGAGGGAGCGAGAGCGAATTAGGGAGAAAGAGAGTGAGAGAAAACGAGAGAGAGAGTGAGAGAAAACGATAGAGAGTGAGAGAAGCGAGAGAGAGAGAGCTACGGTTTGATATCCAAATTCTAGGGCTCCAACGCAGACATCGAGTTCCGAGTTTTTGGCGGAACCGACGCGCGGCTTTTTGAGCTGGAAGCTGATCCACAACAAGTTTGTTTTTACCAATTTTATAAGCCTGATTTCAATTATTTTAGAAAGGCGTGGCTCGTCTCCTCTCCCGCCAGCCTTTCGACTACGAGAGCAAGACGAACGCTTTCAACCTGGAGGTCCAGGCATCTAGGTGATTATTGTTGCGGAACTTAACGAGTTGTTACGATTTTTCGGTTCCTTCAAAATGGCTTATAAAGTGGGTGAATCGATGCTTTCACTCGAATAGGTCTCGACTTTACACCACCTTTTAAACCACGCCTAGAGATGATTTAAAAAACTTCTGACCGCGTGTTGTGAAGGACTCGTTCCTGCCTAGATTCAGTCGATGGAAAGGGATCGATTCTCGTGCTTCACAGCCCCTTAAAAAGCTGATTTTATCATTCCAGTGGCCAACTGTCGAGTACGGTACCTGTCCGAGTCCACGTTTCCGATGTCAACGATCATCCACCATCCCTCCGGCCCTCAATTCTCTTGGTCAATCGAATGGCCGGTGGGCAGGGGCTTGAGCGACTTGGCTCGCTGCCAGCTTTGTGAGCGTTTTGGGAAATTCCGTGCCGATACTTCAGTAGGCCGCACCGCAGTATGCTTCGAAAATCAAGAAAAATCCAGAAAAGTAATTGTAAAACTCTTTTTAGCGATCCTGATCAAAACGCTACGCTGGAATACTCTGTGGAAACCAACGAACTGCTTGCCGTCGATCGGTACTCCGGAAAAATCACTCTAAAAGGAGCGTGGAAGCGGAATATTGATGCTCAAGTGAAAGCATGCGTTTCCGGTTGGTTTTTTTTGGTCAGATAAAGTTGATCTCTCGCTCTCTCTCTCTCGCTCTCTCTCTCTCTGTATCTTTATCACTTTTTACTATTTTTAGACGGCGCAAACACGGTATGCAATCCACTGCGTCTACTGTATACCTGGGTCGAAGACAACTGGCTCGGTGAAGCGGTTACCGTATCCCTACGCACCACAACTGTCGACGACTTTTTGGATCCGGATGTGTACGCGAGGTTTAGGTACGTATTTATCGAATCGATACCGTAAAAATACGGCATCATGTCAAAATTCTGGCGTTTCAGGCAAAGCATCGCTTCTCTTTCCACTTGGGCCGAGAATTCGATTACCGTACTCTCCATCTTGGCCAAGAATTCCTCGACAGAAGTATCGTTCGTAGTTGTTGATCGTACGAGATTGATTAGGTAAGTTTTTAACAGCTTTTGTGGATTTTTCGGCTGAATTCTAAAATATGACTTGGCTACAGTAATCCTCCAGCCAACCCAGTGGCTAAGAAAGGTCATTTGCCTTTAATCTCCCCCTCTCAATCTTTCGACATTGTCAGGGATGAGGGAATGGCCAGGTGTTCGTTCTGTCTCTTTCTCCCTCCCTCTCACTCACTCTCTCGCTCTCTTTCGCTCTTTCTCTCTCTCGCTCTCTCTCTCTCTCTCTCCCTCTCCGCCAAAAATCCCATGCAGCTGCGGCTCGCGCAATCGCCCCTTCACGACCCAATAATGAACGTCAAAAACATGTTGGGCATCTTGCCGATTTGATCTAGCAAGAGAGGGAGAGAGAGAGAGAGAGAGAGAGAGAGAGAGAGAGAGAGAAAGAGAGAGAGAGGGCAGCGTTGGTAAGCTTCCGATTCCCTTTAATGCTCGAAAATTCATCCTAACCTGTCCGGAACTAGCCATGATAGCCTGCCATAACTCACCGACTTGTCAAAATTTTCCGCGCAACCCATGCCATCCATCAAATTTGCATATTCCACCTGTGGACGGGACCGTCGCTCTCTCTCTCTCTCTTTCTCTCTCTCTCTTTCGCTCTCTATCTCCTCCTCCCCTTTCTCTCCAGGTGTCAACAGAGTAGCGTAGCGGAGTGTGTATTTCAGCGCCCACCGAAATTTATGAGGCTCTCTGCCCAGTCTTCTCTGCCAGTTTGCCATGTCACCGAGGCCATTTGCATTCAGAATGTGCCCTCCGGGGTAGAGCGGGAGACAGCCCCGGGGACGGGTGAAAAATTTCGGAAATTCGATTCCCCGGAGACGAATTAGCACTTGCTGCTTTTGGGGTAGGGAAGGGGATGGGTGGAAATGTTTGGGTCGGGAGGGGTGGAATTTAACGTTTATACGATTTTAGGGAGCAATATTTAAGGGATTTGAAAGGGATACTGTAGATGGGGCAGAGTATAAATTTCATATCATAATTTTGCGGAGTGAGAGAGAGATGGAGAGCGAGAGATAGTTAGAAAACGCGTGAAAGAGAGAGAAAGAGCAAGAACAAGAGAAAAAGCGTGAGATAAGGAACGCGATTTACCCTCTATAACTTCCTTTTTTTCAGCGGAAACCGCGTGACCGAACTGATCGCCGGTTCTCTCCCTCGTCTATCAGAATTGAGCCTCCTCGACATTGAGCTGGCTTCATCAGATGCCTGTCTCCGAGAGCCATGTCCTTACTACCAAAAATGCCGCGATACCTTGAAACATCTGGGGGCTGAGGTGAGCTATTTTTGGAGCTTGTAAAGGTTTTTTGCCTTTCTATTCCCTTTAAATCGTTTCTAACAATCTTCTTCCAGTTCCACCAAACCGACAACTTTTTGGCGCACTCGCTGAAGACGCTTCGGACGTTTACATGCGAATGCCCGAGAGGGTTTTCGAGTAAGTTTTGGAAAGTTTGGCTTCTGAGTTTCTTTAAAGCCAAAAAATGAAAAATAAGGCTTAGGCTTCGCTTAAAATTAGCTTCGGCTTGGCTTAGGCTTGGCTTTGACTTAGCTCATGTTCATCACTCCAAATCGGCTAATGTTTCCGGTCTCTACTATGGTGTCCACTCTAATCGACCGGTGTCCCTTTCCCCCAAAAGGGTCACCGCGTACTCGACGTAATTAGCATTCGGGTGGAATCGGAATGGTTAGGGGGGAGAGCGAGAGAGCGAGAGAGGCCAGAGAAGAATACTGATGGCTTGTTGGCACTAATTGAATAGCTAGGGGGGACGGCTCGGTGACAGCCGCCCAAGTTTGGTCTTGCCGACACGAACGGCTTGCGACTTTGAAATTGGGGGTGAAACCGGAATTAAATAGTACGAAAGCGAGAGAGTGAGAGGAAGAGGGACAGACGAGGGAGCAAGAGAAAGCGAGAGAGAGAGAGAGAGAGAGAGAGCGAGAGAACGAGTGAGAGAGTAAAATTCGCCCTAAATTCTCTAAAAGCCCTAAAATTCGCGATTTTAAGCGTAATCGAGGCTAATCCAGACGTTTCAGGCTCACCGGAAATGCCGGAATCATGCAACATTCGGCTTGACGAGTGCTTCTCTGGCCCATGTCAGCACAATGGCAGCTGCCAGGCGCTTGAAGATGGCTTCAGTTGTCATTGTCAACCCGGCTGGATGGGTACGTTTTGATACAAAATCCGGAGAAGGACTCTCGGTTTTTTGGAGCGTACAGTAACGTACAATCCTGCCCTAAAAATCTACCTCATTTTTTTCGAAATTTTTTCCGTTACAGTAACGCCTGATAACATGTACCGTAAAACGCTCGCTGTACTCGAGGACGCTACGCTCCTCTTTACGCCGGAAATTCGTAAATTTTCGAGTGTTTTGCAAGAAGCGTTCCTCTTGTCTTGAATGGCCCTTAAGAATTGAACGCGAATTCTGCTAGATTCCACAATTAAAAGGTGCACAAAAGGGTGTTTATGTGGCTATGGTGGGTCCTTTCTTCGGTCCCACAGCGACCACTTTAATTAAAATGCTGAAGAATGGACGATCGGGGGTACCCCAGGGGGGCTACACGCGACACCCTTCAACACCCCCTAGAAAAGGCATCGAATTTCGTGCTGATGGGATACTAGGGCCCTCCTGGGGTGTGAAATGGGGAAATGGGGGACTGATGCTAATTTGTTAAAGGAAATGGGAAGGGAGGAATCTATGGGAATTTTTAGACTTTCGATAATTCCAAATTTTTTTATAGTAGCCTACTGGAATTTAAGGAAAATTACTGTACCAGGATAATCTGTGAATCTTTGGGATTGTTAATGAACAATTTTCAAGGAAAGGCAGGCTAGCAGAGATCACATTTTTTACCGATGAAGTCGAGGACAAGCTAGCAAAGATTCTTTGGGATTCTTGGCGTTTTCAAATGCTTTTACTCACAGCTTACTCCAGGAGGGAAACTGGCAAAGAACCTTTAGAAAATGGCTAATCTACGGACCAACACTGAGCGAACTGGCAGAGAGTCATAGGGATTTCCCGCAAAACCTAGCAGAGTTCTTTTAAGGCTATCTTAAAACGGTCATTTCCGGTATGTCCGGCAAGCTAGCAGAAGTTTTTTGGGACTTTTAAGGTCTTATTACTTACTTTTTCTGTGATCCGGTCAAGGGCAATCTAGGAAAGATCCTTTAAGAAACCTCGCCGAGTCACTTTCCAAGGCTATGCAAGGCAAACTAGCCGAGATCCTTTGCGGAACATTGTGCGCATTTGTTTTTTACACTTGGACCAAGGGCAACCTAGCAAAGGTTCCTTAGGAAACCTTCTCGAGCCGGTTTTCACAATTTTTGCTGAGGCCAGCTAGCAACGATTCTTTCGGAAATTTCGTCGCGAGCATTTGAATAGCTATTCCCGATTCACACCTCATCAGCACCCAATTCCATCCATTTTCGAGTGTTGCCGGGCCCTTTAAATCGGTTATAACAGAAGGAGGGCGTCAATTGGCGGCTGGCGGAATTGGCATTAGGCGCCTCCAGCCCTTCCTGTTTGGGACGGAGGTGTCAACAATTTGGGGGCAGCGGGATGATATGCAAATGAGGGGCGAGAGATAGGGAGGTAGAAAGAAAGAGAGAGAGAGAGAGAGAGAGAGAGAGAGAGAGAGAGAGAGAGAGAGAGAGAGAGAGAGAGAGAGAGCCGCTTAGGTTGACAGATGGGCCAATATAGCTGGCTTCTCATAAGCAAGGGCACATCCCTCTGCATCCCCGGTTATGATGGAATTAGACGGAATTAGGGTGTTGTGTGGACACGGGTGGAAAAGTGGTGATTTTGGATATCAGGGACGTAGAAAATACAATAGCATTTGTTTTATTGAATTTTAGCCAGTTTTTAGCTACTTAACGGGGCTAGCAAGCAGAGGTTATTGCGGAACTTTGATAGATTACTAGAACAACGGCTTTATTATTTCGAATTTTTTCCAAAAGTTCGCATAATTTCAGATTTTTGGAAATATTTTGCAAACTTTCCAGCCATGCCACCAATTATCTGGATTTTTGAACTATAGATGGCCAGAGCGAGCGAGAGGGGGGGGTGAGAGAGAGCGAGAGAGAGCGAGAGAGAGCGTAAGAACAATTTCCCTATCATTATCTGTATAGAAATCTCAGGCATTCGGCGGCTCTTGACCACTCATTGTCTGTCTATAGGAAATCGGGGACAGCGAGGGCAACAATTAGAATCCTTTGGCTAAAGCGGACGCCTTGCCGTCTATAGATGTACAACGGCAATTAGCGTACCTCAAGAGAAGCTACGCGCCATTTCTATTTACGAACAGGGCAAGGGGGAAAAGCTCCAGTATGACCAATTAGAAAATTTTAGGAGGGGGTGGGCTGGAATGGTTAGAAAATAAGTTGGCTACCGTACCGCAGATTTCTTGGATTTTCCAGCGTATTCTTACGTACCAAAATTAACGCTAGAAAATTTACGACAAAACGACTTTTTTTTACACAGTGCAAAGCCCACAAAAACGCAAAAAATAAAGTAACTTTCAAATCTCAAAGCTCTCGTTAATGCGCTAAATTTCAGGCAAATCCTGCGAACTTTCGACTCGGGTTGAGACATGCCTGCCCGGATACTGTAGAGAAGGTTCTACCTGCGAACTCACGCCAGAGAAAACGATGAAGTGCACAAAATGCCGCCACAACGATAGGGATTCGGATGAACGGTATGCTAAGCCTAAGCTAAGCCTAAGTTAAGCTTAAGCTAAGCCTAAGCTAAACCAAGCCTAAGCCAAGCCTAAGTCAAGCCTAAGTCAAGCTCCCTTTAAAAGCATTGAATTCAGATGCCGTCTGCGCTCGCTCCATTTTGGCGGTCACTCCCTCTTGAGGCTGCCGAGAAATTTACCGCGGATTGAATGGACCGTTCAATTGAGGTAAAGCTACCGTAACTGGCAACATTTAAATGTCATTTTTAGCTTTTCAACGATCACCCGTTCCGGCACACTCCTTTTTGCGGGAGAAAAAGGACGCGATTTTGTGGAATTGAAGCTGGACGACAGGATTTTGACTGCAGAGATTAGGTGGGTTGTTGGACTTTTAAGACCGTGGAAAATGATTTAAGAGTACTTTGAACAGAATTATTTTAGTCTGGGAGGCGAGTCGAAAACCGTAAGACTGCGTGAGGACAAAGACAACCGCGTGAATGATGGGCATTGGCATATGGCGACGTTGGCGTATTTGGATAGGGTGGGTTTTCAGTTGCCGAGGCCTTTAAAGCTACCGTAATCGTATAAAATATCGTAATTTCCAAAATTGGAAAAATTTAGACGTTGACATTGACACTCGATGATTGCGATCCGGCCGTTGCAAAGTTGGCCGTTGGAGCTCCGGGATGCGCCGCTAGAGCTACGATAGATTTACCGGCAAAGTAAGTATAAAACTAGGAGGATAAAGAATGTCGGTCTATTTCTCTCTCCCTCTCCCTCTCTCTTTCTCTCTCTCTCTCTCTCTCTCTCTCTCTCTCTGTCTCTCCTCTCGCTCTCATCTCTCAAAAACACAATCAAAATCACGCCGGTAGGCTTTCTCTCCCCTCCCGTGTAGCATTGTATGCCCCCTCCTAAATTCCCTGATCTCTAATCTCCAATCTCCTTTTTATCCCTTTTTTAGGTGTCTCGATGCCACCGTCCCGTGCCATCGTTTCTTCGACTCCTCTGCCGGCCTCTCCCTGGCGGGCCCCCGCCTCAAAGAGCCCCGGGTGAGTGCTCAGCCCCGTGGCGAGATGGCCGAGCGGTCCAAGGCGCTGGTTTAAGGCACCAGTCCCTCCGGGGGCGTGGGTTCGAATCCCACTCTCGTCAGCCTTTTTGCTTTTTGCTCCAAAAATTGCGGAATGTGGTTTTCAAACTTTTAAGACTTTTAAAATAACTTGATTAATATTATTTTAGGTGAAAAACGGGTTCCACGGATGCCTGGCCAACCTGACGATCGATGGAGAGTTGGTCGATTTTTCGAATCTGGACCAGCTTGAGAAAATTGGGCATATTGATGAGGCAAGTTTTGAAATCCCATAATTTTTTCGAAAATTACTATAAATAATTTTTAGTATTAGAGAACAATCTTCAAGATTCAAAAATCATTTTTTTTTAGGGCTGCAGCCCGAAGCGCGACTTTTGCGCGGATGCAAATTGCGGTCACGGGGCGCATTGTGTGAACCGGTGGCTCGGCTTCAACTGCAGATGCCCACATGCTCATCACCAGGGCGGTGATTGTCTACAGGATAAGGGACGGCTCAGACAGATGACGTTGGCTGAAGAAGAGTCGTTCGTACTCTGGAAGGTAGTGGATTTTTTTTAATTTCCGGATGGTTTCTGATGTTTTTCCATAGCTTTTCCACACCGTAATTTGGAAAGTCGCGTAGTTGTTAAGATCTAGGCGACGGACGGGATCGAGTTTGCCCTTCTCGGCGCTTCTGAACATGTTTAAGCCAAAAAAAGCACGGAACAGTCAGAAAAATAAACCTTTCCAGGTCCCCTCCGGTTCTGCCATACCGTTGGAAGTCTCGCTTGAATTCCGAACTTTGCGTGATGACACCCAGGTGTTTGTCATCGAGTTCGACGAGAAGAATTTGTTCTACAGGATGGAGGTATTACACAAGCTTCTAGCGACGTAATTTATGAGTTGCAGCTCGAAAACGGACTCCTGAAGTCGACAATCGGGCAGAACACCACGTTTATCACCTGCCCGGATGCGGCGAGAGGGCATTGGACAAAGGTGAGAGAGAGAGAGATAGCGAGAGAAAGAGAGAGAGAGAGAGAGAGAGAGAGAGAGAGAGAGAGAGGGAGAGGGAGAGAGAAGGCGAGAGATAGGGGGGGGAGAGAGCAAGATTTAACTCTAAATTTCAGGTGGAGCTCGAGCTCAAACCCGACGAGGTGACGACGATCATCGACGGCATCTACACGGCTACACAACCCCTCAGTGGTCGTGGACTATCCATCTCCTCCCTTTACTCCGGCATCGCTCCGTCCACTTCTCATCCGGCTCGTTTTGACGGCTGCATCCGGGAGGCTCAGATGAATGGACTGCCGCTGAAGACGAAGAATACTGGAAAAGTAAGGATTTTCGAGCTAGCTGAACGTCTTGAACCTGATGGCACACTGATATCCAGAAGCCAGAAAATGCTGAAATTCGATAAAAAATGTATTTAGATCCGCCAGGGCTGCGTCTCCACACGAGGCTGTCAAGCCGGATCTTGTCCCGAGAATTCGATGTGCCGATCATTCTGGGATGGGCATAGATGTGATTGCGATCCGGGTAGGTTTTCTCTCACCCACGCACTCTCTCTCACTCTCGCTCTATCTCGCTTTCATTGTCTCAAAAACCTCGTGTTCCAGGATACGCCGGTGCTGCGTGCGACCCGATCTGCTCCCTAGAAGGAATTTGCGGCCCGTCCGGAATTTGCGTCCAGACGAATAGTACGATTGGCTACGAGTGCCACTGCGCGAACGGTAGGAATTTAATTTCTTGATTTTATGTCCTGTAAGATGCTAAGTCCAAAAGTCCGATACTCGGCTTGTCCGTCCCTTTAAAGATACCAAGAACCAAAATTCTTTACTTTACGATCCCTTTAAAATTACCGATGACGAAATTTCGGCTCGATTATAAACATGACCAATGTTTAGGCCGCGTCGGCGCAAACTGTGAACGTCTTGGAGCCGTTCGTACTTGCCCATCCGGTTGGTGGGGGCGATTCGGGGAATGCAGGAGATGCGATTGCCCATCGGCGAAGGGATTTGCCGCTCAGTGCCATCCACATACCGGCCAGTGCTTGTGCCCGGTAGGTTCGAGAACTCAAACTCATGCTGATTCCTTTTCAGCGCGAATGGTGGGAGAGCGGTGGACGCTGCGTGCGCTGCGAGTGCGGCCTTGGAGCAACATCACTGGAGTGCGATCCGGAGAATGGACAGTGTTCATGTGCTGGAGAAGCGGCGGGAAGGAGGTGTGATCGATGTCCGGTGGAGACGCAGGTAAGGCGAACGTCAATTTCGGCAAGTTCGGATTATTCAAAATTCTGCACCATGTGAATTTTTTTCTAAAAAGTTGAGTAAAACGACTTTTCCAAAGCGAACATGCCACATTTTTAGGTTCTCGATCCGAAATCTCTTCGCTGTTTGTCGCTGCGAGATCGCTGCCCCTCACAGATCGACGAAGCAGTACAGTGGCCAACAACAGTACGAGGAGCTACGGCTAGACAGTCGTGTGCTAATGGACAGGTGCGGTATTGAGTATCGCCCCCGTTGCTCTCTCTCTCTCTCTCTCTCTCTCTCTCTCTCTCTGCCACTAATTCTATGGAATTTTCAGATCGGGCTAGCTACTCGAAAGTGCGGAGAAACCGGCAAATGGCAACCGGTACAGGACGACAATTGTACACGAGCGGAATTCTCGAATCTGTTGACGCGGGTATGCCTGAATATGAAGATTTTGCATAGTTTGAAGCCATTTTAACCTTTATTTCAATGACTCCATCCTCAAATTTTAGATTTTCAAAAATTTTCTGAAGTTTGTAAGCCACATTTTTATCATGGAAAAGCTTATTTGTAACTATTTTTCTCTAGGCTTCCTCCCTGAGCGCCGCCGAGCTAGTAGCCACAGTCTGGAACGCAAGTCAATCGGACCAAGCGGAAGAATGGAAGGGAAGAAATCTGGAAATGGCTCGGATCGGGATCGGAAGGGCATTGGATATGGAGACCGCCGGAGAATCGGATGCAGATGGAGGCCCTTCTGCTCATCTCTATGATCATCAATTTGTGCATCGGCTGGTCGAGGCGGCTGGGCAGGTACGGTAGCGAGAGCGCGCAGTAATGAGACACGAGTCGGGCACCCATGAATAACATGCTATAAGCCGCTAGAAAAATCGCTATTTCGTTTTAAAGGGACTGGGAAAGCCAGAAGAACCCAACCGCTAAACTGGCATCTCCAAGATTCCGAAAAACAACCATTTCAGTTACTGCCCAACGAGTCACCCCAACGGTTCCTCGAACTCCCTCGAAAATTGGAAAAACTCGGCGAAGCCCTGGTTCGTCTACACCAAAGGAGGAAGTATCTCGATCCGTTCGCTGTCCAGACGTCACAGATTTGTAAGGATCTATCCAAATATTTGAAAAGCCTCTTTTCTAGTCTTTTCGGTCGATCGTCTGGACAATCGAGATTCACTGCCGAAATTCAACAATTTTGTGGACGATCGAGTGGAGGGATTTCCGGATATAAGGATTACAATTGCGGATGATTCGACGCTGGCTTTTTATCAGGTGAGTGTGAGGGAGGGAGCGAGCGAGAGAGTGAGGGAGAAAGAGAGAGTGAGAGAGAGAGAGAAAGGGAGATAGAGAGAGAGAGAGGGAGAGAGAGAAAATAACATTTTCCAGATAATCGCCAACCCTCGTTGCCCTCGTTGTTCAACAGCAATCGTCTCCGTCTCGGCCAATACCACCCAACCGATCCTCGTCGAATTTCCCCTTCGAGAAGACTCCGGCTGGAAATTCCCGGAATGCGTCCGTCACTCGGCTGAAGAATCGGAACAATGGACTGTGCGAGGAGCCGTTTTAACCGGGCTAAATGCCACCCATGCCGTCTGCCTCTTTCACCTTCCCGGACTCTACACAATTCATCTCAGGGCGGATAGTGGCGTTTTGGTAGGTTTTTCGGTGTCGGTTTTCAAGCTTCAATGTATCAAACTACCATATTTTTCTTCAGGTCCGTCTCTCCCTCGGCCAATCGATGGTGGGCCCAATTTCTGCCTTATCTTCGCTCGTGATTCTGCTGATGTCGTTGTTGTTGACATTGTCTAGAAGGGGATTGAGGACTCGCCCAGTCAGGGTCGCATTCATCTTATCGTTTGCTGCTCACGCAGCTACGATCTACCTGCTACACAAGGCTACTGTGAACGCGGTGAGTTTGACACTATCTATCGATCTCTCTCTCTCATCTCTCTGCTCTCTCTCGATCTCTCTTTCCGTCTCACTCTCTAATTCTGCCTTTTTAGGTGTTCTGCGGCGTCCGCAACGCGGTCCTCTCCTTCACTACGGTCTCACCGTACTGCTGGCTTTTCCTGTACTCCCTCCACCTCTACCGGATGCTAGCTGAGGGGAATACGCAAACCAGGTAGGTCGGATGACTGAAAATTAGATACCGTACATTTTTGCCGCGAGATGGTTCCCTAAATCCGATATTTTCAGTGCTGCGGTATGTCTCCTCCTTGGAATGGCCCTACCCTGCTGTCTATCCGTCGTCTCATTCCTGCTATCGGCCACCTGCTCATTGGCCCCGTCGCATTGGCTGTTTTGGACCATCGCCCTCCCAATTGCGCTGTTCCTACTGGTAGGTTAGAGAGATAGAGCGAGAGAGAGAGAGCGCGAGAGAGAGAGAGAGACAAAGAGAACGAGAGAAAAATACACTAAACGCCAATTTACAACTCCCCATTTCAGCTCTCCTTCTACGCATGCGCCACCTGCCTTCTCATCTCCCGCGACAAGCACTTCGAGGTGACCGTGGTCAAATTTGCCCTCCGGAAAGCCCTATGCCAGCATTTCCTTCTCGTAAGTTACTAAAATTCAAATTTTTAAGAATTCGAGGTTTCTAAAAATCCATAAATTTTTTTGTCTTTTAGACCTCCCTGACGGTAACCTACACCGCTGGCGGTCTCTTTTTGCCGACAATGCCTTGGCTATCGGCTGGATTGGGCGAGATGGTGTCGTCGATTCTGCTTCTGCTGACGTCGCTTTACATTCTCGTCTGGGCCTGTGCTTTCGGGAGATCGGTAAGTTTTTTGTATCTATCGCGGTCTCTTTATCTCCCTGGCTCTCCACTCTCTCTCTCTCTCTCTCTCTCTCTCTCTCTCTCTGTCTCCATCTAACTCAACCTATGATTACAGGAAGACCAAACGGATCGTGTCGAGACCCTTTGGGTAAAGGGAGAACCACCGAAGAGTATGGCTGACGAGCATGGCTGTACTTCTCCGCTTCTACATGGTAGGCTTTATTTAGCATTATAGGTACTAGCAAGGCAAAGCTTTGCGCTTCATTCTAAAACCTAATGTACGTTGTAAGACGATACTTTACATTGACAACGCCTTACATTATGGCGTAAACGTAAGTACCATGTGGGACGTTGATATAGAGTGTGATACTGTACGGTATAACGATAAGATACCCGGCGCTACGGGCAGTACCCTAAGCAAGTCTCTGATAAGTTACGTGGCGACGTCACGGTAAAAAGTTATCTACGAGATGCTACGTGTGGATACCTTACTGTGGCGCGCCGTACGTTAGACTACGTTAGAAAAATGTAGTAAAGTCAATCAATTGCCTATTTCCAGACGAATACGCCGGAAGCCGGATGGGAAGTGGAGGAAGTGCTGCGGGATGGGCATCAGGATCAGATCGTGTCCCATCGGATCCTTACGTACCTCTTCCAAGACCTGTCGGTGGTCTGTCACTACGCGACAATCCTCTGGCACCCTCAATTCTCTCGCCAGCGAATAAGATCTTCCGCGAGACGAGTGAATACGGTAAGGCTCGGGCCTAATTTTGCCGGAATTTGTTTTTAATGGCCCTTTAAAAATCAGATGTAATTTTTTTTGCAGCAACCACCGGCTCGCTGTCACGTTTCGGAAAATACGAGGACGAGATGGACGACGCGTACTACACATATCAGCGCCGAAAGCAGTACCCCACTACTTTTCAACGTTGATTAAATTTCTGATGTTTTAAAGGGACTCGCAAGGAAAATTCTAAAAATTTTCTGTGAATTTTGCCTTCCAAATCCCTTTAGAAGTCTCCTATACTTTTATTTTCTTCAGGTTTTTACAGCCAGTGGGCCAGCAATTTTTGGATTTTGAGTTTTCCGCTGTCACGGTCCCTTTAAAAGGTTGAAGATCATTTTTCCGCTTTTCCTATCGCCTTTTGTGATGCTGCCAAATTATACAAGTCTATTCGCATTTTTAAAGGGGTTAGGTGAACAATCAACCTATTTGATCGACTAGGTCTAGACAGCTACGTAATAGCCTAAATGAGGCGTTTAACCTGTTTTTTTAAAGCTTTTTTCCAGCGTAATTCGACCTCTTACGTAGTCGTCGAGACCTAGTCGATCGAAAAGGTCGATTTTTGCACCTTCCAATCCCCTTAAAATCGATATTTTTCTTGTGATACTCTGCGATCTCCCCCTATCAAAATTGTTGTGTGCTTGCCATCCCTATCGAATCCGGTTTGAAAAATTTAACTTCATTTAAATGATAATTAATAAGCTATTAAACCCTAATTTAAACTCAAGGATTTAAATTAATTTAAGGCGTTTTATAAATTATTGGACCTCATCCCTTGAGCTTTCTTGCCCAGATTTTTTGTTGCTTTGTATATACAAAAAATTGCCGCAATTCACTTTCCACCTCCATTTGAGATACTCAAAAATCGCGCGTGTGATCTTTCCCCTGTATTTCATACCACGACCAACCCATTTGTTGTGAGCTTTTAAATATTTTTTTTGTTGGGCCAATTGATGTTTCTGATAAAGGGTTTATTCTATAAAATTGTTGAAAATGACGAAAAAACATCAGAATTATGAAAAACGCGGGATCAGAAAAATTACAGCGTGTGCACGGCGCTATAATCGTTGTGTTACCAAAAAAGAAAACAAAACGCACAACGCTCAACATGGCATTGTCATAGGATTCCGGAAACAAAGTCTTCAAATTGCCTCCATGGGGCCAGAAAGTGAGAAATCTACCCCTCGGTCTACCAGGTCTCGACAGCTACGCGTCACTCCAAAACACACATACAAGTGACAGGAGTTTTTCGTCAAACTTACCGACCTGAAAATGAATACCAAAACGCGAACTAAATCGTTTTCTTGCTTTTATGATCCCTTGAAAGCGACTTTCTGAAAAGCCAGAGCTCTACGGTGGATTTTGTGATTTTATGGATTTCCTATACTTTTTTGCCCCCCGCCGCACGCCCCGGCGCGCACCTGTTCAGACATATGAGATTCGCGCAACGCCGGCGGTAAAGTGGCTCGAGCGTGGCCTGTCACTAAAATGTTAGTAGGGATTAATCTGAAGTAGCCAGGGTCGCCAAAAAATCAAATTCATGCCTTGCTGCATTTAAAAACGCACGGATGCGCAAGAATCGGCTCTCCATTGGGCTCTGGGTCTAGATAGATACGCGTACCTCCAGGTAACACATTGCACCCTCCAAAAGGTCCGAAAAGTGTCCAAAAGCCCACACAGCGAGCGCGTTACGTGTCGCGAGCAAGGGAAATGCATAAGGCATCCAAAGACAACAAAATTCATAGGGAAGCATTTCCCGTTCCTTCAGATCGTATATTTAGCAGGCCCTAGCTATGATGTCCCTTATCAAATCTCTGACCCCAAATGTCTCTAATCTGCCAAACTAGCGCTAGGCACGAGCTCAAGCTCGGCGCTAGGGCGAGAAAGCCGACGGTTCTCGGCTCGGTACGTGGGTAAAATCGGCTTTTTTGGGGGGATTGGAATGGAGAGGGAGGTGATGGGGAGGGGCACGAGGGGGAAAGATGGAGAAGGAGTGAATGTATGAAATGGTGGTGGCAGCAGAAGAACCGGACTGTCGATGATGCCCTGCCCTTCTTCGGCTTTCCCCTGCCTCTCCCCCTTAAGAACCCAACACCTCAAAGCCTGCCTTATCCCCCCCTGATACACACTAGATGGCTCAAAACCCGCTACACTCATTTTCTAGCCGCACCGCTGGTGACGATAAGCTTTTCGATTTCTTTTTTTGGTTCTGTTTGCTTAGGATTTATCGATTTGTGGTTTTAAAGGGACTGGGAAGTCGGAAAATATCTCTCTCTCCGGCTCTCCCTGCCTCTCATAATCTATCACTCTCGCAATCTCTCGCTCTCTCTTTCTCTCTCTCTTTCTCTCTCACTCACTCTCTCTCTTTCTCTCTTTCACCCTCTCTCTTTTTCTGACTCTCTCTCTCTCTTGCTCTCTTTCTCTCTATCTCTCTCTTTCTCTCTGTCTCTCTCTCTCTCGCTCTTTCTCACTCACGCGCTTCATGTTAACGATTCTCAGAAATGCTAATCTACCTTTTACTCCTCTTCATCCCGCTAGCCAGTGCTTGCCATCCCGGCTTTGAAAAAGAGCTACGGTAAGTCCAAAATTAGAGGGACTGTTATGCGCTAGAATTTACCCCTTCCGTCGACTAGGTCTGGAAGTTACATGACGCGCCAAAATGTTTGTTTAAGCGCATTTTAATCTGTGGATATAGCGCCATTTGGAGCATTGCGTAGTTGTCCAGACCTAGCCGATTTGATAGGTCGATTGTCACGGTTCCGGATCTCTTTAAGCATTACGAGCTGGCAATGAGCTGCGTTTTCTAGATACCTCGAGCTATACCTTGGCATAAAACCAACAAATGATGGTGAAATCCGACAGGCCGCCCCGCCACAATACGTCAAGAAATCGCACGACCTGGACTGTGACTTTTCGGTAGCTTTAAAAATTTGCATGGTTATTATATTTCGTAAATTAACAAGGTTTTATTAATCTATAAATTTAACCATTTTTCAGAAAGATTGCCTCTGGAAAAACGCCGGTTCTGACGGACTTATGGACACCTCGCAGTGGTGGCTTTTCGAGAAAACAGACGCCAAGCAATTTCCGGTGCAAATCCAGCCGGGAGACGCAGCTCCTCCACAGGGTACGGTAATTCAGATGTTTTCTAATGAATACATTTAGGCACCGTATTCCTGGTGGCCGGAAATACTACGCGAAAAGCCCAGTCCGCCGTGCTTCTCAGTGCACCCGTCGCTTGTCAACGTGGATTGGCCAATGTCACTTTCAAGTAAGGCATTAATTCGGGTTTAAAGGAACTATGGAGCACGAGTTTTGATCTCTTCTATCGACTAGGCCTCGACAGTCCCGGATTGAAGATTCTTTAAGACGAAATTCTCAAAAGACCTCCAGCTCGTCCATGCACGCTTGAATTTTCATAAACGTCGCGTTTCCAGGTGCTGCAAAAACGGTTTTTGTGTGTCATTTGGCGTGTACCGTCACTGTCGAAACCTAGTAGAGGAAGGGCGATTTTTGCGTTTTCGAGAGCCTTGAAAATGCCCTTTTCAGCTATTGGCTGTACAATCATGCACGGGTTGAAGTTGTGGCCGTCAGACCGGAGTTGAGGAGAGGAAGGCTGATGGTAGGTTTTTGAGCTTTTTGCTCATTCAAATTTTTGATGCGTTAGCTCTATAACAGTGTTTCACGCCTCAGAATATTTAAAGTAAGATTAAGCCATATCAGCATCCTTTAGGTTCTCGAACGTGCAAAGTCAGATTGTCATTTCATGAAAGCCAGCGGTCACGTTTGCTCGGCCACGATTCCTGCTATTAGTCAGCCATTCAGATTTGCTATTAGGTGAGTGGAAGGGAACGCTTCTTCGTGTCTTCAACCCCTTTAAACTCCTTACCGAAATTCCAGAGCCTTCAACCTCAAGGACAACACGGTCGGCTCGATGGCGTTGATCAACGGCGTCAAGGTGGACGCTGATTTATGCTCACAATCTCGTAGGTGCCTTTTTAAATGTAAAACTAAATCCATTTAGCTTTCCCTCTACTCTTCAATTCCGTCGCACTCCACCCCAGGCCACGCCCACATCCGTCAGCTTTGAAAGACGTGGAATGTGTCGATCCGATTAAGGGGTGCAGGTACGGTGGTTTTCGAAATTTTGGATGGAGAGAGAAAGAGAGAGCTAGCGGGAGAGAGAGTGAGTGTGAGATAGAGCGAGAGGGGGAGAGAGAGAGAGAGAGAGGTCGAGGTAGAGTGAATTAAATGAAGCGATCCACATACCGTACAGATGGACCAACACGTACTCAACCGTCTCGGAGTGGCGAATTGGAAGAGATACGGATCGGTGGTACGAATTAACAGAGGTATAATCGCCTTTGAAAAGCCGAGGAGAATTTTTTAGGCTTCTCGCTCCACCACAAAACCATCAAAATCCTTCCTATTCCTCGCTGTCGATCCGTTGACGCCGAAACCGTACGGAGTGTTGCGTAGTCAAATGATTCCTTGCTTATCGAAGACCGCTACATTGTCGTTCAGGTATAGAGAGAGCGACAGAGAGCGAGAGAGAGAGAGAGAGAGAGAGAGAGCAGTCCGGAATCTTTAGATACTGGCTTCGTGCCGGGACCCAAGTTGAGGTGTGCTCCGTGGATGCCAATGACGTCCCGCTATCCTGCGCCTATTTGACAGAAGACGATTCACCGGGCCCAATCCAGATCGACATCGAGCCCTACATGAAGCCGTTCAGAGTGAGTGAATGGTAGAGTGAACGGGAGAGCGGGAGAGAGAAAGATAGGTAGCAGTTATTTTGCTCAATTTTTAGTTCACGATGAACGTCATCGCATTCGATGCCAATTCCATGGGTTTGGTGGTGGTAGATGAACTGAAATTCACCGGAGGTCATCTTTGCACCGAACACCCGCCTCTGCCCGTCACTACCATCGACCCGCCTACGGTAAGTATATTCCAAATCTAAGGTTTTTGCTTGCTCGTCTCCAGATTGTGGCCGTGCCAAAATCCTTTTTTAGGTAGCCCACCTCTTCGGACTACAACCAAAGCCAGTACTTGGCCAAAATGACTATCGACTGACGCTGGATTGCGATTTTTCGGAAGATCATTGCAATCAATGGTAAGCTTTTCCTTCACTCTCGCTCTCTCTCTCTCTCTCTCTCTCTCTCTCTCTCTCTCCTTTTCAAAACCTCCTTTCCTTAGGGTCAACGACGATGGCAAGCTCAAGTACGGAGCCGCCCCGAATGGTCTTGAAGATTTCCCACTACCTAGGGCCATTAAAGGTATGGATTTCCTAAAGTATTCACTCCGTAATTTGTAGGAAACGTTGCCGTATTAATCCTCAAGGGCCAAGACGCATCCTCCATCCGATCCCGCGAGATTCCGTGTGCATACAATGCACTTATTACCATCACTTATATGAGGTGGGAAGTTTTAAAGGGACAATGACGGGGAGAGGTTTTCAAAATACGTATCTTAACGATATCCGTTTTATATTGCATGTTGTGCTTGTAGTTTGTCCGTTAATAACATACCTTTAGATCCGAATTCGGCTTCCTACGAGTCTGCGCCCTGGGAAAATGCGTGGAAGGGAAGAAGCGGAACGGTACTTTGGAGGTTCAGGTCTCTTCTGAAGAACCATTTGAGGTGAGTCGAGAGAAAGAGAGAGAGAGAGAGAGAGAGAGAGAGAGAGAAAGAGAGATTCCGATCATACTTTTTCCAGATCATCATCGAAGCCTCATCCCGCAAAAATGCCATCATTGTGATCCCGTCGATTACGGTAGGAATTCGTACATTTTGACCATAAAAATCTTGGCTGTTTGCTATTTTTTATTTGCCGTATCCTCCATTTAATTGTAAGCCTTACAACTAGGTTTTTGGAACGTGGTTCAATCACCGTAATTTTTCGGCCGAGGTTACGGTACAAGCCGGGTTTAGGTTGACGGTGACGTATGCCCACTCCGAACAGTCGAACAGATTATGTGCAACCGGTTACAGTGTGATTTTAAAGGTATCGTGAAGCCACAATATACCAAATATTCCGACTGGCCGCTTTTAAATTTCTATATTTTCAGAACACACTTGCAACTACGAATCTCCTGTCGAAAAGCCAGGCGATCGCGCGATAATGATGGGATCGAATGGTCTGTTCCAATTTGATAACTTTTATTGATCGATTTAATGGTTAATAATTTGTATAATTGAGATAACAATCAAAATTAATTGTAATAAAAGATCAACAATGGTTAACTTTGTCGTTTTTAGGTGGAGTCTGTAGCCTTTCCGGCCAGGGGGCCACCAGATGCGTGCTGCGCTCACCTTACTTTGATCTGCCCTCGCCGTCGACGATTGTATTCCAAATTACGCAGGTATGGATTAGAATAGTCGCGCATTAATGAAAATAAAAAGACCATGATAACAATAATTGCGGCTAGTCATTTCAGAGCACGACTAAAAATACAACTTGCTTTTTTTGCGCTCTAACCCTACTCATTTCTCTCGGTTTTATAAGCCCAATTTTAACTTTTCTATGTTCCTGTCACCATTCCTTTAAACTCTGCCAAATTCCAGGCTTCTCTGCCCCTTTAAAACCTGAATATTATTACTTTTTTCCAGTTCACATTCGGCTCCCGAGTCCTGCTGTGCTCGGATGCCGATTCGGAATCGGATAATTGCCACGAGTTAATGGGGCCGAGGTACGTTATTTTGCTTCGGACACTTGGTTTGGGCGGAGCGTAGCATATCGGAATTTGGGCCACAAAGAACTGTCACTGCCCCTTTAGAGTGTTGTCGCCTGAGCCGAAGAAGGTCGAATTCGCCATCGATGAATCGGTGCACCAGTTCTCGCTGGTTTTGTATCACGATAAGGTGAGAGAGCAAGAGATAGAGAAAGCTAGAGAGAGAGAGAGAGAGAGAGAGAGAGAGAGAGATGAGAGCGAGAGAGAGCGAGAGGCAGCGATGGAGACATAGACCGAGAGAGACAGAGACAGGGAGAGAGTGAGAGAGAGAGAGAGACAGAGAGAGAGAAACTTCTATCTTCTAGGCCGATCAATTCGGAGCCGCTCGATTCGAAGTTTCCTCCATCGAAGTCCGAACCGCCGAGGGCTACCAGCTATGTTTCTAGGTGTATTTGTAGCCTATATTATATTTATTAATCATTCTAATATTTATTCTCTTAAATCAATTAAATTAAGTCACTTTTATCATTCTTTCGGCAAAAAAAATTAAGAATTTGTTAAAAAATTCAAATATCCCCCGAATTTCCAAATGCTGTGATCTTCTCGTGTGCCAGGAAAGCTTTAATATAAAATTTATTATCCCGATAAAACACGTTATAAATCCGTAAAAATGACAAGTGCCAGAAAATAGAGTAAGGCGCAGTAACCCGTAGAAAAGTTGGACCCAAAACGTAGGCGAGCAGAGATCATTGAGGAATTCGAAGAGCGGGAACCGATCAAACATGAAACAAACGCGGGTGTACAGCTGGCTACAGACAACGGGTAAACGGTAGAAGGGTATGCAACGTTACGCAACGCACGATCTCCGCCGGATGGCTGTCAACACTCGGCATTTGCAGAAAGTGGCGATGAGGCCTTGCTGAAATGGCATGTGAGCTTGAAGGAGGGATTGTATTATCGCGTACTGTACCGTACTGTCGGTGATGTTGCGTACTGTAGCGTACTTAACGATATTTTACGCACGGGGATGTACTGTCAGTTACAGCGACGTACTGTAGCGCCTGACTGTAACGTATTGTAGCGCACTTGAATGTACTTTAGGCTCTGATATATAATACGTAGGTGCTGCATGGTACTGTAGCGTACCGAAACGTATTGCATGGTACTGCACCGTACTGTAGCGTACTGGTAAGTAGTGCTGGCGCGTACTGTAACGTGCTAGCGTGTTGTAGCGCACGCTTGCATATCGTTGCGTAATTCAATTCAGGTAGCGTTTTCTGCCCGACTGCTCCGTACGATGGTGTGCTATGTACTGCAACGTACTGTACCGTACGGGACCGTACTGTATGAAAATAATAGCTACGTAACGGTATTGTAGTGTATTGTTTTGTAGCGTAGCGTAGCTTTAGCGTGCCGTCCCTTTATCGTGTAATGCGCTGTATTTAATTGTATTTCTGCGTAAAGTAGCGTACTGTTTGGTGGGGTATACTGTAAGCTAACGTACCCTGACATCCTCATGATTGTAGATGAAATACCCGGAGTGGACGATGGAATGGACAAATACCATCATGTTCGTGAGGTCACAGGCCAACCGCGAGCCGTGCAGATGGTTATATCTGGAACAGGAATGTAGCGAAGTTAGCGTAAAGAATTTTCGATTTTTTGGAGTTACGATTGTCGGTGTTACACTCTCTTTAAAACCGGCATTCACTTTAACACGATGACTACTGTAATCGGAGCGATGAGTAGCAGGATGGTAGCGACGAAGTGAAACTGAAAAGGGAAATTCTGGCGTTTTCACGGGACTGAGAAGGCGAGGTTTTGGCTCTTTTTTGCATTCTTTGTAATAAAAAATTGCGATGCTATAAACTACGCAAAAATAACAAAATCTCAAAAAAATACACATTTTTCGGTTTTTACGGTTCAGTTTTTCAGGACCTAAAGATCCCATGATCGAGTTCAACTTTCATCAAATTCTAGGCTTCTCTGCCCCTTTAAAACTCACCACAACCGGTCTGAAAAATGCAGAGTTGAGCTGCTTCTTCAACAACACGCCCAGCACGACGGCGCACGCCACCGCCAGGATTAGCGTCATGTCGTAGGCGGTTAGAATGGCTGAAAACGGGAAAGCTAAAGAGACTAGAAAGCATGAAAATCGACCCTTCCATCGACTAGTTCTCGACAGCTACGTGATGCGTCAAATGACGCGAAACGAGCTCTATTAATCCGCCATTTTCTTACCCGTATTTGCATCCGCCACGCAAGAGCCGTCCGTCTCGATATCGATCACTACCAGACACGCCATAATTATGACGGAGAATAGGGCGCCGATCAGGAATGGCAGAATCCTAAAGACGACGTTAAAAAAGTAAAAACTTTTTCTACATTTTTATAAAGCAATGCTTGCCTATAACTGTAATTTTACTGTAATTTTTAGCCGACTTATGCGATTTAAGCTTTACGGTTTGAATTATGCTTTCTTAATTCATTTTAATTTTATTACCGTAAACGCTATAGCTTTACAAAAATAAAGTTAACAATAAAACAAAAATTAGCGTGAATATTTTCAAATCACCTGCAAAACAACGAAGATTGATGAAAATAAATAGGCGAAAAAGCGGCCAACGACCAGTCGATCACCTCGCACATTAATAGAAGACACTAAATTACTTTTTATGTCTTTTTAAATTGTTTTGAAAATATACCTGTACTAACGGCACACTTGACGATATCACCTGCACGATACCGCACTGTTTTTCGTCCTAAAACAACGAATTTAAAGCCCATAGACGATTTTTTACCTCCTTATCGAGAAAAGCCATCACCAGCAGTGAGGAAGCCGTGATCAAGTCGATCAGGAATTTTACTAAAGCGGAAGTAAATATATAGTAGAAATCAGACATTTTAATTTTTTAATTTTTGCCGGTTTAACTTGAAATATCACTATCAAATTGTCAAATCAATTGTAAAATATCCTCTATTTAAACCATCAATTCTAAAATTTAAATTCTAAATTTGCATCTCAAAGCATCCAAAAATCGGTCGTCCTGACGCTGGCGGGGGAGCGACCCAGCTCTCAAAACCCCCTCTCGACAGGTCCCGTCCACGCGCCTCATTGGCTCAGTGGCAGAGCGTCTGTCTAGTAAACAGAAGGTCGCTGGTTCGATTCCAGCATGAGGCACCAACTTTTTGCTTTTTTGGACCAAAGGCTGGATATGGTTTTGGGATCACCTTACAATGTTAGATTTTAAATTTTACATAGTATTTACTGAATTTGAGGCTTGGAAAGGTGGAAATCAAGAAAATTTTCCCAGTTTTTGTCCGATTTTCCTCCATACACACCCGCAAACACCGAATACTTCTCGCGGAGGCGTAGCTGGATGATGGTGGCGAGCAGCAATGAGCCGGAGACGATGTAGAGGAGGGCGGCCGAGGAGAGGTAGAGCCAGAAGAAGGCCTCCATCCCTCCAGCCACCCCGTCTCCCGGTCGGCCGCGTTTTTGGGGGAGTTCGGGTTACTTCGGGGAGGTGGGAGCTAAAAATCGTTGGTTTTAGAACATTGCTTCTTGTTCAAAATGTTAAAATGCTGCTAAAATAACTTTGGAAAACTCGAAAAATAATAAATTCTGGATTTTTAAGCGGATTTCAAACAAAAACTTGACGACCTTGAGCGTGATTTGCTCGAATTAGCTTAAAAAATTCATTTTTCCTATATTTTAGAAGAAGAATTTACTTATAGACGAAAAATGATGCCCAGATACAAATAAAAATTAACGTTACACGGTTAAAACTTATAGAAAAAAACCGTTTAACAAACTAGTAGCCCTTTTCCTATGTAAAAACAACGTATAAAAACTAATTGAAACTTTCAGAGTTCGTCAGAAAGCACATAAAACTGTTCAAAACATTTACAAAAACATGGGCACCCCGAAATTCTTGAATACAGACGCAACCAATCTGGCGGGCGGATCTTATTTTGACGCCCCCTCACCCCCCCTGCCCTGCCCTGCAAAAACATTACAAAAAGGGGAGCCGACCAAAATGGACGACGGAAACACGCGTCACTTTTGCCCCGCTTCGAAAGTGAATGGAGAAGCGGAGTATCGGCAATCGATTTATCGGATTCTGTTGCGGGAGACTGGCATATTAGCGGGGGGGACTCTCTACCTATCTCTGCTCAGAAAGCTTTTTAACTCTTGATCGTATATTATTACGGTTATTACCAATTTCCGATTACTAAAAACATCAACACTTTTAGAAACCCGAACGAATTGAAAGTTTTACCATTTTCAGGCATTTTTTATCAAAAATCAAATATGACCAAACTTCAAAGAATTTTTATGAACGTTATTTGCCTAAAAACGGCCGAAAAACCTATATAAACGTTTGTGTTTTCTTGCTTGAGCCCTACGGAGCGATAGGCCAAGTTACCCCCCCCCCCCCCCTCGCTAACAGGCCAGTGCCAAAACTTGAGGAAGTGAGCTTTATACCAAACCGGTAGCCGAAAAATATATTTCCAAACCGGACCCGTAAAAACTGGGCCCCTTGAAATCGTGGCCGATAAGGGGTCATCACGGGACATCCGGGGTAATTATTTTACGACTTTTTTTGTACGGGGCGAAATGAACGGTCAATTTCTAGGCAAAAATTACGTGCAACTGTACGCACTAAAATTGTCTCTCAAGAAGAGTTTATTCGAAGGGTAAAATTACAATAAGAACCGGCTCTCAGCGTCTTTCAAACTTTTTCCGGGAAAATGTTTTTCAAAGGTTCTGAAATTGACCGGAAATGTGGGGGCTGACCAGATTCGGCAGGGCCGAAAAAGGAGTGAACGTGTCACCTGGCGGTGAACAAATCGATCGGCTGACCAGTTATTCCGGTGAAAAGAAGGAAATCCGATTAACGCAACCGGTCAGCGTTTTTTGAGGAGAGAGAGAGAGAGAGAGAGAGAGAGAGAGAGAGAGCGCGAGAGAAGACAATAGAAAAATAATTCCAGATCAAATATCCGGCTTTTCAGGATGCTTTAAAGACGGCCATTTCCCGGAACACGATGTGTGACCGGCCAAGGTACCCAGCCATCTTCGGAAAAATCGATTTGTAAACACGAACCGATCGGTAGAGGGGGAAGAAGGGCGCATCTCGACAATACCACCCAACGCCACCAAACAGTCGGCAAACAGAATTCTGGACCACCCAGCCTGGGATTCTCGGCAGATAGAGGGGGATGGGAAGAGGATGGATAGTGATGCGTTCTTCGCTAAAAGCAGCAAAAGTTTGCTTTAGGTCAAGGTGTTTAGGCACAATCTTTAAAAATAGTTTAAATGGACCACCAGTAGGAAAATAGGTACTTTACTATTTACGGGGGGAGGGGAATGGAACTAAAGGGGTTTCAAAACTTTAAAAAATCTTTAAGAACGGTATATTTTAAGCGAAGTTTTAATCATTTTGGTGAAAAACCTAACATTTTCGTAGTTTTTTTGTGAAATTTTTAAGATTTTTAGGTTTAGAAATAGTAAAAAACAGATACAATTGACCTATTTGTTAGAAAACTTGGATTCTGGGGAGAATTTAACATTCCTTCGCGATACGCGAGTTTCAGGATTCTAGGATTCCCGGCAATACCAGGCAGATGCTATAGAAAAGTAAAAGCGCGCGGCAGAAAACATCCAGTTATCGAGGGGACATTCCCCCGTCTCTTGTATGCATCCGGAAAACGAGTTCTGCCCGCGCGCCCGCGCGCGCATGTTCACAGTACAGAACTGTAATGTGGCAAGACGACGCCGGATTGAAGGGTGGCGATTTCGAAGTCACCTTTACAAATATAACGCTTAAAATAACCTGAAGGCCTAGCAAGCCTCAAAATACAGTTTTAAAACGCTAAAAATCTATTAAATCTCATGTTTCTAGGGCCAGAGTTGAAAAGTAACATGTAAGCGTCGTTTAACAGCCATTAACGACAACCATAATCAGGGACGTAGCCAGAAAAAAATTTCGGGGGGGGCCCCCAAAAAAATTTTCCAAAAAACTCAAAACATTACCGAAAAAACAGCGCCGCAGGCAAAAATTTTTGAAAACAAGGTTGCATAGCTCTACAAATAGCCGTAAAAACGTGAAAAAATAGCGCCGCAGGCAGCAAAATTTTTGAGAAAATAAAAATCATAAGGGTCCCCCCTTATGAAATTTTCGGGCCCCGGCCGATTTCGGGGGGGGGGGCCCCGGGCCCCCGGGGCCTGTATTACGCTACGTCCCTGACCATAATCCTTGAAAACACCAGAAAGCGATTTCCGCCATAAATCGCGACGACCAAAATCGCGACGGCGAAAATCACACCCAAAATCCCGACCATCAAGCTCGCGAAAAAGCCTCAGAATAGCCAAATCCGTTAAAAAAGCAGAAAAACCAAAAAAACTGTTAGAAAACCAAAACCTAAAGCGGTAAAGGCAAATGGTATAGTTCAAACCGCGAGCGAACACCCGCAAAAAAACTTCGTTTCTCTGAATGTTGGACTCCGCAAAAGTCAATTAACAAAAGCACACCCCGAAAATAGCGCAGTCAGCGCTTCATGAAGTGTGTGGGAGTGCGTCAATCGAGTCCCGGAGCCTCGTGGCCATCCGGAAGACTGTGATAACGCCCAGCGGCCGGTCGTGTCGTGTCCACTACTTCACCCATCGATCCCCCCCACTGATTGTGGTCATCACAACAGCAACGTTCACACCACTACTCCACACTTTCCAAACGATATTTATTGCTATAGCGTGCAGATGGGTATCACAGAGACGGTCAAATTGAGGAAGGGCACGTGTGACCTGGCAGCAAATATTATACAAGGTCTCTAGTGATAAAAACAAAGAAGATGAGAAGAAATTAGAGTAATACAAGTCTCTACCAATAAAACGATGAAAGACATGAATAGTACCTGAGATACGGTGAGGTAGCGGGGAGAACCGGGGCGAAAAGTTACAATTCGACAGAAGAATTAGAATTCGAATCCGGGGACGAGGCGGTTGGGGTTGGGGATTCTTCCTCGTCATCGTCCGTCTGTAGCTGAACTTCTTTGGCGTGGAGTTGGTTGAGGTACTGGTTGACGTATCTGAAAAATAAATAGAAAAAATGTCCTGCGTAAGGGCAGGTATTTTTAAAACATTTCTGATGAAATTTAACTATATTTCGAGTGGAAAAACTATATAAAAAGCTGAGAAATTTTTAATTGCTTGTAAAATTAAAATTTTTGAATTTTTCCTGAAAAACTGCAGAAGATTTGCTTTGAAAAATAGAAGAAAACAATGTAGAAACCATTTTTGACAAAATCTAACTATATTTCAAGCGCAAAAACTATCAAAAACGCTTAGAAATTACTTGAACTAGTCAAAAATTTATAATTTAGTAATTTCAATGATATTTTGTAAAGTTTTTCCTCGATAAATGGTCAGAACGTCTAGAACCCCTTCCTTCATTGTTACAAAATAAGAAAAATGGATTCTAACACCAAAACCCTCCCCGATAACAGAAAAGCTCATTGATCACCGAAATTTAAAGTATAAACTTACAGAAAAGACGGCGGACACGGAGGAGATGATAGATGGAAGATGTGCACCGAGAGCGGCAACTCGAAAACGGTCGCGAAGCGGGCAATCACCACAACCTAAATTTGACGATTACTCATTTTCACGAAAAAACCAACATGATCCATCCTCAACTCGATGCTCTCCCTTCCGGTATCGTGGAGCTGCGTGCCTTTAGCGTCGGTGACGACAATTCTGAAAAAAAAACGTTAAAATAACCCAATTCGGTAAAAAAAATTTTTAGTTTTGAAAATTAAAAATTGAAAAGCGTAGTTTTGCATACCTATAATACACCTTCTTCGTCCCGTTGATCGACACGGTTCGCGTGGTGGGCTGGGAGAGGACGTTCCGTCGGATTGTGATGTATCTAAAATCATATTTAAAATGTTTTGATTTACGCTCACCTTTGCGTATATTGCAGCAACAGATCCAGCCCGCTGTTGTGGCTGATGAGACGCCAGAGCTTCTGAAAACGGTATTTAAATAGCTGAAAAACTAGCTAAATACCGGGTCCTCATCGACCACCATGCCCTCACGCAACGCGCAGAGGTAGAAGGCTTCCTCGCTGATTTCGTTTACTCTAAGTAAATTTCAAAAAAAATTTTATATTTTCGCTTACTCATTCGGCTCCTCCTCGTTTCTCAAAAATCCCTTCCAACAGTCCACCATCGCTTGGTCGATCAACTAAAAACTTCTCGATACTTTTAATATCGAAAATTGTTTACTTTTGCCGGAATAATGCCATCTTTTCCTAGCTGATCAGCTTCTTTGCTGGACGTCAAAAGATGGTGCACCCTGAAAAGAAAAAGGCTTCGTTCGTCAGACTTCAAACTACCGAATTCCGCTCCACAACGCAGCATACTTCTCGAATGACCCCGGGTTGGCCTTGTAAAATTCCGTAATGGACCTCTCGAAATCATCTTTGTTTTTCGAGACTTTGCCACCCTCGTGCAAATAGACCCACTAAAAGAACGCTTTTTAGGTAGAAAATTTTGATTTACCTTTCTCGTGCATTGATAAAACTCCTTCTCACCCTCAATTGACAGCGTGTCGGAGGAGGAGAGTAGACGAGCAAGTGCTTCAAAACTAAAAAAACGCTACAAAACGGATTCAAAAAAATGTCGACGAAAGGTGAACAACTTACGGCAACTCCTTCAGAAATTTCGGTGATTTCGACAGTCGCCAGAATCCATATTGCAAGAAACGCTCCGACTTTTTCACCACCGACCACAGCCCGTACCGGTTGGCGAGTATCGCAAATCTAAAACCCCATGTTTGCAATTTTTCGATAACTTACTGTAGAACGGAATCATCGCTTATATTCTGGGCCATCAGCTCGTCGCAGCGCGTCAGGATGCTTTCCTGAAAAATGTTTGAAAAGTCCAAGAAAAACACGAACCAATTGCAAAAACGACGCAGCCGCCAGGATGCCCTCAATGTCCTTGATATCGAGCTCGATCTCGTTGGAGTATAGCGAGCCAAGCACCGCGTGAAGCGCTGGAAAAAAAAGTTGAAATTTTTAATTTCTTTATACCTGGAACAGTGACTTTCCCGTCGGGGAATTCGAGCTTCACCTTATGGTCGTCTTTTCCCTTCCAACTCGATTCGCTCCTAAAACAAACAACAATTAAACAAATTTCTAGAGCAAGTTTTACCCAAATAACGCATCAAAATACTTGCACTGCTTCAGGTAGAGCTTGTGCAAGCTCCAGATATGGCCGACGGCCAGGATCGAGACATCACTCTGCTCTCCCTAAAAATGAATCATAAAAATGGAGAATTCTCGACTACCGCTAGGAATAGCTTCTCGTAGACATATTTTGTGGTGTCGAGCTTGGCGATTTTCGTAGTGGAAGATGATGGTTCATCTTCTGTAGCTGAGGCGCTGCGTTTACCTGCAAAATAAGTCGTCCTCGTTAATATTCTTTACTTTTATAATGCTCTTTTACTTGCTTTCCTTTCTCTATCTCTTTCTGTTTCTTTTCTATTAAACCTTTCTTCTGCAATACACTTTTTTTGCTTTTTTCTTTCTTCTTTTTATTCGCTCTTCCGCTTTCTTTGCTTTTCAATTCATTTAAAATAGAAAAAGTAGAAGAATCGAATAAGCGATAAGTAGAAAATAGAGCCAGAAAAAACTAACCCCTCTTGCCTTTCTTCTTGCGTGAAGTCGTTGGCTGGGGCTCCTCGTCTTCCGTGGCAGTTTCATATTTTGCCGAGCTGTTTCCCATCTAAAAACAATTAATTCTTTTCAATTTTGAAAAAAACTAGCAATTTAATTGAAAACCAGGGAAATAGTCTAAAATCGTAATAAAGACACAGAGCTGGTCATTAGGGTTGAAAGTAAGGTGCGGGTGGAACAGGCGATGCCTAGATCGATACCCCGGTCCCTAGCGGTCAGCTGGCTGCACGAGAGAGCACGGCACAACAAGAGGAGCACGACCGCACGCACGGCAAATATGCAAAGGTGAACCCCACGTCTCAATATGCATTGCATTTGCTCTTCTAACTTCGCATTTCTCAGTAAGTGCAAACGCAGAAATATTTTATCGAAATAATCAATCTTCAACAAGCTATAAATTCAGGAAACATTTTTATTAATTATCGTCATCGTCGTCAGCTTCCGAATCGTCGTCCTGGGGATGTCTCGATCGTCGGGTCCGGTTCGTCACCTAGAAATAAAGTTTAGTAGTAACCAGAGAAGGTTTACTTCGATTGACATCAGATGATTCACGCCACGACGATCCGCGCGGACTTGAATTTGCTAAAAAGAGGATAGGGGTTAAACCAAATGCTTTTTACCTCGGCAGGCAGCGCGAAGGGACCTGCAAAGTTTTCCGCGTCGTCGGCCAGTTGGTTCAAGTCGATTTGGCGGTACTTTTCGCGGACGTCCTTCAGGCGCAATCGAAAAGCGCGCTCCTTGTGTCTATGGAAAATCAGTCTAAAAAATTTGAAAACCAAACCTGCCAACGGTTTCATCCACCAGATTTTGCTGGGCCCGCAGCGCGCATGTCTTCCGGTGACGCGCCTGCAGATGTTCCATTCGACGGGCGACCGCTTGAACGTACAGGCCATGATTGATTGCCTAAAAACACGAGCTAAAAGTTAACAATCAATCCTACGTTCTCCTGAATTTCGAAAAAGTTGCAGATGTCCGCTAGGCTGGGCGCCGGGATTTTGGCCAGAATGTCGTAGAGCTTCGCAGTAAGTTGATTCATCTGGACCTCGTCGACGTCGTCCCGAGCATAACTACGAATGGCGCGTACGAGGGCCCGCATACTAAAATCCAGCATGAATCAAAAATCAGCGAACGGCTTCGTACCCAGTGTTAAGACGATCGTATAGCCTCGAGCCGAGCGCGGCAACTCCGTTGAATGCCGCCGGTGTCTCGCCAATATGGTGCAATTTTGCGTTGCGCACGTGTCCAGTCTAAACCACATTTTAACAATAGCGTAGCGAGGTCATAGCCTACGTTTCCGGGATCCGTGAACCAGATTGGGTGGTAGAGCATGTGGACGACGAGGTACCACGCGGATTCAATGTTGTCGAGCAGATTGAGCGGTCGTCGATCACCGGCAAGGAAGCTGAGCGGTGCTATTTCCAACGCGCCTTCCCACGTGCATCCTTTTGAGGGCTAAAAATGAAGGTTTTTTGTACAAGGGGAGTGGCTTGGATTTACTTTTATGGCCATCGCGCGAAAACGGTTTTTTTTGTTTCAATCTATTTTCGTTGTTAGTCAATTTAGAAGTGTCCAAAAGGTGTTCATTGAAAAACACTCGCCGGAAAGTTTTTGGCAGGCTTGTCTTTTTTCAAGAGGGTTCATAAAGGGGTTACGGGAAACTGAAGTTTGTCGATTTACTTGTTGGAAACCGACCAGAAAGGTCCAAAATACATCTTACATCGACAAAATAATAATGGTCCTAAACGTTGCGGCAAAGAGTAATCCAAAAAAAACGTTCAGCGCGTTTCTATCACATGGTTCCGAGCCGAAAAACCGCTTTACAGCAGGCCGCCATAAAAGTTAAGCATTCCAAGGCGTTACCATCGTCGCTGTCCTCCTGTAGGTGAAGTTGAACTCGGTCAAGACGATGCATTCGGAGCGCAGATCGTACGCGAACATCCCTGGGTAGATATCACGCAGCACGTATCCGAGGTTCGATAGGCTCTCCACAATCTAGGAAACGATCAGTGACAACAAGAATAAAACCTTTAGTAAGCTTCTGTACAGCCAATACGGGAAAGAATAGTGCGCTGGGTCGCGCAGCTGCATCTTGCACCCGACGGCAGTCAGTCCGACTTTTTCGCTAAAAAAGGTAACCATCGACCTTGAGCCCTAACTGTATTTCTTGGAGGTAGTATTGGTGCGGTTGAATGCCATCGAGCTGGTCGCGCAGGCAGCCTGCTCGAAAATAGGCGCCGCCGAAATAGTCAGCGTCGTGGGCCTTGTTTGCCTAAAAAACAAAACTTGCTAAACCAAACTCTATACCTGCCAAAGAAACTTTTGCTCAAAGTCGACGATTGAAGGGATGGCTTCTAGAATTTCCGCAACGTATCGGTACTGAAAATAGGATTTTAGAGGAGTAAATACAAAAATCGAATACCTTTCGCCCAGTCTCGAGGGATTTCACGTCGTATCGATGGCAATGCGCTTCTACGTCGCCGGAAGTAAGGCACTTTTCTACCTAAAAATGAGCGTTCCAGAGCCATTGAATACCAAATTATACCTCGAACTCTTGGTGGAGCACGGTGCCCTCTTCCCACTCGACCAGCTGTTTCGTCTGGGCCACACGGGAATCGCGAAGATTGTAGCGTTCCAGCAAAGCGGACCCCATGCGCGAGACAATGGTCTCATTGTCCGGGCACTCGATTTTGTCGCTGCTCTAAACAAAAAGTTTTAAAACGTGCACGACGTTCTAACCTGTATGTTACACTTGGTGCCCCATCTCAGGCGTTGTGCGGGTCTTGGACAGCTGGGCGTGATGGATCGCCGCTGGACGGCCCCCTGGAAGCGGACCCTCTTCTTGCCAGGCTTCGGGTCATATTCGGCATCATCGTCGGCGAGGCTTGTCGAGCTCTCGGTGTCGTGTCCCTCGTCATCATAAGGCGCGTAGAGCGGCTCCTCGCCGTCCGACGAGCTCAAGTCGGGCAACTCGGGTTCCTCAGGCTCAGAGCCGTTCTGCATTCACTAAAAAGAAAAGAAAATGTAAAGAAAGAAAGAAAGGCAAAAAGGTTCATTTTTCTGGAAAAGTACCAAATTTTTAGAAAATAAAGTTTCCGGAGGCGTCTGCTGGTAGTACGAGGGAATACGGAAACCGCTGCGGGACCTGGATTTTTTGCTAGGGTTGCTTTTTCTTCCTAATCACTTGCTTGATTTTGATACAAATTGAAACTTGCTAGAAATGCTTTATATTAGGGTTTTTCTTCTATAAAACGCTTATTTTTATTTTAATGAGTGTTGCAGAACACCAATTTATGCACGTGCTACTTTTCGAACCACAACTCTTTGTTTTTCCCCTTGCATTTTATATTCAAACCGTTCCTCTTGCAGATTTGTGGTAAAGCCAGACCACAATGAACTCCCCGCTAAAGGAAATCAACCGCCAGGACATCGCCGAGACGCCCCGCAAGGTCAACATGGTACGAATATCTTTTCCGTGCCAAAACTTTCTTTTAGGACCTGAAAGGGGCGTTCTACGCGTCGTTGCGCCGGGCGGCTAACAAGGATAACCTCGCCAATTGGTCGGACGTTCGGGCCCACTACAAGAAGCTGACCGGTCGCCACCTTGCCCATCAAGACCTCGTCAGGATCTCGGGCGTGGAGAATCCAGACAAAACAAAGTAAGCTCTTCCATTCATATTGTACCTTCTTCCACTTCAGGATGCAAATTTTCACCGAAGACTTCACCGAGCTGTTCGAGCCCATCGACCCACATGGCAACGTGAGCGCTTGACGGACTTTGAAAAACCTCCGTTTAGGTCATTCGTCTCTCCTTATCGGCTGTACTCTGCGATATCCCTGCAAACGACTCTTCGCTGTCTTCTGATGGCAGAGCTTACTCTTCAGCCCTGGACCAGGAAATCGACCTCAACAATAGTAAGATTTACTCCCGGATTCTTGATATCTTTTTTTTAGCCGCGATGGAGGGACAGGGGCACGACGCCGATGAGCTGGAAGAATATCGCTCCGCCGAGGATCTCCGCTCTAACGTACAACAACTTGCCGGCGCTGGGGACGCAGCTCCTCCCACGAACCCGGTATACTACAACGACGAGAACATTGCGCCATTGACGATCAAGTCTTACCACTATGGCCCCAGCTTTCCGGATAGGGTATGGAATTTCTCAACCTTCGACATATGGCGTTGCTTTAGATCAATGTGGGACGTCATCTACCCGAGGTTTTGAATGCGAATCGCGATGAGGTCGTGCTGCAAGAGGTTCAAGCCCTGCTCGCCGAAAAGACTGGCATCCGTGAAGAGCTGGCACAATGCGTGGCTGTAAGCACCTTATTCTTGTTCTTCATGAGTTTTTTAGTCCATGCATCAACTAGCGAACCACTACCCTCAAGACCAGAAGGAGTCGGCGATTATCAGCTCAGGCAGCACGGCCACTTCCCATCTCACTTCAGCTAACACAGCGGCTACTTTTGAGGTTTCTCTTTGTTCGTTCGTTGGATTCAAGAATCGTTTTATTAGCGCGCGCCAACTTGGGAGAAGGAGCTGAACCAGGTGGACTCCAGTTCCTCGGCCTACTCACACGACAACGATGTGGTACGAAAATGCTGTTGGGATAAAATTTCTAATTTTTTCAGGTGGAGAAGGTTGAGGAATTCTTGCACGACTGCCACCTCGACGCCAAGGACCCCGACCGCGCCAGATCGACTTCGATGGTCACCCAGCCCTCGCGACACAACCTCCTGTGCTTCACCGACGATCTGCCAGAAGCTGAGTTGGACCTCACCGGCCCCGCTCCTCCACTTGAGATGGTAAAGCCTCACAAGAAGGTGTGTTATTTAGTGCTTTTCTAGGCTAATACCTTGGTTCTTCAGAAGTCTCGGCTCCACATCGGACGGCACCACCTCGGCATCAGCTGCTGCACAATCCTCTAAAACAACGTGCACCCCTCATCGCCACAGCCTTTATGTTCGCTAAAACTTATTTGTCCATTTAGTTAGTTTGTCTCTGCAGAATATCTGTTTATTGCCCTGTAAAAGAGGTCCACCCGTTTGCTCAACTTTATTCACCGCTCGAGAAACGTTCTTCAAATAAATACGTGGTCACCATATTGCGCTCACAGCAAATTGTAAGACTAATATTTTATTGCTATGAATTTCATTATGTGAATAGGGCGAAGCCCATGTTATTAACGCTTCTTGGCCTTCTTGCTGCTTTTGTCGTCGGGACTTCGGCTTCTTCGGGAGCGCTTTGATGATCTAGATTCCGTATTTACCGGGTTGCTAGCCAAAATATTACCTTCTATCCCGCTCAGTCTTCTCCACGACTTGGACGCTTCTGCTGCGGCTCTTGCTCCGACTTCGACTCCTCTTCCGAGACTTCTTCTTGGCTTCGGCGCTCTTGCTGCGGCTGCGTCGGTCACTGGAAAATCTGATAATCGCAACGCCCGAAAGCCAACCTCTTGCTGCCTTTCCGGGACTTTGATTTCTTGTCTTCGTCTTTGAAGTAGCGAGCCCGTATGCGTTCTCTTAACCTTAAATGGTAAGAATTGGGTTAAGGCGGAAGCACACGGGACGAGGACATAAATGACAAATATTCACAGGACCATGAATTATGCGCCACTCTAAGGAGAAAGAGTTTCAGTGAGGCGCAAGCTGTGTAAAAACCGTTTGTAAAGAGTTGTGCTCAATTCATGGTCCTATCGCTGGTATTAGCAAAAAAAAAAGGATTTTAAAACCCACAGCATTTCTTCTTCTCGTATGTCCTCCCGCCGCTGGTTCTGCGCCTTGGCTTTCTCTTTCCGCAGCTCTTCCTGCCGATCGCTGAGCACCGTCGATCTGATCGTTCTTGACAGAAACTCCTTGTTGGCCACCGGTTTCCTAAATGCCAATTTTGTCCTATAAAACGAATCGCTAACCCTCGATCCAATCGCATGTGCTTCTCTGCCTCCCGGATTAGCGCTGCTAAATGAAAAGTTGAGCGCGCTACGAGAAGCAAAGGACCTTTAGCGATTTCCCTTCTTTGCGCGATCAAGGCCTCTCTCTTTTCGCGAATCTCCCGATCAGCTTGTGATTCCTCGGCGGGCTCCGGCGGCGCTTTGCTCGTTGATGGGGCTCCATTTTCTTGGGGTCGCGAAGTGGTGTCTCCCTAGAGTTATTGATTCCTGAAATTGACGGGAAATAAATAGACATTATCAGTCGAGAAACACTAAACGCCGCTTGTATAATTATTTTCGTAGTTCATGTAAATGGTACAAAAAGGTCTAAACAGCGTTCAGTGTTTCTTTCCATCAAAGAAAAAAAGCAAAATGTCCAGCTTATTAAACTACCACAATGATACCTTTTTCGTTATTCCCCAAAACGTCGCCAGCACCGCCGAGTCGCGCTCTTCCGCCGGATCCCTTGGAGGCGGAATTTTCTAAAAAGCGTTTATTTCAAAGCCTAATTGCACACCTCGACTTCTTTCACAAACGACTCCATGTAGCTCTTCTGAATTTGTCGGGTCCGATTCAGCAACGACGACATCATGTCGAGCTTCTTCGCCGGCGGCCCGTTGCCCGCCATGGTGTCGTGTGCCACTGGAAATTGGGTGTTTAGCACCGCCGTTTTATTCAATTGAGCACGAAATCAGTGGAATGAACGCGAAAGACAAAGCAAATGAGAATCATCGATATTTTAAATAATGGGGAGGGCAAAAATCAATAGGTTGGTGGCTTGATGGCGTCGAGCTCGTCTTCCATCATGTTCAGCTGGGCGTTGAATTGGCCGAGGGCGTCGCGCATTGAGTTTGCTTTGATGGCGGCTATCAAGAGCACGCATTGTCGGACGGTCCACTTGCCCTCGTCGCGCTCGTTGACGACGACAAACGGGCAGCGGGGGCAATGGGCCTTGTGCTCGGCCCACGGGTCGTCTTCTGGGTCGAATGACATCGTCTTCAGGCAGAACGGGCATGTTGCGTCCGTCGCGCCGGCGTGGTAGAAGCCTGCCTCGGCGAGCTTGAGCGACGTGCACTTGGAGTTCTCGTTGTCGTATTGGAATTCCTTGAAGGTGAGCTTGCGGTTGCTAGCAACGAGCATTTGCAGCGCAATGGGGTCCCAAGCGTTTAGCGACTTCGCGAGGGCCACCGGCACTGGATCGACCTTGGCGACAGGTCCGCGTGTAGCGGCTCTCATTCCTGGAAAAAAGGAGTTTCGTATATTTCATATATTTTCGCAAGAGGGAAAACAGGACGTCGAGCCGTCGAAGCCTTATTTTTTCAAATACAGGTTTTTAGGAATTTGCGAGCACAAAATTTCGTTTAGTGCGGTCTATATCCAATTTTTCAAACGCTAAAGAATTTAAGGTATTTCCTGCATAGAAATCCAATGCATAGAAATGCATATTGCGTGAAGCCTAGTAAAGCATCAAAATCTAGCTGCTAAACGCCGTTGAAACAAGGGGGAGAAAGAAGGCCAGGCAATTGAGACTCGAATGCGGCGAAAGGCGGGTAGATACGTTCGCGAGGGCGCCAAATAGCCATCCAGCTCTACAGCGCGGGGGTCGGTGAGTGGGTCGCTCGGCGGATAGCCCGTGGCAAAGCCTAGATCTCTACGTGCTTACCTAGAATAATTAATTGATGGATTTAAATAAGACTCATGCGACCAAACATAGGCCTTGATTATCATGCCCAGCCTGGACCCTCAAAACGCGTAAAATGAATTTTCCGATTCCCACGGAAAATTCATTTATCCAAGCAAATCATAACGCCAGAGCCATCGTTTTCTTGCCTAGAATCATCCAGATCTTCAGGTAAAGCCTCGGTCGGCCAAATGATGGACCGTTTCAGTGTCGCTGTCATCCTGGCGCATCAAAAACGATGTGGCTGTCAAAACCTTTCAAAAGCATTTTCCTTTCAAAAACTTTGCAAAAATAATTTATCTGAGCAAATAATAACGGCAGAAAGGGCAAAAAAGTAAGATGCAAGGTGTGGTGGTGCGGGTGCCTTGGCAGAGGCACAAGCCGCCCAAGCCGGCCGTTGCGCGGCAAAGCCCGGGGCGGCCAAGGTCCCACAAAATGCAACTTTGGCAAAAATGGTATGGCCCGTGTGGTATGGATGTGGGGGGAAGACAGGAAAGGAAAGGAAAGAAAAGGGGATAGAGATTGGACGACCCCGAGAGAAGTTGGAGGTCGCCATACAACAAAAAATTTGACTGACTAGGCAGTGGTGGTGCAGTACAAAAAAATTGGCCCTAACGTGCCCGCGAAACGGGAATGTGGGGAGCAGGAGGAAAATGGGGGGAATATGGGAATTCGGGGAGAGGAAAACTACAAAAATCACTACACAGTGCCAGGGTGGGCGAATCGCCTGTTCGAAAAATTTCCGATTAGAATGTCGAAAATTCATAATTTCTAAATGGTTGGTTTCCCGGGAGTTTGTTATAGAAAAATTAGACATATTGAAATTTCGGGATTTGCAAAATAAGACGATCGAAAATGGCCATTTTCTATCCGATTTATAGGTGAAATGCAGGGGCAAATTTTTAAAACGCAAGAATCTTCGAACCTGATTTTCCACAGGTAATCGTTCGAAAATGGTCATTGTTTTGTGTAATTTTTAGCAAGTTTTTTAGCAAAAATGATAATTTTCGATTTTCCGCAGATACGAGTTTTCGAATGGAACTTTTCTCGCGAATAATTTTCGAACAGGCGATAGGCAAACCAGTGTCAGTGTGGGGGAAATTATGCTATTTGAGAGGGAGTGGCAGATAGAAGGGGGGAGGGGAATATTCCTAGACACGCGAAAAATATAACCGTGACTGGCCGGCGGGAATGCATGCAAGGGATGACAGCGGCGGCCCTGAGCATATAAGGTCTACAATTTACAGAAGATCATCAATTCAAAAAAAGAAGAAAGAAAACGGGGGTGTCGGCGCGACGCCGGAACAGCTCCAAAAAAAAACCAACACACACAAATCACAGTATGGGGGGGGTCCCAGAGCGATCGGGGGGAATTTATGGGGGCGGGGGTACCAGTGCAAAGGAGGTAATGTACACTTTCAGAAAGCAGTTTCACATGCCGGAAAAATGATCCGTCGTCGTCTAGGCGTGCACATCGTAGCCCTCCTCGACGACGCCGCTGTCCAGGGAGTGGCCGGAAAGCCGGCGGCTGCCGGGTGGGCCGAGCGGTCTTGGCTGTCCTGCGGCGTCGGGGTCTTCTTCGCCGTCGGGAAGGCCGGAGTCACGTTGGCTCTCGCTGCGCAGTGAGATGCGCTCCATCTCCAGCTCCAGGCGCACGCTTTCCATGGCTGAAAAACATAAGATAGAGATTTCTATCAAGCCTCGAATACAGAAGAATAGTGTCGACCCCTGCGCCTCCAAATTTTTGAAAGGACAGCGCCAGTTTTACTGCGTTTTTTCATAAGAATTCTTTTTCAAAAACGCTTGCCGAAAAACTACTTACTACTTAAAAACTACTACTACTACTACTTAAAAAACATAATTAACGTTCTAAAAGCTCCAAAAATCAATTTTCAGTTTTTGTTTGTTGATCAACATTTTTGCGTAAAAGGTCTTTTAAAAATTTCAACGTAACTTTCCAGATCAAGATTTTAAAAAGAAATTTCTATTCATATTCCTTACCCTGCGTCTCCGAAATCGACTCCTTGACGTCGGCGACGAAGCGGCACAAGTCCTCGTAGTTGCGAGCGTTGAAGGCGACGCGCTGATTGTCGGGCAGGATCAGCATGATGCCAAAGTCGTACTGTGGATTGTTGAAGCTCTGTAAAAAATCGTATTACAGGGGAAGACAACCAAACGTTTACCTCAACGCGGGCGCCAAGCAGCGGCGAGTGCATTTTTAGGGCGTAGAGCTGGGCACCGGATCTCTTAGCGACGCCACTCGCCTTCGTCGTCTGAAAAAGCGGCAATTAGCTATCGATATTCTACTAAAATCCTATCCTAGGCTTTTTCTGGGCGTCAAAATTGGCTCTGGAAGATTTTCAAAGTTTAAATCTTTTGTACGCGAGTTCGAAAAAAATCAGAATCAGCGCAAAAGACAGCACAAAGTAGGATTAGGAAGAATAAAACACCAATAAAAGCCTACCACAATCATGTCGTTGAAGAGGAAGACGTCGCGCTCGTGGCTTGTTGACGGCTGCTTCTTGCGCACGTCCATGATTTGGTTCAGGCGGCAGTAGCAGACGAGGCGGCGTGGCGTTTCGGTCAGGATCTGAATAAGCAAAGATTAGCATTTACGGAATGACGTAAAATTTTCAATTTTCCCTCCAAAATCATAATCACAAATTTCCGGAGAACTAACCGGTTTGCCGTGTCCCTGTATTGCTGCATCGACTCGGGCGACCTGAGCAACGTGGTCATCGCCGGTGCGGAACTCCTCATCGCGGATGCGGTCGTAAATTTGGCAGAGGACTTCGCTAAATAAAGTCGTTATTCGAAATCCACGCAAATCTCACCGATCGATATTCCCGCCCTCATCAACGCCGCGCAGATTGTTGACAAACTGGTCCTTCTTCATCTTCTCCGACTGCTTGATGCTCTTGTTGTGCAGATCGGTGTTGAGCATGATGATGGCGTAGGCGAGGATGAAGACGGTCTTGTGTCCGCCGCGGAAGTGCTTGACACGCGTAGGGTTTGACATGGCGTAGTGTTGGGAGAAGACCTAAAAATATAATGAATCGTCAAAGACAAAGATTTTACCTCCATTATCCGCTCGATCTTTTGGCTCTCGCCGGGAAGGCGGAAAAGCGTCAAGCATTTGCGGAGTGCACAATCGACCTCGAGGCCGCGTGTGTCGACCTCGCCAAGAAAATACCTAAAAATGGGTGAAATTCAAGGCAAAAAAACTTACTGAAGTACACAGCTGTTGAAAGAAGAGCGCAGCACCCCGAGGTATTCACCCACCATCTGCCTGCTCAACCCGCGACGGCCTGTAATAAAAACTGTAATTCCTGGCTCCAAAAACAGCCTATTTCCGCTCGTCATGCGCGGAATCCAGGTGCGCTGTTGTTCCCCAGGCCTTTCCATGGTCCCCCGAATTTTGTGGAGAGAAAAAAATAGGCAAAAAAGGGGCGCCCGGAAAAGCGTGGGGAGCACGGAATCATGCTTTCCGTAGCAGTACCCTCAAATCCAAATATATCTTGACAAGTACCGAAGAGGAGTCGGGCCACGCTTTGCGCGTTATCGTCCACAAATCCCCAGGCCATTAGCAGCTGGATGCCGCGCTCGGGCTTCCTGAAAAAAAAAACGGATTAAGATGAGTAAAAATACCTTATTTTCATTTTTTATAATTTTTCATTTATCTAGAACCGAAATGAAATAAAGCTCACTTATTGAAGAAATTGAGGGCTATCCTGTACTGGCGTTTCCGTTCGATTTCCGTCATTCGCTTCGGGCTGTATGCGGGCTCGGCGCTGAAAATACATGAATTGAGGAAATCAGCGAGAAAACTTACGCATGGCGTTTCTTTTCGAGGCGCGGAAGACTGTTGCAATGCACCATGGCTTGATGCGCGCCGTTGCCCTGTGGTACCCAGACGTTAGAGTGGCTGTTCTAAAATGAAAAAAGTAAAGAAATATAAGGAAAAACATGGTAAAAAAAAAGCAAAAAGTTTCGGTTCTTCAGTATTTCGGTCTCAAAATTTTCCGGAGGCCCATTTTTTCCCCACATAAGCTGTTTTGCTAACCGGTTTCTCACTATCCCCAACCTTAAAAACTGTACAAAAATCTATTACAAATACAAAATATAGCTTTTTGATCTAAAAATTCTCGATTTTCGGAATTTAAAATGCTCATAAAGCATGAAGTTTACTACACATTTTTTCTACTTCAAATGGAATGAAATTTCACTATTTCGCAAAATACACACCTGAGCAACGTGCGAGACGTAGATGCCATTCATCGCCAGATCACGAGAGCCCGACGGTGAAAATGAGTGGGCGGTGGAGGGCGACATCGAATGAGATGAGGCTGAAGCCTGAAAAAGCAGAAATCATAGAGGAAAACAAAAACAAACGATAAGCAAAAGTTCAGTAACGTACCGAGGCCGATGTCTGACGTGCCGTTGCCGCGTGGGGGGAAGCGTGCTGCGACTGATGGTTGGCTGTCATCGGGGCCCCGTGAAGGGCCCCCGGCATTCGGCGAGACACCAAACGCGGAGACATTAGCGAGTCTGGAATAACGCGTTTAATTGGAGCCGGGGTTCTGGGAACCGGAAGCAAAAAAACCGAGTGTAAGAGGGTCAGTTAAAATCTATTAATGCTTCTATAGGGATTGATATAAATCCGGAATTACGGGGCGCGTTGGAGAGCTCTATCTCTGATTCTGTAGCACTATCGGCGGGGGAAAGCAAACTTTTTCCACGGGGTTTCTAATTAACAACAGAAAACTACAGCGTATTTATATTTTCCACTATTACTAAAGATCAAAGGGTCGGAAAATCGTTGAAAAATGCATATTATCTATACAAAATCTCGCTGTTCCCACAAAAATAATGAATTTTCACCAAATTTCAACGTTTCTAGCATTTTCTAAGTTTTGCAAATAGTTTTGTCCACTTGAAACGGCACAAAATTGCATAAAAAGACCGCGAAATCCATAATATTACATTACTAGTCATATACGACCTCATAGAAAAAATAGGTCCCGTGGCGATTTTGCGGCCATTTTCATTAATGCTTTTACAATCTTCAATATCAATCCCGGAAATATGAAGCGGAGCGGGGCGTCTCTCTACTCATCTAGCGGCACCGGATGCAGATTATACTACCGCACCATTATGGCCAAAAAACACGAGGAATTGCCGGGGGCTTATAATAACAGGATCGGCGGAACGGAACAGCATCCGGGTATTAGTACAAACATCGAATGAACCGGCCCCTCTAACGTCGCGCCGGGGTTCAAGGGATTAGGGGAAACGGGATGTGAAATCGCGATTCTCCCGCACGTCTCTCTCGCGCGCAGGTCAACAATATTTTATGGCCGTCGGGCATTGGTGGGGGAGAGCTGGCAGCCGGAGGGGGGAGGGGTCGGCTGTTGATATGCTTCACAAATACCCGGTATCAATGTGCAGATGCGAGAAGAACACGGTGAGCGATACGCGCGCACTCTGTTGTTCACTACGCTAATCCGATTACATTGCCGTCGGGGGGCGCATAAATTTGGCGGAGGATCGGCACGGGTCCAGTTACAAATGGGTTACTCATCGTTGGGAAATGGATTCTCTGATCGCCTGGACTTATCTAAAAGGTTGAGAAAGGTAGACAATGTCTACGACATAGAGCTTTTCCTTTCAAAAAAAAAGGAAAATTATAGCCATTTTCCAAAAAAAAAAAACTCGGATTCATGGCGAACAGAGGTCATTTTTTAGATTTATAGAAGGCGGAAACGATTTTCTTTTCTCTCAAAAGTCCAGATCTGCTTTTGCAGTAAAAGCATTTTTACCTTAAAAAAAACGATTCACAAACCGACGATAAGAGAAGGCCTTTAATAAAAATCCCCCTGAACAAGGAAAAGCGGAACTCGACAGAGCTAGAGCCAAAAAGCCTCAAAAAATTAATTACGATTGTTTTAATCGAAAATTGTCCGCTATCGAGAGCTCAAAAAACGTTCCGTGGATCCGGGGAATCGAGTGCTTTAGGAGGTGGGGCTCTCTCCTGATAATTGATGGCGGTTGGCCGAGCTGGCGCGTGGAAGAAAGCGCCCTCAGGCGTGCACAACACAAGCGCTACGGGTGGCAAATTGAGAGGGGGAGAAACCCGCAAAATCCTGGCGGGGGCTGAACCACCAGCTTTTCCTAAGCGCGGGAGAAAGTTTTCTGGAAGATTTTGAAGCTGAAGAAATCCGGAAAAAAGGCTCAAAGGTTCGTTCGGCGCCTGGAAGTAAGAAATAAATATATTTGGTCTCAAAAAAGGAGGGGGACTGCGCCGGAAGGAAGTATTTAATCTAGAAAATCCTCAAGAAACCTAAAAATTGGAGAAGCCCTGGATTCGCCATAACTCGAGCTAAAGTTGCGAGACTTGCTTGCAATATTCAGAAAGAAGCCCTATTTCCGAAACTAGTGCCGTTTTATCTACTGCAAGGTCAAATTCTTTAAAAACTTAAAAAAGTGATCCTGACACCTAAAAAAGTGATCCTGACGCCTAAAAAAAAGGGTTCCAGCTGGTACCAATTCGGAAAAAGTAGATAGAGCTAACGTTGTGAGACTTACTTACAAAATCCAGGCATAACCCTTTTTCCTGTAAAACACAAAAATCTTCGAAAAACTGAGAAAAACTTATAGAAAGCGGAAAACCGCAAAGCCTAGGAAAAGCGGCTTTGACGCGCTGAAAAATGGTGTGCAGCTGGTGCTAACATGAAAGGTCGAGCTCAAAGTAAGTAAATCGATGAAGGAGCCCTATCGAAAAAAGAGCGCGGATTTGTTTAATGTAAAATAAAAAATTCCATTCAACCCTGAAAAGCCCCTGAAAAGCGAAAACCTCGAAAATTCTATAAAAGCGATCTCGCCGCCAAAAAAAAATGGTGTGCAGCTGGTGCTAAAATGCTATCGACCCGCGGCTAGGCACCCTTTTCGCGCGCACCAGGGCGCCGCAATTAATCATCGTGCGCGCTCCGCACTGCCGCTAAGGGGCTAGAAAAACGTCAAAAATGTCACAGAGGGTATGCGGGAGGCGTCTCGGGTGTGTGCGCAAATACACATGGATTTTCAGGTGTGGTGTGGAAATTCGAGCCGCGAAGTCAATCGTCGGCCGGGGTGTGTTTGGACCCCGAAGGAGGGCGGCTCGGATGACTATCTTTAGTCGCCGATCTTCGTGACAGCAAATGAGTCAGCGTGGGAGACAGACGGGTTTGATTTCGGGAGGTGCACCCGGTAGCTACGCAATTTTTCAGGGAGCGGCGTGACGAATACAGAGATTGTCATATGGGAGATAAGGGTGTCAATGCAAAAAGCAAATAATCGGATACGTGTTTGTTCAAAAGCTATTATGAATCATGAAATCGTTCGTTTTTTTCGGTAAAAATCGGTCTCCGCGATAAAGAGATCTGAGTTTTTCAAGAAAAGGTTCTACAAATCCAACCTTCAGCAAAAAAAAAGACCTTTGAGAACGCCATTCCGGCCGTCGTAACGTTGAAATTTTTAATTTTCCTATTTCAATATTTCAATTATCGATTCTAGAAATGTCCCTCGAATTAAAGAGCTTATGAATTACGAAATGGCTAGGGTTCGGCTAGCTATCAGATTCCATAAAGAGCTATTTTTTGCAAGTAAGGATCTAAACATCGAAAAAAAAAATTGCAAAATTCGACTTTTTGTTTCGTTTTCTAAACCTAATTATCAATTCTAGAAACGTCATTCAAACTAAAGAGGTTCAGAATAATCAAATAGCTTTTTTTCGCATAGCTATGCGAAGCGGCGTTGCTCAAAACGGGTGCCCCCATTCCACTAAAATAATCAGTTCGCAACCCCAATTTTATGGCTGCCTGGCTGAACGGGGCGAGATTTGCCCTCTAAAAATGGCGCCCTGCAGCGAAATCCCGAGATTTCACCCCCCGCTTTACTGACCGCTCGGAATCCGCCCAAAAAAACGGGCAACCCACCAATCATACTCCGTTCCTGCCGGCCGCGCGGCGATGGGGATGGCGGGCTGCGTGTTCGGCAGATTTTGTCCTGAAATAGAAAGGGATTTTTGAAGAATAATGGCGACTCACGTTGACAGCACGGTGATCGGCGCGCAACTGGGCACTTAGCGAGGTCGTTGGTGCGTACCTGGAAAGAAATGCCGTTTTGTAGGGCAAAAATCGCGTGAAAGTGTGGCAAGAGAGCAGGAGGAATTGAAAGCCGTGGACCCAGAGTTCCGATTTCAATGGGTGAGCCAATAGAGGGGCGCTATACTGGGGGGCTTGGCTTTCGAAGAAGTGGGTTTGCGTCGGGTTGGAAAAACACAGTCAACGTTCGGTAAAAGGTAAATATTTTCGGGAGGGCCGGCTGACGAATGTTTGCTGGGGGTTTCGCGGCAACTGATTAATCTGGGTGGGAGAAGTTCAACGTTAAGTATAACAAGCATTTCGGTACTAAGCGGAAAGAAAAAGAAAAAAAACTATTTCGATAGCCCGAATTTTCTATTTACGTTATCTTCATTTTCACCCAGGTGTTGACCATTTTACTAACCTTTTTAGTAACTTTTTAGCCAGTCCTGTCCAGATTTATTAATTATTACTTATTAATTAAGATATATTTATTACTTCAAGGCAGGAAAACGAAATTTTTTTCTTCCCTAGTCGCCGAATAACTAAATCAACTATTTTGCTAGCATTTTACACCCTTTTAGCAAAAAACCAGGGTTGAAAAACCGCTTCGCGGCTTTTCAACCCTGGACCCGTCTAGGATCGATGAAGTTATTGACTTTGCATAATTCTTGCCGAAAACCGCTCACCAAAAATGAAAAGGGCGCCCTACCTTCCTTTTTATAAACCATTTCCACTTCCGGCGTATGCTAATTGATCCCTAACAAAGAGGTTGGCCGAAAACTTTACAAAAACCTAATTTTAATATCGAAAATAGCAATTTTTCAAAACTTTTATGTCTGTGCAGTCGATTCCAGGCCCTTCTTTACCCTATGACGTTTCCTCCTTACCGAAAAAATGCTTCCCTGAGGCTGTAGGTGCGGAACATCCAAACGGAAGTGCATGCAAATATACACACACACACACACACAAACACTATTTTTTTATATATAGTAGGATTCAGGCTTTTCGGTCAAAACAGGTTTAGAAAAGGGTTAAAAACTATTTAATCTACTCATTTTACTAACACCAACGCTAAAAATTGGCTTGGAAACGGCCAGGAAACGGTCTTAGAAGATTGAAAAGGTGTCTTCACATAATTCTCTCCTTAGTAACTCCAACGCTATCGGCCTGTCCAGTTTTCAAAAACCTAAAATCAACAGTTTGTCCTTTCCGGGCGATCAAAAAGAGTCCCAAAATGGTCAGCCAAAAAGTAAAAGTTGCCCAATAATGCCAATATTTGATCTGGCGGAACCGTTGACACGTTGTGCAGGCCCGCCGGGTCGATTACCGCTCATGCGGTGCGAATGGTGGGACTATCGAGGGAACGGGGGCTTGTTGAGTGAAGCATGATGGGGCAGAGGAAGTAGAAAAAAGACGAGTGCAGCTGGACGAGGCAGGCAGCTGGGTAAAGCGGTGGTGGGGATCCCCGGGGGCACTCATGATAGCCGTAGAAATCGGGAGGGCTGCCATTGGAGGGAGGAACATGATTCGCATTATGAGGGGAGCTCGTTGAGATGAGTGCCGACATGAGGACGGCCGGATTGGGGGAGATGTTGGAGAAGAAGCCGATCGGTGGCAACCAGGGTCCGGCCGGCTTTTTCTAGTATTGGGGTCCCCGTTCGTGGGTGCACTCAACCTAATAATCTGCGCCTGCTTCACGTGCAAATCACTTGAGACTTTCCCCGGGCCCGCTCGCTAACAAGAAGTACATGGAAAGTGGTGGTGATGGACGGTTGTTTTAGGTGATAAAGGTGCATGTTTTTCTAGTAAAACACCATTATTTTTCTAGAAACAGAGGATTTAATAAAATTGAGCTTTGGCCCGTATACTAAAAGATGAAGCTTTTTAAAAGTAAACCAGGGTTGAAAAGCCGCTTCGCGACTTTTCAACCCTGGTCCCCGTCTTACCCCCATACTTCATCGCTTTGCATAAACCCCTGAATTCCTGTGCAGAAAAATGAAAAACCGCGTCCTCTCGCCCAAGATATAGGCTTCCCCCCCTTCCGGTGCATGCAAATTGATTCCTAACAAAGAGGCCGAGCGAGAGTTTCACAAAAACTGAATTTAAATATCGAAAACAGCTGGTTTTTAAAAATCTGATATGCGTGCAGTCGTGTCATGACCATTACGCACCTAATGACGTATCATACGTACCTTTAACTTCCTCCCCTATTGAGATACGACTGGAACATACGGACGGAAGTTGCATGCAAATGCACACACACACACACACACACACAAACACTATTTTTTTTATATATAGTAGGATTCAAGATAATAGATTTTTCTAATTATAATAAATTAAATTCTACAAATTAAAAAAAGTTTTGAGGAAATTGTTCCGAGCCGCTCCAATTAACGGTAGTACGAATTATACACATTACAGAGGAGCGGAAATAGGTGTGAACGGAACGTGATTTTATTTTCAGTTCCACAAAAACGCTAGAAATCAAAACTTTTGATCCGTTATAACGCTTTGAGGATTTAGATTCTCGAAAAACAGGTGGTTCGACATAAAAAATTCAAAAAACGAAGTTTATGCAGGAATTTTTGCGAGCCTCTCCAATTAACGAGAGTACGAACTGTACACCTTACAGCAGGTCGTAAATGGGTGTGGACGGAATAAGAATTTTATCAGTGCCATCAAAAAGGAATAAAATCAACTTGCGAAACTTTCTAACCTTTTCCAAGTTTTAAATTTTCTAAGAAAGAACTGCCTAGTTGCGTAGATCGAAATTTTTCTCAAAATCCCCCACGCCTCAGCCACATTTTGGACTTTCTCGAACACCCCGCTAAACCGGTATTTGCACAAAATTCCTCGGGCGTGACGCAGGCATTTGTAAGCAAAAATGGGCATGAAAAACGAAGAGGGGTGTGGCGGTGGTGCCCGAAATCCAAGAAGGTGTATATGTGTGCCGGGCCGCTCCCACGAAAAAGCGCCGATGGCGAGGCCATTGGACACGCATGTGCGCCGTGTTCGCGAACAGCGATGATGATCGCGAGGGGTTCACATGGTCGGGCTTGTTGGTATGAACGGTTCTAGTCCGTTAGCGGGGGAGGCATTTTTGTAGGAGGAGAAAAATCAGAAAAAACCAATTTTTTTTCCTAGGGATCCTATTTTATGAATATAAATAGAGGAAGCGTTTCTCAACGGGTTTTTTCAATAGCCCTCAACGTAAAAATGTACAAAGTGTCATTAAAAATAGCAAATATATTAATTTTTAGACCCAGAATGGTCCATTTTTTATCAAAATTCCGACTCAAAATTTTTTCGACGTTTTTTTTGGTTTTCCACTTCAAATAAAATTTACGGATTTATAGGCAAAAGTTAAGTTTGGTTCTAACAATTTTTTCGTTTTCTCCTAATTTTTTGGTAAACGGCATCGGTTAAAAACGCTATAAAAATGGTCGAGATCTTGTCACAATAAAGCCTGGGCTGTATAAAAGTATTCACGCCCCCCCCCGCTAACAAACCAGAACCGTGGCGGCGCGCAATATGGAAAATCCAGCCGCGTCGGAATATGATGGGGGGAGGATGAGATGGGGTGGATCGGATGGATGCGAGCTCCACATTTCGGGGTCACTTAATGAGATCCATTGCCGAGCGAGCGCGCCCCGCGCCGCGCACCATTCAACCCATAGCTGGGGATCGGGTTGCGTTCTTCTTCTCGGATGGAGCTCAGATTGGATCGGGTTGTGTATGTGATACTTGGGGGGAAACCCTTCGAGGGTCTCCTTCTAGAGTAGAGCTCTACTCTGTGAAATATTTATAAGGGGTAGGAAAGAGGTAGAGGCCAAAATAAGGGGGGCTCGAGAAACGGACCCGGTCGGTTGTTAGCGGAATTAGGAAGGTGGGGGTAGGGCCCCAATCGGGTTGGATTTTTGGCAAGGAGCCGGGGTTCTGGACTGTTAACGGGGGGGGACCAAGTTTTCCCAGTAATTATCTACGCGACCCTATAAATATAACCGATTTTTATAGCATTTTTATAGTTTTAGATCGAAATTTTTTTAGCTTTTTGGTCAAAAATGTATGAAAACAAGGCCAAAAAGTCAACATTTTCGAATTTCCAAATAACAAAATCTATTTTTTATAGCTTAGTTTTGACGAATTTCTGGGGGAGAATAATTTTGCCCGGACGGGTAGTTTGTAGTTTCTAGTAGCTTACAAAAAATCCATTGGTTACAAAATTTATAAAATTGATGAAACATAGTTTTTTAACCATTTTCGTGTTTCTAAAAGTTCTAGTTTACGGTTTTTTAGTGTAAGAATCCGCTGTTGTAGGAATTTTTTGTAAATTCAAAAGAGGTCATAGCGTATATTTTTAGCTCCTAAAAATAGTCAAAATAGGCATGAAATCTCGCTAAATCTGGCACCTTTCCAGGTTTTTAAAAAGGCTCAATCGTGCTGATTAATATTATGCTATTTAGAGGTCACTTCGGCTTCCAAATCCCTTTAAAAACAGAAAAATTCAAAAAATCCACAGCATGGAGGTCAAGAAATAGGACCCTCAGAATTGTTGTGTGTGAATTGTGTGAATTCTCTCCTTTCCTCTCGTTTTGGGGTGACCCCGGACAACGGGGGCCAAATTTGAAGGTCATTAGCGAGATTGGTTTTGGCATTCCGGCCAATGGGTGGGGCCCACGTAAAGAGGAAAGAGACGGAATCGAACAGCTGTTTCTCTCTCTCTCTCTCTCTCTCTCTCTCTCTCTCTCTCTAGCAGCTTTCTGCCTTTTGCGGCTAGATGTGTGGCCTTGCCTAGCGGACTGTTTGTTTGTACGACGTTTTTTGGGGGTATGTGGGAAAGAAAAACATCGTTAGAAAATTCTAGAGAGGGTTTTTGGCGACTTAAAGACCCATGAAATGGTGTAGCTACGCGATACGCCTATGTACGGATTTTCGAAAATTTTTGGTACGTCGTAAAATTTCTGATTGCCAGCTGGTTCTGAAAAACAACTTTTCTGGCTCAATTTGTGACGCAGATTTCAAATTCAGGCTCAGAATTTGTCTATCAACCTTCATTTTCAAGAGCTAATAAATTTACCATAAAGAAAAGAAAAAAATATAATTTTTTAGATTTTTGGCCTGCAATCGTCAAATTAAGCTGAAAAATGTCAAAAATAACTACATATGGTAAAAATAGATACTAGATTCGGAAACAGCATGAAAAACTGGCCCAGAAAATGCATTCTTTTACGAATTCCGTACATAGGTGTCTTTCGTAGCCGAAATTTCGGGATTTTGTAAGCCAACGACCTTAAAGTAGAGCCAAGGGACCGATTAAAACGCCGAAATAGTACGAATGTTTCCCGGTGAACACCTCGAAATATACTAGGTGGAAGGGGGAGCGGGGCGTAGCCGTGGAGGGGGCCATTGTCCCGCTTCTCCTCCTCCGCGGCGCCGTCGGAAGGGGATGAGTGCGTAAAGTGCCGCAGGGGCTGACGATTCATTCATTGGCACGAATTAGTTGCGCGCATCGGCGAGAGAGAGGGAGAGAAAGAGAGAGAGAGCGGGAGAGAGAGAGAGAAAGTGAGAGAGAGAGAGAGAGAGAGAGCAAGATTTCAAGCTTACCGTATCCGTTCCGGTGTGTGACCGTTGGAGGCGAACCCGTTCAGCTGCTGGTGATCGCTGCTCGTCATCATCTGAAAAAGGCAATTTTAGCGTGTTCTTCAGCCTTAAAGATATTTTTGCGTTTTTTAGGTTTAAAGGGACGGTGCCAGCTAGCCGAAAAGAGTCTGACCGACCTGTCTGAATCGGCTATTCATCCTGTGTTGTCGGAATGCGCGTTGTATGCGTACTGCTGCGGCATGGGCCTGCTCTCGGCCACCGTAGCGCTTCTCGAGCACCTGAAAATTAGGAGTTTTTTGTGATTAGAACGGAGGATCCGGTGGCAGGCTAGCAGAGATTTCTAGGGAATCTGGCAGATCGGTGATTTTCAAAAAAGACAGGCTAGCAAAGAGTCTTTAGGAAACTCGCAAGCCAGCAAGGGCTCCTGAGGAGGCAGGCTAGCAGAGATCTTTGGGGAAAACGAGATGTTAGCACTGGTCTTTGTGGAGGCAGTGTAGTAATGATTATTTGGGAACTCCTTAGAGTAACAGGATTCCTTGAGGATATCGGCAGGCCAGCAAAAGTCGTTGAGGAGGCGGGCTAGCATGGATATTTCAGGAACGGGCAAGTTAGCAGAGATTTTTAGGGAAACCGTATTTGAGCTTCTTTGGCAGTTTGGCTGATTTGAAATGGGTGCCTTTCCAAATGACAAGCCCGAAAAAAAACTGCACACATGGCCCGGAGGGACATGCAAAGGTTGAGCATGGGAAAATGCGGAGAGAGAGAGAGAGAGAGAGAGAGAGAGAGATAGAGAGCGAGACAAAGAAAAGCGCGCGCAAATCTATATATCAAAAGCGACGCAAGCGAGTGACGGACAAGAAGAAGAAGAAGGGAGGAGAAGGAGAATAAGGTGAATGGCTGAATGCCAGCCCTCTATCCAGAGCAGTCCTGCTCCTTCTCCTGCTCCTTTCCCATTCAAATACGAACAAAACGGCCCGGGGGGTGCTGTGCTTTTGCTCCCCGTCGAGCAGTTTGAGGGTTTTCGCGGCGGGCAGCAATGTGGACAATGGCCGAAATGGGCTTTGTTTTTCGGAAGAATCTCGGGGTGAAATCTGGGTTCCGTGTGTAGTTTTAAAGGGGACTGTGCGTGTGTTACGTGCAAAATCCCGAAAACCCCTGAAAAGTACCGTAATCTCATAGGATAATTCAAAATTGCATGAAACTACGCAAGACTACGTTACATTCCGCCGTACAGACCGGAAACCGAGGACCAAATCAATGGCATAATCGTGAAAATAGAGCTGTCGGGCTGGGGAAAGTTTTGGAAAAGTTGGTGAGGGCTGCAGGCAGCAGGGGCGGGGTGGGGTGAAGTCAGTAAAAACGAGGATAAAAACAACCGTTTCGCGCCGGAGCCTCGCATAATTGGGAGGGGTAAGAGAGAGAGCGAGAGAGAGAAAGAGAGAGAGAGACAGACAGCCATGACTGAGCAACAGCATTGTCAGGGTATTTTGGCCGTAACTGGGAGCGGTCAGCAGAGGGAGTCGGACTAAATTCCGCGCCCAGAAAAAAGGAGTGATTTCTGGGAAAAAGAGGGAGGAGGGCAAATAGTCACCAAGCTCAAGGCCGGCCACACCTGCAACGTTTGGAGCCCAAACTTTTAGGTGAGCACGAGGAAATCAAACAACAGGTGGGGTTGTCTTTGAATTTTGAGACGTTCTAGGAAATGTATTTGGAAAATACGCGAAAAATGAAAAAGTGTCCAATGTCAAAGTACAAAACCCAAAGTCCCAAAATTTTTGACGCGGCTGTCGAGAAAAATTCGAGGCAAAATGCCACGCCTTTACAGCCGCCATTTACAGTATTTGCCGTCATAGGCAGTGGTGGAAAAGAAATAAAGGAGCAAATAAGAGCCCGAGAAACTGTCTCTCTCTTTCTCTTTTTCTCTCATTCTCTCTCTCTCTCTCTCTCTCTCTCTCTCTCTCTCTCTCTCTTTCTCCGGTAGCCGTTGACCCGAAATGGCCATTTTCTCAAAAGGGAATGCGCGTAGTTTCACAGAAGGTTTCCCATTTGCTGCCTGTAAATGTCAGGAATTTTTGGGGGCTTATGAGGAGCGCGAGAGAGCGATGAGAGAGAGAGAGAGAGAGAGAGAGAGAGAGAGAGAGAGAGAAGCGCGCGAGAGAGATACCCAAAAAGCTGAATTTGACGTCGACAATTCTAAAGAACTCGTGTGAGCAGTACAACGGAACTCCCGTCCGGCCACTTATCCTAGCCAAACCCGAGAATTCAAGTCGCCAATCAGCCGTCTTCGGCCTTGGTAAAAAACCGAAAAGGGCCTTTTCGTAGGCGTCAGAATCTCAGTGCTATTTTTGCGGTTTTGGGCGCTCAATTAAGTGTACACAACTTTAGAAACCATCAAAAAATCTTTCAGCAAAAAAAAAAACAAAATTTCGCAAATAATCTCTGCTAGCCTGCCTTTCCTAAATAAAAAAGAAGGCCTCACCTCGACACGTCTCCTCCGCAAATCATCCGAAATCTCGTAGCCGTAATTTCCATACACCCGACTCGCCGAAGTGACGCCCCGCCATTCGGCCAGCATTTCTGGAGCTGGAAAGGTATTTTTACGTGCTTTTTTGTTTACTAAACCGCGGAATCTAGATCTATTTAATCTCCAAAGAAAATAGTCCATTTTTGTTTAGAATTTTTAGTTTGGAAGTTTACAAAAACTAATTTAAGCATTTTCGCTCGCTCTTAATTTCCAATTTCAACCTCGAAAACCCAAAATCCTTGAAACAGGTTTAATTTCACGGAAAATAGCAAAAAAATATATTGGTAAAAATAGTTTAGTTGATTGAAAATATCAGAATTTTCGCTCTTTAAACTTAAAAAGAACCTTAAAAATCCAAAAATAAAAATAAAGAACTTTTATTAAATTTAATTCAATAGAAAAATCGCAAATTTCAAATTCCAAAAAAAGAAAACTACTAAAAACCCGATAGTCACTCGAATTAAATGAAAAATAACTATAACAAAGCCTTCGTTTTTCAGTGATTTCCAGCGCTTTTTGACCCGTATAAACACCGGCAGATGCTTACCAATTCAAATCGGCCGTTCGTGGGATTTTGGATCGACGCGAATCGATGTGAAGCCGAGGGAAAGTGGATTCTGGAAATTATTCGTTAGGATAAAAATATTTAAGAAAAAGAGGAAACCCGGAAAAAGTCTCCGAAAACAACGAAATGAGGGGGGGCGGCAAGAAAATGGATTAATCCGGAAAAGCCGAAAAGTGCCGCCACCGCTCGGGCTGCCGCTGACAAAATAAATGTCATTTTATCTGTCGGGGGGAACGGCGGGAGGGGGGGGGGACATAAGAGATAAGCAGCCAGACACATCTGGCTACCGGGAGATGGCAGACGGTCGAGAATGAATAATCCACAAATTTTGAAACGGAAATTGATGAAATGTTGTGAAAATTCGGCTGTACTTTGGTTTCATCTCCGCAAAAAAAAATAAAAAATCGACCTTTCCACAATTTCCTAGAAAATTCAATTTTCGAGGTTTGGAAAATAAGATAACGATAAGTTAATTATACTTAATTGCTCAGAAAAATTTAATTGTATTTATTAGAAATATATTTAACATTACAAAATAATGAATAATGGTCTTTAATTGGCCAGAAACAAGGGTTTTGAGTAGCAAAAAAAATCTTAAAAAACATATTAAACTTTAAAAAATTAAATTTGATAAACGTAGCGATTTACAAAACTACTACTTCACTACTGAAATCTTAAAATTACGGCAAGTACAAATACCGAAAAGTCAAAAGAGGAACCGCCCAATTAATTGAAAAGTCACAGAAACCGCAGAAAAAGCAGACCAATGCATTACGCCATGTGATTCTGCAGTCATGGATTTTCGGCAAAAATATAAAGCAGCTGAAAAATGCCATTATACCGAAATTTAAATGACATAAACTCGAAAATGGAAGCTCTCAAATTTCCCAAACTCTCAAAATTTCTAAACAATCAAAAGGCGATCAGTCAGCTTGAGAATCCTATATCGGATCAACAAAAAACGTGAAGGGAAGAATGCACTAAAAATAACACCGGCCGTACGAAATTTGGCAAATGACGGCTAGTCTGTGTTTACGTGTTTAGATGTTGTCCTCCGGTCGGCGGGTTGGTAGGTCGGTAGCGATGTGGACAGCTGGGGAGGAGGATATGAATATTTCAGAGGAGAGAGAGAGAGAGAGAGGAGAGAGAGAGAGAGAGAGAGAGAGAGAGAGAGACGGGACCTACTAGTCATACGATTTTCGATGCATATATTGCGCTTACTGCAGTTGGAATATATTGGATTTTGGCGCTGGGGTACACACGGCGGGATTACGAGCCAGGTAATTTATGGTCTAAAGCCCGAATTGCACCGCTAATTCCCTCATAATCCATATACATTCTAAAGGGCCGTTGAGTGCAAGAAACCATAACAATTTCCCCCATATTTTGGAAAATTAACAGTTTCTCTCTCTATCTATCTCACGCTTTCGCTCCCCCCTCTCTCTTTCTCTCTCTCTCTCTCTCTCTCTCTCTCTCTCTCTCTCTTTCGTTTACTCTCAGTGGCGATACTGGAGCCTGGAAAAACAGGAAACGCGTAGGAAAAGCCTGACAAGCCAAAAATGGGTCCAATTACGAGCTGATTACAGTAGTAATAGAGCGCAATTAGGTGCAAATCGGAACATGGAAACGGAAATTAGCGATTATGGTCGCGGTAGGTCCAGGCTTTGGGAGAAATATGGAAAAAAACTATCGCTGCAGAGAGGTCGACCGGGAGTGTGAGGAAGAGTGCGAAGCGAGAGTGCGAGAGAAAGAGAGCGGGCCATAGATAGGTCGAGAGAGACAGACGCCAAGCGAGAGAGAGCGAGTGAGAGAAAAATAAAATACGACCAGTTCTGTATAGCTGCAGCTCCACAAATTATTCTAGGAGCGAACACTCGTCCCGAAGCGGCAAGCGGAATGTCGTCAGGTTCGGAGGAAGAGCCGATTTGAATGTGAATGAGGAGCCGGAAAGGGTGAGCAAGAAAGAGAGCACGAACACGAATGGTTGGTGGTTGGGCTGACTGAGGCCACCTCGACAACCTCCAGCAGCCAGGAGATAATATCGCCGCTGGCAGGATCGGTGGACAAACCGATGGAGAGAGAGAGAGAGAGAGAGAGAGAGAGAGAGAGAGAAGCAGTTCACGGTCAACACTTCACCTCTGACTGAATCGGTCGCCCGCGACAATGGGCTTATAGGGGGATTGTGACATGGATGCACTAGGTTTGAGTGCGTAATACGACTCAATACATCATGACTGATGATGATGCCAGGTCAGAGGAGAGAGCGAGAGAGAGAGCGAGAGAGATAGCGAGAGAGAGGGTGAGAGAGATCCAGTACGTGTAAATTTCCACCGATATAGATCCAGATAGGGCTAGAAACCGAGAGTCTGAGAGAAAGAGAGAGAGGGAGAGAGTGAGAAGAGAGAGAGAGAGAGAGTGAGAGAGTGTATGCGATAACGCCTCGAAAATCTCTAGACCCTAAATTGCAGAGTTTTCAGGGTTTTCCCTCAAAAAAAACACGATTTTTAATTGTCTCTTTTCTAAAACACAGAGAGATTTTTGTTTTCAAGGGATTATCCATTGTTGCTATATTAATATTCGTCCATACCGGATTAGTACGTCACTGCAAAATCAACGATCATCTGTCAATAACTAATTACTGAGGCGGAAAATCATGATATAACCATCAAAATCTGCAAAAGTCGAACTTCATTTCCAAAATATCTTCGGAAAGCAAAAAGCAGCTTTTGGAGCCAGACGGAATGGCAAGTTCCAGGAGGTGGACTGACGCATTGGAGCGGAAACATCGAGCCGAGCCGGGCGGATTTTTTGCGGAAATTTTCGGGTTGAACCTGGGTGAGTCATTGGGATTGGGAAGCTGGGAAAATAGAGAAAATGGCCAATTCAGAGGGATTTCAAAAATAGGAAACTTAGAACGATTTTTGGTTTTTTTTAAGGTGCCAAGGGTCTAAAGAGGAAGGCAAAAAAATCGCCTTTGAAAAGCGTCAAAATCTCGTTTTCATACGTAATCGCAAAAAAAAACAAGATTTTTAGAATTCCATCCGGCTACTATCGGACCCCCAAGTAGCCCATAGTAATCTGTCGTAGCTAAAAATTTCCAGCAGCGCCTACGCCGCCTCCCACTCGCCAGGTCAGCAGCCTTTCCGCTTTTTGAGTGATTTAGGAGGGGGGGTGGGGCTCTGGCAGGCGGGCCGTGACGGCTCCAATTACCTATGCTAATCCACGGCCCCGAGGCTGGACACTCACTCACCCACTACACTACACTACTTCCGACGGTGTAAATTGGAGATATTACAAAACGATAAGACATTAAAGGGACTGGGAAGCGAGAGACTCAACCCCTTCCTTTGACTAGGTCTCGCCAACGACGCGCCGTCCTAAAAGACGACAAATATGATTAGATTCAAAGCCGAGTCGACTGGGCTCTTTTCCGGCCCCTCTCAATTTTATCCCGGCTTTATTGGTCCGTAAAGCTTTCGAGGACGGCTATTTTGAACCTCAAAAGCAGCTGGAGAGCCGTGAAACGGAATGGGAGTTATTAAAACCCAAGGACTAAGGGCCCAGGGCCATAAAATGGAAATGATCAGAAAGGCATCTTTGCAGGGCATTCTAGCAGAGATGCTTTGGAAATTAAAGGAGCTGTGTAGCGCAGAATACGACCCCATCTGATCACCTGGATCTCGGCAGCTATGTGAAACAGCAAGAAAGAAATACTAGGGCAAAAAGAGCACAGAACCATATAGGTAAATAATACTAAAAACAATAGATATGACTTGCTTGTTCCTTTAAAACGGACAAGTCGCTCCAAATTGAGTCCTTAGCCGATCTGCTCTCCATCAAATCCCCCCATAAGTGGGTGCCAAATGATATCCGGTGCCCCTCGATGAGGCCCAAATGGGACATTTGGCCGGGGGCCACACCATCGCACCCTAGCCGCTCTCCATTCCACTTGGGACCCCGTTTCCGATGGAGTACACGGCACATCTGAAGGGGCCCATCCCAACCCACCCCAAGGGGCATCCGATTCCAATTAGATCCTCTGGACACGACGAGTAGTAGAGAAGGGGGATGGGATGCGCCCACCCTTCACACCAACAACGCCACGAGCGAGGTGTCGCCGGGCGGGCTTTACTACTTTGGGGTCGTGGAAAATGCATCCTTGGGATTTAACGGGGCCGGCAAGCGAGGCCTATGGAATTTGGCGGCTGTGGATATCCCATCAATTTTACCGCGAACGCGAGAAGCACGGGAAGCGCGCTTTCAGGCTTTTAGCCAGGCCATTCGAGCGCGTAACGGACGGGTTGCGTGTCGCTAAAGTATAGAAAACTAACGCGCCGTTGCGTACGAAAACGGCAAGACACGCAACGCGACCGCAAGCCTTAGGAGGGTGTATTGCCATGGATACTACCTCTTTACGGCGATCACGCGGGGCGGCGCGTTGCCTATCGCGGGCACTAAAAAAATCCGTAGCCCGCAAATGCCGCAA